TATTTCCTCAAACCTTCTCCTTGGTTGATGGACATGTGAAATATGCAAAATCAGCTCATACATGTACATGTAGCTGTGTTCTCAGGGGTATTGGGTAGTGGTAAAAGCATAATTCAAACACTGTACAATGTACATGAATCACAATAACAAAAACCATATCAACTTATCAAGGATGTTTTATTTTCAAAATCCTACTTTTATACCCCCCCCCCTCCAAAAAAAAAAGATTGTCTTTATTTTCAGTTCAACCCTTCCCCCCCCCCCCCCCCCTCCCCCCCCCCCCCCCCCAGTTTTCCAGTTTTACAAATATGAGATGCATGGTCCTACCAACTTTGGTGGACAGTTGCTAAAATTGATTTTGATATATCATTATTGATTTACCAATAGAAGCCATAGGACTGTGATATGGTGTAATATTGAAGCCCTAAAAAGTTGCGCTTCTAAATGATCATGAAGTGCCTCAAAAAAAGTAAAAATCTAAGAGTGACCGATTTTACCATACTCATTTTCCCCAATAGAATGTAGAGATATAAAAAACATTTTGGAAAGTGGTTTTTGAAATTTTGAGTTCCAATCATAAATATCTTGAAATTCAGCCAGGCGATTGGCTTGTAAAAGTCTTGGAATTTCTGACTGACCTAAAGGTTTATAATTATGATTGCAGCATGAGCTACATACTCCTGGATTTTGTTTAGAATCTGGGGCAAAGATCATACCAATCCCTTTAAAGTCAGCTTGCTAAAGTAAAATGCTTACATGTGAATACAAATTAAGACATATTACTTAGCAAAATAAAATACCAAGTAAAATACTGACTAAATCAACATACTGAATTGAATGTGGCGCCAGTATACTGGCTATTACAGTAGCTATTATAGGGCACTAAGGATTTGTTTTCAATCAGGATTACTTTAATAATAATCCCATTTTCTAAATGAACCAAGGTTTACATAAGCCATAGCACCATGATTGAGATAATCTCCATTTTCAGATAATCACTTCATACTGTACATGTACCTGTAGGAAAAAAACACCTGTAGCCACGTAATCTATTAGGCTAATATCTATAGATACTAAATTACAAATAGGTTATTATTCTAATTAACAAAACAAAGTAAGCATTTGTTTTTAAAAATAAAGACATTTTCTTGTTTGCATTCTTTTTCGAAAGCTCGTCCGACGGTAAATTACTTCTATTTGAATATTGATTCTGATCAAAGGTGATTTCGAAAGCAATCATGTAAAAAAGTATTTTGGCATTTCACCCTAAAGGAAACAATACTTTCTTCCAGGGCAGCCGTACACCTGTACCTTCACAGCAATACATGTACATGTAATCATAAGGCTTTCTACCAAGTAAATACCCCATACAGAGTAATATTTACACAATGCAATGCACTATCAAAGTAGAACTTGTTATTTTGAAACATCAAATGCTACAAAAAATTATCATTCCTGCTAAAAACAGTGCTAAACCATGCGGACCAAAGTTCCCCGACTGCCAAATACTCTCGGTACAACTCTACAAAGCGAGTGGGGCAAGCTGCCATTGTGATGCAAATGAAAAGGCCCTGTATCAGGCTTGAATCACAGCCTTTGTGTACCCTGAATAATAGATCCCACATTGGTGGCATTCCAGAGGGTGCATTTATGCCTGCCTACTGAGGCATGCAATGGCAGCATGACAAAGTAAAACAGGATTCAACTCAAGGGGGAGGGAAAAAACATGAGGTGGAAAATGAAGAAATATATACATTGTTTAGTAGTGGCCCTTGCTTTCTTGTTAACCTCAGATGATTGTTGAACCTTGACCTCTTCCCCTAATTTTCCCTATTCTGTAGAATTTTAAAGAGGAATGATATTACCAATACCAGAGCAGAACATACCCCCAAGATTCAAAATAATAAATAATAAATTACTTTTTTCTTTCAAATTTTCTTCATTTCTTGTTTCCAATCTGTACTTTAGAGCACATGAAGCAAAGGCATAGAAAAGGGGGTTGCAAGTTTTATGATTATGGCCAAATAAGTGCATGATTAATTTATTATCATTTGTCATGATTATTAATGTTGCAAAGCTTCAAACATGTTTGAACTGACAGCTAAGTAATCAAGACGCTATGCAATGTAGTTGTTCCTGATAAAAGAGGGCACTTTAAATTCAAATTTTAGTTAAACAAAGTGAAACTATAACCCCTGCCCAAGCATAAATAGTCCATTGTTTGCTAAATCCTTTTTTAATATTAAATGTACTGTAGAATGTAGATAAACTACATAAGCCAACAATAGGGTGTGAAGATTACAGAAAGAATTCCAAAATACCATTGTCTCCCTATAATCTATTTATCAGCTAGCACCCCACCCCACCTGCCCTATCCCCACCCCCTAAATGATGTGCATGTAGGTATTGCCTTCATCATTTAATCTTATTTAATCAGACTAGATACTATTTACCTCCAGATAAGGATATTCTTTGCTTTGCAAGAGTATTCAGTTTATATAATGCTCTTGAAATTCCAAGGGGCATTATCAAAGATATGATGATAGCACTTCACTTAAGTGCAAGAATTCCTCTTTACTCCCTTAAAGTTATACTATGCTTATACAGCGCATGAATTGTAATCCCATTTGATAGACCTTCTTTAAGTTTACAGCATGGCTTTACAGTGAATAATATGTACATTTTTTTTATATGAATAGCTACCATAAATGGAAAAGTAACAGTGTGCAAACACTCAAAAGTCATTAAAAAAGGTTTGATGCATTTTGTGCAAAACTGACAGTAACAATTCTTATTGAAACCCATAGTGCAACATGCATACAGCCAGGCCTGCAGCTAAAATAGAACACAAATTAATCACCATTTCAACAAGAATATATCTCCTGCTTTTTAAGTTTCAACAAAGCTCACACAACAGAACAAATTAAGAATTTAAAGAGTGGGGATTGCACACATACATTGGTATATCTAATAAATAATAATAAGTACAGGTGTAGGCCTATAAATTTGTAAGAAAACATGAAATCATTACCAAAACAAACATGAGATACAGTCTAGTATTCAAATTATTAACAGTTAAAGAAGAAGTCTATCCTGTTTTTAATTTGGTTTTAATAAAAGCCGAAAAATAAGGGAAACAAATCAGTGAAATTTTTAGCAATATCCTAATTAATATAGGAAAATTATTATGAATGTTGAAGTTATCATCAATTTGCAACACTGATGTATCTTGCACATTGCTCTTCAATACCGGTAGGCTCTATACTGCAAATTTCATAAACTTTCATTTTCTTAGTTAATGATGACAGAATATAATTATTACATACATGGAGTGCCGGTATGAAAACATATTTGCATTAATGAAGACCTTTTAGGAAAATGTCAATTTTGAAGATACGTCGCAGAGTTGCCACTTTCTGTTTGATTGAACACACCTTCAAAATTCATAACTTATTTATTGTTAATCGGTTTTGCTCAAACTTTCACTGACTTGTTTCACTAATTTTTCTGCTTCTATTAAAATCAACTTAATATCAGGGTGGACTTCCCCGTGCAGGGAAATGGTGGTGTGCCAAATTCTATGCAACAGAATTGATTGGAGATGTGTCTACTACCAAGCGATCTGTATACTATAGTCATAAAATATAATTTTGTTATCAAATTTGACATAATTTCAATTTCATACAGAAGAAGTGGGCTATATATAAAATGTATGTGCGCTATATAAGAATCCAATATTATTTTATTATTATTTATAAGATACAAATAACAAAAAGGAACAAAAACACAGAGCAATACAGTTTTTTAATGATTTTCTCTATGAACCTACTCCTTAGATTAGAACAAACAAAGTAACAAACACTTTTATATTTCAATTATAATGAATTGTCTACAAGACCACTTTTTGTGTTTCCCTTTGACGGTCGCTATGGACAGGTTTGACTCTAGTTATTTCTCTGTAAATACTTAATAGATTTCTAGGTTACTTTGTTCGTTTTTCGTAATGTAATTAACCTATGGATAGCAAGTATTTCTATATTGTGTTAGTTTTTTTTATTTACTACGCAAATGTGCATTATTAATTTCATAATTAACAATCGAACCCAATGGCCTGAATTCACAAAGGAGGTTTACATTTACCCTATGGTATAAATCTTCATTTACAAAACCCATGGTCTAAAATAACCCCAAAATAAGCCCAAAATGAGCCCAAAATAAGCCCAAAATAAGCGCCACACATTCTGAGGTCCAATTTTAAAGGATCCGATTTAAAGGGACAACTTGGCCCAGCTGCAAAATCGGTCATTTTTTGTCATTTTACCCTAACTCTAACCCTAAACCTAAAATGACAAAAAATGACCGTTTTTGTACCTGGTCCGAGTTAGCCCGACTCCAACTACCATGGGTCATGTAAATGAGGGTTTTAACCATTGGTTAAATTTAAACCTCCTTTGTGAATTCGGGCCAAACAGATTTGTGACAAATGAACTACACAAATTTATACATTTCTGAACAAGCATTAATAATACTTAATAGAGGAAACTACTTTAGAAAATACCAATGATGATGATGATGATGATGATGATGATGATGATAATTAAGTTAAAATTAAGTTTCATGTTCTCAATTATCATGATTACTATAATTTAGAAGGGAAAGTTTGGTAGAATCATTTGATCCGTTTTCATGTTGTAGAAAATAGATGCTCTCAATTTCACAAACACGCAACAAACACTCCATAATCTGATAATGTATCAGGCGTCTCGCTACATGCAGCATACATTTGAACGGCTAACGGAAGTTAAACTCTGCCGTTCCTCCGGCATAGAAACATTCACCGAGGCCGAGCTACTACCAATCTCGCAGTTTATATCCAAATGGCGTCGCACAACTCAGCCGCTTCCACTGCATTTGGTCGCGATTTGCGCACACTGCCAGCGTTGCAAAGACACCTGTAAAATAATCAGATTTACATGATTAAAAGCCCCGTTTCTTCTTACCGATTTCTCTTGCTGTTATAGATTCCAAATTACAAGATGACGGATATTAGACTTATCCACAGAAATAATCACAGATCGTTCCTGGAGACTAGAGATGTAAAGCACGATCCACTCGGAGATGCACATACTTTGTAGTGGACCAGTCTCTAATGGTTGCGCCGCATCGCATCATTTCACACAGATTTCGATTGCGTGCATAGAGCTGGAGCTGGAGCTAGAGGTAAAGCCTGGAGTTGAGAGATGAGTATAATTATTTTGCCAGCGTCGTGTTTTTGTGCTGTAGATCGACAACAGATGGCGTAAGTCCTCATCTCACTTCAGGCTGGGAAAGCAAGCAAATCAGTATCGTGGCAATCAAGAGAGGGGTGTAGGCAGGGGCGTCGCTTGACCTTTTTCAGTGGGGGGGGGGGGGGTTCTACAAATGTTCTCAAATTAAACCCTATAAACCCTGGGCCAGGAGCTAAATAATTTTTCAGTTTCCCCCTCTCGCGCGAAGCGAGGAAGCTTTGATATTAACGGTACAACGAATCGTCTTCTTTCTCTAATAATTTAATGACATTTTCATTAGAAAAAGAAGATGATTTGTTGTACCGTTCCCGACTCTTAATTCTTGTTTCGCCCCTTCCCAGGGGCGGATCTAGCTTTTTGCTAAGGGGGGGGGGTTGACCAATAATGACGATGCGGAGCATCGTCCACGAGCCGCGAAGCGGCGAGCCGATTTTTTGGGGGGTGTTTATTTGAACCCCGTAAGTGATGTTTTCCTGGCATCTATTAACACAATGGAGACCATAAAAAGCAGTGCATGAACACGTCCGTATTACACCCCCATGTATGGTAATTTACCCTGTATGCCAACTTTTTTGCACGATTCAAACATACCTTCCAGTAAAAAAAGATGCGAGACTGGATTGCCGCAACTTCTTTGCCCTGTTTGCTTCCATATTGCTTGTCACACTACACTCAGACCAGACTGATAAAAAAGTGAGCAACTTGAACAAGTAATCCAGGAAATGAGCAGCCCAGCTCAGCGTGCGTTGCCAGGTTAAATCTTCACAAAATTCCCACCCAAACGACACTTAAAATATCCCCAAAGTTGCCAAATTTTGACAGAAAATCCCCAAATTCGTTTTTCATAAAACTCAATATTATTTTCATTCCCAAATATTTATTTTTCATCCCCAAAGACTTCAACAATCCCCCAATTTTTTTTTTTTTTTTTTAAATGTGGGGATTTTGGGATGAGAATCGGCAACGCTGGCCTAGCTTGTCACTTCGGCGGTGGCCCGTGTCCTCAAAAAAGCTGATGGGGGGGGGGGGGGGGGCAACTGACTCTGTGACATTTGTTCGCCCAACCCCCCCCCCCCCCCCCTCCCCCCAAAAAGAAATAATAATAATAATAAAAATAATAATAATAATAATAATAATAATAATAATAATAATAATAATAATAATAATAATAATAAATGAAATAAATACATAGAAATAGAATAAAATAAAATTACAAGTTTTAAAAAAAAGATAAGATTTAAGGGGGGTTGCAACCCCCCCAACCCCCCCTCTAGATCCGCCCCTGCTTCCGCGCGAAGCGCAGAAGCTACAACGTTTCATTAAATTATTAGAGAAAGAAGACGATTCGTTGTACCGTTCTCGACTCTTAATACTTGTCTAAATTCAGTATTCCAACTCCAGCGGAAGCTTAGACGTTTCATTAAATTATTAAAGAATGCAGACGATTTTTTTTTTACCGTTCTCGACTCTTAATCCTTGTCTGAATTCAGTATCGTGATTCTCGGTATCGTTTTTTCTGGGACGCACTGTATATTGATTTTTGTGTGTATTCAGAACTGAAAGGTAAAAGAAGACGATTCGTTATACCGTTTTCGATTTTTTTTTTTTCCTTTTTTTTTTCCATATTTTTTAGTATCATTCTTGCTCCCGTGACGAGCGACTCCATCAACAACTCTCTCTCTTTTACCCCCACCCCTCCTCTCTCAGGCTCTTACCACCTCTCTCTCTTCTCTTTCTCTTTCACCCCATTTATTTTTTTTATTTTTTTAAATTTTTCTTTTCTCTTTCCTTTTCCATTTTTCTTTCTTTTTTTTCTTTTCCTTTCTTTCCTCTCCTTCCTCTTTTTCTTTTTTTTTTTCTCTTTCTTTCTTCTCTTCTCTTCCTTTTCTTTCCTTTCTTTTGTTCTTTTCTTTCCCTTTCCCTTTCCCTCTTATTTCCCCCCTCCCCCTTTTCTCATTTTCCCGACGGCAGCGCAATTTTACCGACAATATCCTGACAGGTGTGGGGGGGGGGGGGGGGGAGTGTCGCACTCCCCCTTTTAGCGACGCCCCTGGCAGCAAGTGAAAAAGGATTCGTTAAAAACAAATTATGGAAATATAAACATTACTTTAAACAAACAGAACTTTGTTATTCCTGGCTCATTTTTCCTGATTGAGCTGTCATGAAAGGGCAGAGAATGAACTTTCTAGAAATGTGATTTTCTCTTTGAAATTCAGATACCGCCCGCCAAATGACTTTTTGGTACCCTCTCTTCAAATTGTTTTTAAATCACTCATGCGCGAGATATGCATCCTATGAGCTGCACCAAAATGAAAGAGAATGATCTAAGCTTTACAAATATGTGTTATTTATTAATTATAATTGTGTTTAAATTATGCTAAAAGATCGTGATTCTCGGTATCGTTTTTTCTGGGACGCACTGTATATTGATTTTTGTGTGTATTCAGAACTGAAAAGTAAATGAAACGAAATCATTATTATTATTTTTATTATTATTATTGATATCATCATCATTATCATTATCATTATCATCATCATCATCATCATCATCATCACCATTATGCATTATGCTGACACGGCCGGTTGTAGCAACTACGGCGAAGATCAAGATTACATTAATCTTGATCTAAGGAGACACGAATGAACGAGCATGCCTACAGGCCTCTTCCTTATTAAATTTCATCTCTGCTGAACAATAATGATGATAAGGACATGCATATTATTATGCTGATCGAAACTTAAATTCCCACAAAACGGTATTACTTTGTTTATGTATAACTTTTAGTCTAATTCTGTTTAAGTCATGTTGCATAAGGTGCTGTAGAACAAAGCACATTGCATTAATGGTGACCAAACTTTGTAAAAGACATACTTAGCATACATTCGGTGATATTATGTGGTCCATATTTTTTATTTTATCCTAATGTTATAATACTGGTTCTTGCAAAACGTATTAGTTTTGTCTCACTTTATTTTGTTCATTTTTGTATTTTTTCCGATATCTGTAATGAGCTGTTTCGTTTTCTGTTCATGCATCTTGTAACTTTTCATTCTACTTTTACTCCATTGAACGAAGCATACAATATCTTTTATTCAATTTCTATCGCATAAATATTTTCTCTTACCTGATGTAATTCAGTAAAAGAGTATAAAAAATCCATTATGCATTTTGCTCGTGAATTAGTCTATATTAGATACATTATTTCTCTCAACTCAATATTTGTAACCTATAAAGCCAGCTTAAAAAGGCATATTATACATTTGTTACTTTTTAAGGGCCTGCATAATTATGAGCTATTGACATATTAAGCTTATAATAATGTTGATGAAGACGATGATGGTGATGGTAATAATAGATCCACATTTGAAGTCATATACATAACAATTTATGTATCAAATGCAGAATGGATTTTATTCAATTTGGAAGCGAACAGAAAAAATTCCAGATAATTTTTTACAAATTTTGCAATTCTAATACCCAAATATCAATTAAACATCATATAGCAGTCAGTAATTAAATTGTGTATCAATGACCTTCAGTGAAAATTTTTGTGATAACTTCTGAATAATAATGATGTAATCATTTTTGTTCTGTGAATTTAAAATTTAGAAAATCTGTTATACTTAACCTTTATTTTCCTGAACAAAGAGAAAATGATTACCTTGAAAATGGGTAGGTTTATAAAATGATGATGGTAGGTACAAATGTATATTTTAACAGTTGAATATGCCAAGGTAGTTTAAAGGGACAACAGTTTTAGTGTAAAAAGGGCACACTTATTATAAAAGGAACATTGGCTTCGAAAACGAGCACGATTATATTTCTGAAAGGGGCACAGTTCGTTCATATATTGGGCATCATACCACCTGTCCCCTCGGCTACTACTTTTTATTGTAGTTTTAGAATGGTGCCTGCATGTTACTACCAAAAGCTGCTTCGATTCTTTGAAACTAGATATGGCTCTTTATAGATGACCGCAAAGGGGCACAATTTGTAAGTAATTAGCGACAGTGGGAAATAAAGATAAAAGGGGGTACTTATCAAAGGGCAATTACATCAAAAGTAACGCGGGTACTTATATTATAAATACTTACACTTATATTTAAAAGGGACCTTATCAGAGCGGAAAATGGGTATTTCTCATACTTACAAAGGGGCACTCATCAGAGATGTAAAGAGACTCTTTTTTTAAATAAGGGAAAGTGCAATTATTAAAAAATAAAGAAAAGGGGCATTTTTCAGGGGTAAACAGGAGCACCAGAAAAAGACTTAATGGAGATGGTCATATAGGACGGATGCAAAATCATGTAATGGGTAATTTATAGTGAGAGGCTGGATGGAGTCGATAGCTTGAATGCAAAAAGATTGTCTCTGACTGACTGATGTATTTCTTCTGAATGAATTCGACATAATATCAATAGAATCATATTTTGAATAGTTTCATGTAATCTTTTGGTAATAGGCTGGTGCAATGCTGGAGCGAAAATACTGAATGATATTTCTATGAAATAGCGCATAATATATTACGAAAATCCTCAGAGACGTTTTATCTTTTGCTATTTGCAGACGAAATATTCTGTTTTCAAAGAAACTTAGAAACTCTTTTAGAAATCGTAAACAGGGAGCTCTGCATGTGTATTAACTAAATGAATGTTGAAAACTAAATAGATGTTATTCATTTAAGGCGTAAATATTTATAATTGAATGACACACGCCCTTAAGACTAAAAAAACAACAACAAGTAATGCCTGGTAATGTAGTCTTTGATCAGGTAAATATTGAAAAGGTTTCATTTATTAAATTTCTAGGTCTCCACATTGATGGTAAATTGACTTGGAAGATGCATACTACTCATTTAAAGGCCCACTGCACTACTTGTAGCTACTTGCGCCCTCTATATAACAAACAATGCCTAATCGGTGACCATTGGTCCCCCATATGATCCTCTTTTTCTTATGTTAACTGAGAGCTGAGTTGATGAGATAACCACCTGTCGAGTGACCTTGCAGTGCGCTCTAATCCCTCCTGTAAACTACGGCAGATAAGCTTTAAGTGCCCTTAATATTATGATCAACAAATTGAAGTTTGTGTTCCCTAGAAATGTACCTAGTTTTGCCATACTTAATAGTGTGCTTGCCTGGGGAGCTGGCAAAGGTGACACTTTTTTGTTGTTGGTAGTCCCCCCCAAAATCGCAACGACTCAGCCAGCCGCTGTATAAGCGGAGGGGGGGGGGGGGGGGGGCGTTAGAGGACACCCTGGCTACGCGCCTGCTTTAAAAGGAAAATGAATCAATGATGATTGTGATAGCATACAATAATGTAGACATGAAGGATGTTTTGTGTTATCGGGCGAGGGTCGGGACGTAGCGACTAAGCGAGATTTTGCAATGTTGAATACTGAAATTATGCAATCTAGAAAATCCCTAAGCCCAATAAGTCTTTCCGCTATATTTCTTTCTAGCTATATTTCGTAAATTTCCTTGGGGACGTGTCCCCCTATCCGGCCCAGGATTACCGCCCTTGTCCATGAATATACAATCACAAGCGAGTTGGTATATGACCTGAATCCCAATGGAGGGAAAAATAAGAGTTGTGAAGCGGCCCTACCGTTAATTTCTTCTTTCTTCTTTTTCTTTTCTCCTTTTGTTTCTCTCTCTGTTTCTTTTCTCTTCTTTCTTTTCTCTTCTCCTTTTTTTCTTCTCTTGTCTTTTCTTTTTTCTCTTCTTTTCTTCCTCCTTTTTTCCTTTTTTTTGCGCCGCCAATAAGGGGGGGGGCGGCCGTTTCGGCCCCCCCTGGATCCGCCACTGGTCATCAGCTAGAACTCTGCTTGGGATTAATTTAAAGCCCGTTTCATTATATTTACCTTCCCCATTTTTGTTTCTATTTTAATTCTATTCTATTAGTCTACTTTTTTTTTAAAATTGTTGTTTTGTGCCTGTAAAGGTGATCTGTGTTTATGAGCTGTGCATTTTTTTTTTTTTTTTTTTTTTACAGACCACCTCTTTTCCACATTTTCGACGCCCTCAAATCAAGGTCCATGCTCAAATTAATTAAGTCCACATAATTAATTATAATATTATGCATATCGCGATATCGATCATGATCGATCTTGCATGTGAAATTACCAATTTTAAAGTCAACTTCGCCACGTACAGGTAAGATCTCTGTGATTTACTTTTAGGTCTAAATTTCACGCGATGTTATGATTTGATCGAATGAGAACGAAGAAAAGGAAACTTTGAAAAGAAAGTGAGATGAGTTAAACGTATTTTGGCGGAGAATACATCTGCTCTGACGACGTAAGACGGCTCTTGCAGTCTTGGTTGGTTACTGTCTTACAGAACTGCTTGGCAGCTTGGTGATGTCCGGGCCTCGGCCCGGCCGCTGCCGCGGCCGCGCTAGCGTCAGTGCTGCTGCGGCTTCGTCCAATATCGTAAGCTGTGAAGATAGCCTTAGGGCATGGTGATAATGTTTTTATGATATTGATATCAATATCATAAAAACATTAGGCGCTATTTCAGAAGTCTATCCAGACTTTGACCCGTAACTCCTGCGTGGAGGGGTACAAAAAAGAGTCTTAGATCTAGATCTACTTAGTCTGGGACTGGGGTCTACCAAATGAAATAGACCCTAACTGTTGGATCTCTAGTCTAGATCTAAGTTAGATCTATTCATCAAAATATGTCCAAATAAAGGTCATGATTTAAAAGTTGATATGTTTGTTACCTGTTTCGTGTCAATTTTCTTATCTTTTTCGGAGCATTTTTCCTAAAAACGAACACTTAGACTAGGTCTATAATAATAATAATTAATATGCACCTTCTCACAGGATTCACAGCTAACTGCAGCACAATACAATGACAAGACGTCCTGACAGTTGGGTGTGGGCGTGCGCGTGTGTTAAGTTAGTGACTGTAATTTTAGTTTACGGTCGCTATAACTGGACACACGCGCGCACCCACACCCCACCGTCGGTACGGTATGCAATCAACATTTTATGCAGGGGGCAAGGACTGAGGAGGGTATAATGCTCTACATTAAAAATTGTCTGATACTATTACTAATATAGTAATATGATCATGTAATATGTATGAAATCAAAGAAATACAAGTATATTTCAAAAAAAAGAAATCAAAGAAATACAAGTATATTTCATGACCCAAACTTTGCATTTAAACGATATTTGTATGTGAGAGTATTTTTCATAATTTGACGTAAATTTGTTGTAAATATTTTCAGGATCATCAGTTCACCAGTTATGTTTCATAACTTGTTAAACCAAGTGCTCCATGTTGGTCGAGGAAGTACTAGTTGCAGATGCTTCTGCCATTGATGATCCGGTACCAGCAAAGAGTTATCACTGGTCCTCAACACAATGCAGCGGGTGTCTTGTAAGATCCTGGCTGTATCGGTCATCTTGTTCGGAATCTCCCTCTTTTACCTGACCAGGAAACAGATGTCATCTTCAGATGCGGTCGTGTCTCAGGATTATGATTACATCCATATTAGTCACAAAGATATGACGTGGAAGAGCGATGATGATGATGTATCCGAGGTCCAGCAGAATGATGATTACTATGGTGTTATGTTTGATGCAGGCAGTACTGGTTCCAGGGTCCATGTCTTCCATTTCCAAGAAACTCCCCAAGGTGAATTTGAAAGTAGCTGATCAATAGAAAAAGTCATTACTCGGTAGTCAAATTTCCAGAAGTAGATAAAAGGAAATATATTAGCTGTGCATGAAAAAAAAAATGGAAAAAAAAGCCATATGATATTGATAGTAGTTGTAAATCATTAGTCATCCACCATCTTCATATTAAAGTCACAAATGAACTTCACCCAGCTCTGTTTCAATCGATCTTAAACCTTACCAGACCTGAAAATTGGTAAATTAGTGAGCTATGTATAGGGCTGAACTTATGACTCTGTTTACCTTAGGATTTAATGTAGATACATTTGCAGTTTGTCCAATGAAATTAAGTGAAATGGTACTAGTCAACCACAGGGCATTAGCATTCGAACATGGAGTCTAACATAGAATCTAAGTGTTAGTAAGCTTCATGGGAGAGCTAAAGCTGATCCATATGAGTTACAGCAAATTAGCAAAGCTTATATTGTACATGTATATCATACATCTTGTTTTTATTAGTAGAGTACATGTATATAGTACTTTAAAATAATTTAAAATACACCTAGAGTGTTAATAAAATCTAGAGTATTTTTCTTCCTCCCCCCCCCCCCCAGGTATTCCACCAATCCTGATATCAGAAGTTTTCAACTTCACAAACCTTCCTCTTGCACAGTATGCAGATAATCCATCCGAGGTATGTTCACTTTTAATTCAATCTTTGCATAAACTGCTGTCGTAGGATTGTAGTGTTATTCATAATAATTATAATAATGCATGTAGTTGCAATTTATAGAGCACCTTTTCTGCTGGATGCAAAACATTACTTCACTTGCTCAAAATGGTAACATTATAGTTATAAATATAAGGTTTATCATGTTTTTTTACCAGATTTTTTACAAGTGACATTTACAGTTGCTTAAAGATACAAATACTTTCCTTTTGTCATCTATTTGTTGGTACTTTGGTAAAAGTGACAGATTTCTGAACACTGATTTCATTTTTCATTTTCAGGGAGCAGCCTCCCTGAAAGTACTTTTGAATGTAGCATTGCAATCAATTCCATCCAGCCATTGGTCAACGACCCCAGTGGCCTTGAAAGCTACTGCTGGTCTTAGACTTATACCAGAGAAGAAGGCGAAAGCTCTCCTAGATGAAGTGAGTATAACTTTTATTAGGCACTCTGTAACCCTCACTAAAAGGAATTACATACCCTGTTTAAATAAAACAAAATAAATAAATAAATAAATAAACTGGTGGCACAAGAATAGGAAGGAAATATGAAGTAATATGATCATCAAGTTAACTCAAATGGTGATAATTGATGCAGATAACTTGCAGTTTTGTGCAGTCCTTAAAATATGAAATTAAGAGTCATGAGATTTGTTTTTATTGCATGGCTCATGTCTGTTATGCTATCAAACCTCCCCCTTTTTTTTGTCTGAGGAAAAGTTACAAATTATCTATTTTCTAAATTTAGAAGGCAAAGACTGGCTTTCATTGTTGTTTCCTTGTTTTTGTTTATCTCATTTAAAGCAAAAGTTTAATTATCCTTTCAAACTTATTTTTTCAATGTATGTAATGTTATCTTTTGATAATTCAAAGGGATATTACTCTGGGACAGGTAACCAAAGATTGTTTCAATATAGGTTTCATTGATTCAGTTGTGTTATGTTTGATATAGTCAAACCATCTGTTACTTTTCCATTCCATGTTATACAGGTATATTCACTGTTCAAGAGCTCTTTGCTTCATGTTGAAACTCCTGAAGCCACTGTTGACATTATGAATGGAACAGACGAGGGCATTTTCATGTGGGTCACAGTCAATTTTCTTAATGGTAAGTTTTTAAGTTACCCTTTCAAAAATTTCTTGATTTTATGTTTTATCATTGTCTTTTCTGACCATTTATTTTCTTATTTAGGAAAATATAGATTTATAGAAAATTGATTTCAACCAATGGGTATGTTTGTATTAGGCTAGTTTGTATTACTGTTGTTGTTATTGTATTGTGTATGTCAGTGAGGTTTATAGATTTTTATTTTACATTTCAGTAAAGCCGTTTATTTACATTAATATTACAGGTGTTTGACATCATGAAGATATGTTTTTGCTTGTAAATAAAGAGATTAATATTGTTTTCTAAATTACAACAATTGTTCATTAAATATAAATCATTCATTGATGAATTATCACCTGAAAGATGTGTAAAAGTCGTGTAATCCAGGAATAATTTCTGATGGACTGATATAGAAATGCTTTACTCTGTCATGGCAGTAAAACAGCAGATGTGGCTCAGGTAGTAGAAAAGTTAAGATTTACACTTATTTATTTTTGATGCACAGAGTAAGGAGTATGTTTTAATTAGCAAGAAATGGAGAGCAGATTACAATAATTTAAACCATCACTCTATTTTCATCATATTTTCTGAAGGAGCTCTCATAAGCTCAACTCCAGAAACAAGAGGTACACTGGACATGGGAGGAGGGTCAACTCAGGTCACCTTCTTACCTCAAATTGAAGAAACATTGTCTCATCATATACATGGAAATTACATCAAGACGTACCCATTCCTTCATCATAACTACAAGCTCTACACAAAAAGGTTTGATTTTGATAAGTTTTTAGTTGATTTGTGAAAAGGAAAGCCATAGATGTTAAAGAAGGTGTTTGTGTGTTGAAGGTATCAGAGAGCCGGGAAGTTTGAAGCGGAAAAGACAAGAAAAAGAAGAAAATTGTGAATGATTGCTTGCATATAAAAGTGGTAAAATCTGTGAAGTGTTTCTTATTTCATAAGTATAGAATAGTCATCTATGCACTAGATTTATAGTCAGTGTTCATTTTTTTTTTAGACAGCTCTTTTCTTAGTATTAATATCTTTTTGTTCACATTCTAGTTTTCTAGGTCTTGGACTTAAAGCTGCTAGACTGGAAATATTAAAGCGAGAGAAAGAAAACCCAATCTTTGTTGGATCAAGTGATATCGATCAGCTCTCGGGTGAGTTTATACAAAATAATCTCTATTTTTATGCCTCCGTTACGAAGTAGCCGGAGGCATTATGTTTTCGGGTTGTCCGTCCGTCCGTCTGTACGTACGTACGTCTGTACGTACGTACGTACGTCCCGTTCTCGTGATCGCGTTATCTGAAGAACCGATTGATGGATTCCTACCAAACTTAGGTCATGTATGTATCTTGAAGAGCTGATGAACTGATTAGATTTTGGGGTCACGAGGTCAAAGGTCAAAGGTCACAGCGCACATTATGTATGCAAAAACAGCTCGTGATCGCGTTATCTCAAGAACAGATTGATGGATTCCTGCCAAACTTAGGTCATGTATGTTACTTGCAGAGCTGATGAACTGATTTGATTTTGGGATCATGAGGTCAAGGTCAAAGGTCATGCGGCTCATTATGTATGCAAAAATAGCTTGTGATCGTATTCTCATTGGAACAGATCGATGGATTCTTGCCAAACTCGGATCATTTATGTATCTTGCAGAGCCAATGAACTGAGTAGATTCTTGGTTCATAAGGTCAAAGGTCATGGGTCATTATGTATGCTAAAATAGCTTGTGAACTCATTCTCATTAGAACTGACAGATGGATTACTATTTAACACAGGACATCTTGCAGAGCCAATGAACTGAGTAGATTTTAGGGTCATGAGGTCAAAGATCAAAGGGTCATATATGTATATGAGAAATTGCTTGTAGGCCTAATCACGATATTCTGAGAACCTGTTAATGGATTACAATTGAACTTGAATTTGAAAAATTTCTTCTGTTTTGGTTTGTAAAATTGCTCTATGACGGAGGCATCATTTTCGACTGCGCGCAGTCGAATTCCATCTAGTTTTAATTTTAAAATAGTCCCTCTTTGATAAAAAAAGAAATGGAAATACACCTGCAGAGGCTCATAGAAATACTGGACGTCTTTGCACAGAGAGACACAAGGTTCAGAGTATAGTCGATATAGGCAGTATATTGCCTGGGGGCAAGTAACTAGTGAACTAGTCACTTGGATGGTACAAAAAACTTTTGGTTGTTTGACTGTGTACTTAGAAGCTTATATTCTTAGTGAATAAGGTCAAATCCATACTTGTTTATGAACATGAAAGAGAAATTGAACCAATTCATATGTTACATCAAAAAGATTTACAAGTCTCCAATAATCAGTGAATGTCTAATGCATTGTGTCTAGTGCAAAAGCAAACAACTCTATACTCTAGAGAAAAGAAATTTGACCTCTCAAAAAACGAGTACGCCTAAGGTGGACAAAAATGGATTGAAAATTCCAAAGTCAAGAAATAGTGATTTCTACTAAATTTCAATAAAATGACTAATTGTTATATACAATATTGGAGTTAATAAAATTCTGTATGGTAGTATAAGAAATATGAAATTACCAAATAATACCAAGCCGGCAGTAGAGATATTAAACCGTGTATAAAAAATATCCAATACCAATGCACAATATCAATGATCCATTATCACTTCTATTACAAATATTAGCTATCAGGTAATGAAAATGAAATGTACAATACTTTTTAATTGATCAATAAATGATTCCAGGTTTGTTTTCTTCCTTGTTTTGGTCAGCAGGTCCAGAAGAGTTTGCCAGTACGTGTCTTCCTCCATTCACTTCAGGTACATGGGACTTTGGAGGCAATACGTACTCTGTATCATCATCAAATTTACATTCTGAAAATATGTATGCAAACTGCTTGAGTGTGGTTAAAGCCTTTATAGAAGATACTGTCATAGTGCCATCAGAAATGCAGGAAAGCTCTTCTTTTTATGCCTTGTCTTACTTCTGGGAAAGAGCTGCAGAGATTAAAAAAGTTGGTAAGTTCAAGTTTGTCCATTATGTTGTATAGTAGTATGTCCAAAATTTGATAGGTCAAACAGTTTTTAATGAAAAGAATTGATGTATATTCACTTAGAAAATAAGTATTTGATGAGGATTATAAAATCTTGTATTTTTCTATATTCGTATGATAGCATCATTGTGAACTCTATTCCCACGGAATAAGGAGAGAAAACAAATTAACAATGAACAGCATATTAATACAAATTTTGAAGGCACTATTTAATTTTAAAAATTTCAATCAGTGATTTATTTATCATTTTCGGGTGTGATTTGATATTGAAATACAGTGTTCCATTTTTGTTCTGGTGTAAAGTTTGCAAGGTTATTTATATCTGTATACTCAATATATTTTGTTGTTGATTATCTTTTTATTTTAGATTGGAAGAAAGGAGGAATGATGTTAGTAAAAGACTATAGGGAAGCTGCAATAAATGGTAAGTATGATCAAAGTGCTTCAGAGCTTCATTAATTATTGTTGATGTTTGTGTATCCATTTTAGTATGCTATAGGAATGGAAATAGGAGTAATTAATATTTTATTCCTTAAAATAATGTTTATAAATATTTATTTAAAAAAAATGATATCCATCATGTCTTTGGTCAATGCATTTCAACAAAGTACTTTTACATACCCGTACCAGTTTAGTGTTAAGTAGCCTGTGCTCTTAGACATACTTGAGATTTGTTCTTTCTATTTTTATCTCACCAGTGTGTTTCAACCATACAATGTATGCTGACAAGCCATTTCATTGTATGGATCTTGTATACCTCAGCTCGGTTTTATCACATGGATATAGATTCAGAGATGATGTCAAGTTACTGGTAAGTCTAGATCTTCTTGAAGCCTCTCCCTCACTTTAATCTATAAATCCATCATAATAATAATAATGATAATAATACACACAATTTATTAGGTGCTTAATATGGTTGTTTCTAAGCGCACCATTGTCTGTCTACAAATTACCTGCCAAAACTTATAGTGAACACACAAATTATAAATCTTTTTTTTTCCTTCAATAAATCATGCATATATAATAATAAAAATGTGATCAAACATAAAATCAAACATACAAGGGATATATATGTATAACTTATGAGACTCCAACTCTTGTCATCTTCTCTTCAGTATTATAATGTTCTTTTCGTTCCCATTTATGATCTTAATTATTATTCTTTATTTAAAATATATGCCTTTCATGGCTTCACTCTGCTCTTTCCTTCTTCTCATAGTGGTACCTGTATAATATAAATCTTCTTCACTTTAACAAAAATGCTGGTATGATACGCCATTGATAGAGTCATCATATTATTGTGTGTGAAATGTCTAAGCACTTTAGGCAATACCACAGTAATATGGCTCAGTTGCAATGGTAATTCATGTGTGTAGAATGCTGAAGTATACCTCATTGCATTGGTAGGGTGGTAAATGTTGGTAGACTGGTGTTTCTTGAACCACAATAGTCGTAAAATTTGTGTAAAATGATTTGATGGGTTAATAATGAATGAATTAGAACCCTTTTATAAAAGGGTGGCTCTTTGATTGAAATTATACTAAATTTGTTCTTTATTAATATTTGTGCTCTTGATTCTTTAAGAGTTTAGTAAGTAAATTTCCCTCATCACTTTTACTTAGACAAAACATGTTTCACTACTACACATGCTGTATGAGGAATACTTGATGAATGATCTCACAAGATAAATTAATAATTAATTATGATAAATTCTATTGGACTATAATGACAATATTTTGCATAGCTTTAGAGGCATGTACGTGCATAGAAAATGAGAGTGTATGATTGATTAATTTGTTTTAATCTAAAAAGTTACACTGCTTAGTAAACTCAACTAATTGTCTTCTTTTTCTTCTATTTTTTTCTTTCGGTAGATGACAAATACAATTGATGACTTTAATGTCAGCTGGGCCCTTGGTGCAACCCTAGAGCTATTGAGAACACATTGGGAAAATATGAAGAAATTATGATACAGAGACTATCCTCTGCTCTTTATCTCTATCTCTCTTCCTATGCACCTGCTATGGTACACACACCCCCCTTCTCTCTCTCTCTCTCTCTCTCTCTCTCTCTCTCTCTCTCTCTCTCTCTCTCTCTCTCTCTATCTATCTCTCCTGGAGCAGACATGAGAGAATGTATCCATACAAGTTCTCCTTAAAATACAAGAACATTCAACTGGATGACCATTCTGATTTTTGTGCAATTCTTTGAAATTGCTTTGCTTTGCTAAACTGTCTTCAGACGACTTCAGACTCTAGAATACAAAATGAGAAGAAACATGACTGTATCAAGTGCTGCCACAAGAGAACATATATTCATGGATATACCTTTCAGGACGGTTGGTGTAGCTTATCCTGACGCAGTGTGTACATTTTGTTATTAAAACTGTTTGGCTTGAAACTGGATCAAAGAGCTGAAGAGCTTATGCTGGGGTAATAGTGTGGAGCGCCAGAAGTGTCGAGTCTGACAGGCATGAGCGCTATACAAGAACTCACTATTATTATTGTTATATGTACATACACTTTCCTCATGAGACACCCTAATAGTTTTTTAAAAAATTCTTCCAAGTTTGATACAATACTCTACATTATTGTAGGGAATCATATATAGAGAGCATTAAAGGGTCTCACTATCTAGCAGTTCATGGTATTTCTGATATTTTAATTGGTGTGGTATTTCATAATGGGTCTATTGTCGTTTTCCAAGATGTTGTATAGTACAATCAGCAACATCTTCAACAGCATGATGGTCTGGTATATTTTCTGCAATATTGACAGCATTTATTAGAATACGCGATTCTATCATCCTAATGTGATTCTAATAATATGTGTGAATTGATGGAAGATTTGATTTGACACTGCCGTAGTAACTCTGAAGTACATTCAAGGGTGTTTTTTTTAAACAAAGGTGCAAATATACTTGCAATGGCAGCTGGAGATTATGAACATTACCAACCTTGTACTCAAATAACTCAATAAAGGACATTGATTTTTAATTCCTTTTTTATACATTTGTTTAATTTATATACAGGGCCTGGCACCTTCAAGTAAATTCATAATATATTTGTATGGTGTACCGGTAAATTCATTGACTCCTTTCTTTAAATATGGCTTGTTTACATATGCCATAGTAAACTGTGGTGGTTTATCAAGAGGTACTTATTTAAGTGAACTTGCACTTTACGTAAAAATTGTGTATGTTAAAACACACAGATAAGTGACTATGTGTGTGACCATTGTCATGTGCAGCTACACATAATTTTTACATTCTCACTTGTCATTTATGTATATTACCCCCAAAAATCTGCCTTTGTAAATCATGGCAGTTTACAAGCCTGTAAGAAGCTTCATCAGGTAACAAGTAGAAATGCCTGCCTGGCTTGCATATTGGGAAATACCGAATTTAAGATAGGAAAGACTTTTATTAACAAGTTTTCTTTAACAAAGGTGCCATATTAAAATATGGAAAATAACCAATGTGTCATGATTCTAATCATTTCATTTTTATATTGATGAATAGTTAGAAATCTTAACTGAAAGGCTGTATGGAAGACTTCTAATGACCAATCCTTTCTGTTCATGCAACTCTGCAATGTTTGTGTTACATTGTCCAGCTTTCTTTTGCGAGATGCTTCTTGTACACAAGATATATCAAGGGTTCAAATATCTTATTGTGTGTGAGTGTAATTCATCGAATAACATAAGGATTCCAGGGCTATAGTGTATTATATACTGCTAACATGGAACTATGAAAATGCCTGTGAATGTATGATTTAAAATTAAATGTTTTCTTACATTAGCAATTTATGTATTATATGTTGATTATTGATTATTGCAGTATTTCAAATTTTGACTTGTACCTGAATGCTGTCCATGCAAAATCTGCCACAATATTCCTCAATACTTTAGTTTAAGAGAAAGAAGTTTTATAATCGACCAACTTAAATCTATTCTTCTTTTTGTAGGTCTTGTTCTTTGTAGTACATAGATATTTTGTAATATGTAAGTAACATGCAGTACTTTAGAGGGGTAAAATCTGTGATCTGTGATGTGATCTGTGATTATGTGGAGATGACATGGTATAGTGGTTTATTCACTTGACTCTAAGTCCAAGGGTTGAGGGTTCCAATCCCAGCCCAGTACTAACATCCTTTGACAAGACATTAGTCCACTTTTGCCACTCTCCACCCAGGTGTAAATGGGTACGCGATATGCCAGAGTGTTACATATTTGACTGCCAGCTATGACGTGGGGGGGGGGGGGTAATAATGTTGGAGTGCCAGGAGCATCATGGTGTGATGGACGTGCTCTTTATGCGAGGGCACCATCATTATTATTATTATCATCATCATCATCATCATCATCATCATCATCATCATCATTATTATCATCATCATCATCATCATCATCATTATCATTATTATCATCATCATCATCACTAGTATTAATATTATGCTTAGCAAAGAAAAACATTTGCCAAAAATTTGGAAGTTACTTTTAGAGCATTTTCTCATGTATTTTGTTTCAGTTTTGTGAAATTTGTGCAGGCTCATTCCGAGACTTTCGTCTCATGATATTTGAAAGTGTCCTGTCTTCAGAGCATGACCAGTTCTCTGTAAAGTAAAAAACTTATTCAATATATTGTTGATAAGGTCCATGGATTTTAATGTTATAGAGTTTTCTTATTTCATTGCAAGTGTATGTTTTGAATTCCTGTAAACATCTCTAACATTGTTTTGTAGTACATACAGGCTCTCACTCTTAAAAAATGTAGAATTACGTAAGTAAACTTTTGGAATTATTTTGTTGTTGTATTTGTGCAACTTTTGTATGTATGTATACTTAGTTTTATCAATGAATTGATGTATTTGTTTCTTTTTATGGTACATGCTGTATTTATTTTTCTTGAAATATTTGCTGAAAATATGAGAATGACGAAATTACTGCTCTTTTACATACACACATATATATATATATATATACATTCCCAAGTTGTTGAAGTTGTTTGATTTTTAATTATGGCTCAATATTAAAGAGAGAGAGAGAGAGAGAAAATAAAAAAGGAAGAGAGGAGGGGTCAGAAAGGAGAAAGAGAAGAGAGAATGGCAAGGGTAAAGGGAGAGAAAGAGAGACGGATGATACATAGATTTAATTATTTAAAAAAAATGGATGTCAGACTTCAGTTTGTCTTGTGTATACATGTGAGTGAGTTAGGAAGACAAGAATGAAGGGTTCTAAACTGGAAAGGAGTATCTCCGATGATTGAATCTTATTGCAAAAAAATCTGTCATTGATCATATTCAAAATATGCCCATTCATATGATCTGGACTCTGGAGATATTGTTGCTCTTCATTTTTTTAAAACTAATTGTGTATCCGACCGTATGCCTGGAAGAGTACACGACTATCAAATTACACGCTTATGCACAGCCTTGATGTTAAGTAACGTAAATGGTATGTTTTGGCAGGATGATGCAGCGTGCATACGCATAACCTTCTGCAAAGACTTAATTAACATGATAAGTTAACATATTTTTTTAATTCAGAAAACTGTAGTAACCAAAAAACAAAAACACAGAATGTAACATATGATAACGTATATATATATATATATATAAGTCTTAATTTCAAGTATTGTACATGTTTACACACTGTATTTGTACTTGAATGCATTAGATATATCACTTTTATAATTCAAATCTACACATTTGATATTAAAACTAACATAGAAAGCAAAAAAGGAAGGAATAAGGTAACTTTTCATGAACGCCTTCTCCGGGTCCCTTCTGGACAAAGGAAATGCGTATGAAATGATGAAGCTCAAAAATATATGCCAATTAGTTCACCTAGCTGTAAGTGCATGTGATCAAGCATGAAATGTGATTGGCTGTGAACACATGTTTACAGGGATCCTCATTTTAATTTTCGGACTTAACATGCAGAAGTTGATAACATTTTCAGAATACGGCCAATGAGGTTTAAAACTAATGTTTATCTGAAAATCAGACCATTTAATTAAACGTACACCGGTAGTCATTTATTTTATCTTTTTCCTTTTCTATATTTTTTCTAGGATACCATCGGCAAAATTTTTGGTAAACAATTCGAATCCATAAAAATTGCACTCAGAATCGTTGACGAAATATTACAAATCGTGTGTCCTGCAGGTGAATTTTATACATTTTGTGAATATGCCGAAGGGGAAAAGTCCATTCCGGATCCTGCAAGGGGAAGGAGATACATTGAAAAAAGAGGTAAGTCCGATCATCACAAATTATAAAATTTGTTAACATAAAACGTTAGCGCTTCAGCCTTCAGTTAACCGCTGCTGCTCCGCCTTGGCCTGAGCTGAGCTGACACTTCTGCCTGGCCTGGTGCCTGCGCCTCGCGTAGAGACCTCTTGGCCGTGGCTAGGCCTGGCCCTGGGCCCCGTCTTACAAAGAGTTGATTTCAATCGCAAGAATGTACATAAGAGATAGGAGACTGCAAACTTGTGATCGATTGGAGGACTTGATTGATCAATCGTAACTCTTTGTAAGACGGGGCCTGGTCTGGGCCTAGACTAGATCTAGACCAAATTTTCCGTCTCTTTCGTTCGTTAGCCTCTTAATTGGGTACGTAGGGTCGGCCGGCTCTCTCTTTAGAGACGGAAACCGTTTATACACATTCCCTTGATAACGCCACGGCCATTTCAGGTCGTAGCGTTTTGCCCCCAAAATCCCCCAAAATGTCATTTTACCTCGTGTAGAGTAGTGGCTCCGGTCTGCGGCCGATCGGCGGGAACTGCCGATTCTATTTTTATTGGAATACTCACAGAATACTTCAATACCCTCAATAAAGAGTCCATATACTTACTTATTAAATAGAAGTCACAAATAACTTAACTGACCCACAGCGTGGTCAGCATTGACCACGTTTCGAAATGCTTCGAGTTCCCCGGTTTGCGGGCACGCATTACCGGTTTGCGGCACGCGTACGTCACAAAGCTTTATGCGCTACGTCACGATGAAAGCATGTACCAAATTACTACGGGTAACCCAAATTCTCATGTTTATCTGTTGCTACGGTAAATTTGTCAAGTTTTAAACAATTTCACCTTTTCCTCGAATGGATCATCCCATCCGGGTGTAAGTACTACTAGAAACTATCGGGTCATAGCGGGTACACACATCAGCACACATACCATCATACACGATCCCGCATGTTATGTGTGTATTAACACCCCCCGCCGCAAACCAGAAAAAACACGTAATTACGTGCCGGTTTGCGGCCACCCCATGCAACTGGCCATGCGGTGGCACAATCAAAATATCTGCGATAGGAGACAGACCACAGCCATCATACTTCCACAAAAACATCAAATTTCACCTCCAATCGGACAAATATCGGACAAATAGAGCTACAATATTGATCTAGTCATGCCTCGATCTCTTAACTTAAAAGTTAGCACCTGCTGGAATTTTCATCGGCGACTGGTGCCGTAGATTTCCGACATCGCTGACGGATACTCCGTACCGACAGGAGCACCTGCTACGGACGTTTTCGGCAAAGCAGAACTTACCGTGGAATCCACGGTAGGTTTCAATGATTATTATCGAGTCATATTCATTTTATTTTTAAAACAAATACCCCTGGCCGCAAACCGGGCGATGCCGCAAACCGGAGACTCTACTCTAGATTTTTCTATATCCAAATGTAAATTAGACCTAGGCCTAGGCTAAAATACATCGGTTCCACTTACTAACTTGATTGAAATAATCCATTTAATGGTCCCTTTTAAGGAAATTATGGGTCAAAATCGACATCCATGTTGAAAATCTTGCAAGCCGTGTTAAACTCTCGCTGCCGGAGTCATCTAAATCAATCTCATCCCTTCTAGTCTACGCTGAAGGCAAAATGATTGAGGGAAAAACTGTGATAACGCCATTACGAACGTGTAGATGGCGCTACGACCTGAAATGGCCGTGGCGTTATCAAGGGAATGTGTATAGACGGTTTTCGTCTCTAAAGAGAGAGCCGGCCGACCCTACCCCAATAAGAGGCTAACGAACGAAAGAGACGGAAAATTCGGTCTAGGTCTGGGCCGGGCTCGCACTTGGCCTCCGTGGTATCCCACAGTTGTCTGAAATAATTGACAGTCGGCTGACAGTGCCAGTGGCGAATCCATATTCAGGGGGTGAGGGCAGGGAGGGGTATAGGATTAGGGGTGCTAGTTCAGAAGTTTATCCAAAATTTGATCCGTAACTCTGGCGCGGAGATACCCTACTAAAACATACCCAAAATGAAAAGAAAAAAATTGACAAGAAACAGGTAATAAATATAACGACTTTGAAATCATGAGCATTATATGAACAATTGATGAAGATTTAGTTGATTTTTGGTATGTTTTAGTAGGGTTAGTAAGTACAAGTTAGCAGACTTGTAATTTAGAACAATGAAGAAGCAGGTTAAAACAATTGTAATACATGTGTTTTAATGAAATGTCAAGAAACTTGTAATTATAACGGGTTTTGTAAACAATGCCCTAACTATTGATCTTCCATTCTTAATTGACTGTGAGCTATGATAAATAGCATGATTAAAATTAAGTATTATATTAGATCTCTTTTGGTTTCAAGTGATAAAATTAAAGAACTGGTCTTAATATTTTGTCTGTATTTAGATTGATGCATTTATGGAAGAATGTGGATTAGTTCTGGACGATTCATCTCTGAAAGACAGGACTTCCCGTATGAAGAAACTCTTTGAAAGGTAGGCCTTCATGTATGTGGATTAGCTAACTGTTTGAATACTTTTGAAAACCAATAAGAATAAGAACCATAAGAATGCACCAAGGAGCAAATGAAGTTTAAGTGCCAAGAATTTGTGAGATGATGATTTATATAAATGTGCATTTATTTTTAGTTTGGTACACAGCCTGTACAGGTGTCTTATCATGTATGCACACCAACAACATTGAAACAGTTTGATTTAATTATCATTAATTTGAAATTAGTACGACATCAGGCACCTCTTGATGTTGTAAAGCATTAGTAAAAAAAAAAAAGTATCTTAAAAAAAAAATCTTCAATGTCCTGGAAGGCTTGAGATCACAAATATTTTGTACATAAAAGTCAAGTATGGTACCATTTTCATCAGCAATGACGGTGTTAATTACTGAATTTTGTAAATTGCCCTTTTTCCTATTTTATACAGATGCGGAGCCTTAAGAAAAAAGTGCAAAGCACTTGAAAAGAAACTTACAAATTTGTCAAAGGTAAGCTGGAAGGTTGAAGGGAATTTTGTTTAGGGGGTGGGGTGGGTGATTATTAACACATGGTATGTATCTTGCATCCTTGAAAATATAACTTTCCAATAATAAATATTTCCTTCATGATATTTTTGACATCTCTGAGATGTAGATTTTATTTTAAAAAGTCATGTATGTAGCATTTGGGCGGTGTTGTGATACTGTTGATTATCATGCTCAGTGGGTGAAATATATGTACAATGGTTGTATTTTTACTGATAAGTAAAAGTATGGGGAATTTAAAATATCCCATTAGATGATTAGAGGTAAAATTCTCATTGTAGAACAAAAAAAGGAAAATTTTCTTCAAATTGTAGATTGCAGAATCATCATGTATTTCAGGTTGAGATAACCCATTTAAAATCTATTTGGATGAATAATCACAAAATCTGCCTTGTCTTTCCTGTGTTTAACCCCCCCCCACCCCCCCCCCCCCCAAAAAAACAAACATGAAGAATAAAATGGAAGTAATTCAGTGTCTATACCATGCATTTAAACAGGTATGTTATACATGTATGTCAAATTGTATTTATTTTCAAGGGTAAAGAGCCAACTGTTATTCCCAATTTTGATGAGATGAGAAGTGAAGAGGTGGATCGTATGCATGTTCTAGAGGTGAGAAGTATTACATCTACATTGATCTATGTTAATATATAATACACAAATGACTGCTACTTAATTGGCCTGCCAGGTTGCCACTATTGATACCATGTTTTTAAGTGATACCCATTTGAAGATTTTTGATTGACTAGCCATATCATGGTTAAAAGTATTGCTCTATTCTATAAGCAATGCTAAATCTTTAGAAAATCATACATTTTGAGTTCATTCTTAAACACTTTTATTTTAAATATTAATTGAATGAAGCTCTAGTATTTTTTTTATGAAAGCTATTTTATTTTTCTCTGGATATTGAACGAGGTGGTCATGTTTTACTGGGATGATTAAAGAAAACATGATTTCTTGAATGATATCAACAATAACTGGCTTTGACTTGGTTGTATTTTTATCTTTAAAATCAGTTGAGGTTGAAGAAAATTGGCAATAAATTGGAGCCTGATGAAGTGGAGGAATCGTATTTTAAGTAAGTGGTTTGATTCTTTATGTTTTGGTTTTGTTATTTAATGTTTATTGATGTAGATAACAGTCCAAATCCAAAACATATTGAAAATAAGATCATGAAAATTATTTACATTATAGATGCAGTGAGCCTATTAATTTAGTTACAAAGCTGAAAGCAAAGGATTACGTGTTTGGTGAAAATGTTCTTCCCGATGCAGGGAATATATGCATGATTTTTATTTTTCAGAAAGTTGTTTGACTCATGGTGATAATTGTGATTTATTATAGTGTAGAATGTTAGTACTACTGTCTACTATTGATTTAACGTAGACATATCAATTTTTAACGATACAGTCAAACCTGTCTACAGCGACCGCCCAAGGGAAACACAAAAAGTGGTCTTTGTAGACAGATTCCTGTAGTACATGTTTCAATGCGAAACCATTTTAAAGGGAAACAAAAAATGTGGTCCTTGTAAACAGGTGGTCACCAAAGCAGGTTTGACTGTAATTCCTTTATGGGCTGTAACATGTTGTAGCTTCTGACCTAAGATGAGGTTGTACACTTTTTTTCTCTCAATAATAAATATTAAAAGGAATGATGTGTATAATTTACGTATGTTTAATATTAACAGATACATTTTTTTTTAATGAAAAGGACATTTAGGCTGTGCAGTTAGAAAATTCAAATTATCAATTTCAATTATTAGAAGCCTGCCCACAACATATAATTTCAAGTGTAACATACTGTGTGAGAAGTTATTTTATTTGGAAATGATATGGTTTGATATACACTCTTATAACTACATTCACATAAATTACGATGACTATAATTGTTTGTTTGATGTAAATAATAATTTCAGCTGACATGCAACTTCAATGATTATTCATTAGCTTTAAGCTTAGGAAGCTTTACGTGTGTGTTTTTAATTTTTACCCCAAATGTGCAAGCCTGAGTTACAAGTGCTAATTACAACTAACATTGCATGATATGTAATTATAAAAATCTCAAAAGAGAAAAATATTTATCCTGTTTATTAAACAATGATGATGAAAAAAAGAAGGGAGCCTCCCATTCTAGCAGAATTATAAACATTTGTTTTTCTTCATTTTCATATGTAGCATTCAGATTGTGATGTTAAACGTTTGTTGAAATCCTTTTATTTTTGTTTCTACTTTTTTGAGAACGGTTAAATTGCATTTATCACTTTGTGAAACTGTTGATTCTTTCCCCTCATTTCTGATTCTTTTCTCCCATAAATTATACACCAAATGAATGCATTAATTGCTATTCTCTGTGATATAGCAACGTGAAGGATAATGACGAGTCTATGAAAGAGCAAGGAAGCAAACCGCCAACTGGAGAGTTTGATGATGATAGCAATGACGATGATGATGATGATGACGAAAATGATGAAGAGATAGATGATGAAGAAAAAGAAGAAAGCAAGATGGAGACTACCAATCCTGATGAGGAAAATGAAGGAGATGTTGATAATGAAGATGGTGGAAAGAAAACAAAGTTTAAACGGCGTAGTATGTTCCGTCGTTCCAAGACTGACATTAAAGTTGAAAAAGTTGAGGATGATGCAGAAAAGGAAAAGAAAGATAAGAAAGACAAAGACAAAAAAGATAAGAAAGACAAGGACAAAAAGGGTAAAGAAAAGTCTGAGAAAGAAAAAGAAAAAGAAAAGGAAAAAGAGCGTAAAGAGCAAGAAAAGAAGGAAAAAAAGGAAAAGGAGAAACTGGAAAAAGAAAAGAAGGAGAAAGAGAAGAAGGAGCAGAAGGAAAAAGAACTGGAAGAGAAAAGAAAGAAGAAAGAGGAAAAGGAACTAGCTGCAAAATTAGCAAAGAGTAAGAAAGGAGAAGATGGTGATACTAAAAAAGATAAAGACGAAGATAAACGACCAGATTCACCAAGCAAAAGAGGCTTTGGAGCAAAGTTATTCAGTCGTGACTCTAAGAAGCCCAAAATAGAAGAGTCCAAGAAAGATCAGTCTGGAACCATAGAAGATGAAAGTGAGGATGAAGAAGATGGAATTGACAATGAAGAAGAAGAAGGAGCAGAGGAGGATATGGAGGAGGAAGATGGAGGAAGGGAAGAGGAAGATGAGGAAGAAGATGATGAGGAGGAGGAGCTTGAAGATGTTGAGGAGGAGGAGGAAGAAGAGGAGGAAGAACAACAAGAAGAAAAACAAAAGAAAGTGGAGCCAAAGCAGGACAAGAAGAAAGGATGGAGCTTTTTACGGAGGGACAAGTCACCTCAAAGGTTATTTTAGTTTTTTATGTTGTTGAAGTGTTCTGTTTAAAGGTGGTGGTGATTTAATCTGTTTAATGTTGATATTAACAATTTCCTCTGATATACATTACATATGATTGCTTCTGTGACTTTAATTTTTAGAATGACTGGGTTAAATATCAAGCATTTGCATCTACATGTTTATACAGTACTCATTCCTTACCAACTTTCAATTTTCTTAAGAATTTGTACAAGGAACGTTGTTTGTGGCACGCAGACCTGTATCTGATGTATACCGTAGTGACCATCTACAACATGTAGAGCAGTCTCAGATGGATGCAAGATATTTGATCATTTTGATGTAGAAACCATGATTTTCTTCACTTTCGTTCCAAATGCAGTTGATTTGCCAGACAGTAGAATTGAAGCATGTCTGGCTTTGCAAAATGGCAATATCTCAACTAAATATACATTCATAAAACCATAATATTTTGTCCTCATCAGTTATCACAATCAATGAGAACAATTCATTGAGGATCAAGTTCGGGGATATTGAGTTTGTATATACATGTGTACATGTATTTCCAACATCTATTTATATGCAAATGCTTGATATCACCTTCAGTGGTTTTATTCTGTGTCATTACTCTTTTTCCATATATTGTGTCCATTAATCTCTAATACACTGCACCTGTTTGTGTTTACTTTAATGCTAACTAATTGAATGGCAGTGGAGGTATCCATTTCACATGTGTGTGCTGTGGCTCTGTAACAATCGTTTCTATAGCTCAGGAAGATATCAGAGTAATGTACTTTTGGTTTCTTCACAAACCTCTTTGTTGAGAAGTAGAAGGGCTCCTGAAGAGTCTTTTACATTGTATTAATGGACTAGAAATTGTCAATATTTTTGTGGTGATATATTATTTTTGCACAGTAAATATGTTTTGTTATAGATACAGGCTCCCCCCCCCCCCCCTTTCCCCCAAGAAAATGTATTTCTGAACTGCAAAAATTTCTTGATATCACATGTGTTGTTTCTTCGGTGACCCTTCCTTTTATTATGTTTTTTTTATAACTTAGATGGATAATTCATTTATCCAGGATATTTCTTTTCTTGGGATGATCGAAGAAGGAGACTATTTCAGGCATTATTACAACCAACTCCTTTTAGTTATTGGAAGATAGACATAAACAGGTAGTCAATATTTTTTACCAATAAATAGTAAATGTGAAAAAGTAATTATTTTAGAAGAAAACAAAACTTTGGACAAAGTCATTGCTTTTTAAAAATTGTGCTGACAATTACAAGAGGCAATTGCGGAGAGCAAATCTATATTTTCTCACACTGTTCCCCCTCTAATAACCTTTTCAAAGTGACTCTATGAAAAAAACACAGCCGAAAAATGCAGATAGAATTTGACTATTGTAGGTGAAACCAACACTTGCCTGCATATGCCACTCATACTGCCGGAGAAATTCACTCGCTGGGTGAGCCTCGGCCGGAAGTGAAGAGTTGTTGCGCAATCGCTTAAAAAAAATGGAATTTACGAAAGGGTAGCTAGCATAGCAATCGCAAGCCATAGCTCCAGTTAGCTAGCTCATGACCACGCTTGCACATAACATCAACAAAATATCAACAACACAGCAGGGGTTCCAAAAAAAGGCTTACATACATGTACAACACATTAGCCAGAACAAGGTTCAAACCTTTGAACAATTTCCCCGATGCTTTTCTCCCAAACCCATACAGCGTTTCATCGGAGTCACACCAATAGAAAGAGAATTTCATCACCTATTTCTCTTCTTTCTATCGGCTATTTCTCGTCTACACCATCCAGAGTGGCCGTTTCATCGGATGCACCTGCATCCGGTGAAAATCGGGCCACTTTGAAAGGTGTATAAGTTCATGACCAAAAGTATAAGTATAATGGCCATTAGTTTTTGTTGGGCCATTATCTTTAATTTGATTAGTGCACAGGTCAAATCATCATGAATCAAATGAATGGTGGAGAAGAAGAAAGTAATGCAACATTTTGGATTGAATTTTCACCAACAGTGTTTTATTATAGGGCAATATCAGACAAAATCAGTTAGAGAAACAAAAGTAAATTCAGTTCATGATTGAAAGCAATATTGGGTTCATTGGTTTGAGATTATTCAATTTCTTTTTCAAATTGGATAGAGTTCAATACAGAGCTTTTACTTCTAGTCATTATTGGCCAGTAATAACATCATAAATTCATGCTTTTGGTTTGTAACTTGTCTTTTAAGTTTCAGCACGATGGAAATTAGAGCAGTTGACACGAGGTTGGAATTTAGATTATTCATTCATTTCATTTTAAGTTTGCGTAGCATATTTTCAGTAGGAGTACTATAATTCTTTTTCTTCAAAATGTTAAAATGAGCTTAAAATTTTATTTGAAACTGCATTCATTAGAGTAAGCTAGGCTTTTTAAAAGGCAAAAGAACCATGTTAGAAATAGTACCAATAAAAAAATTATTAAAAAAATATTTGTATAAACTTCTAAAACTCTTTCTGTGCTGCATTTTCCATATTCATTTTTTGCATTTCTTTGCTTTAAGGTAACATTTCAGTGAATCCTCTTTACTTGTATTTTATATCGGGTTTTTCCTAATCTTGCTTTTAGTTAACATTTCAATAAATCTAAGTAGTAATCTTACAATTTTTAGTCTGCAGGTCTATTGCTTTCATAACTGCTTTTTAACGTTTTGTGAATTTGCATAGATGCATATATATATTATATATCATATTCTAGCAGTCAGATATGATTTTATCTGTCATCTATTCATTCTAAATTCTAATGTGTGTTTCTCTCATTTGCTATTTTACTATTGGTATTAGTTGAGTCTTTTCTTCCTTTACATGTATTAATGTTCTAATATTAAATTATTTTATCTTCTGAATAGTTAAATTATCAAGTGTGCACATAATTTTCAGAATCAGGAGGTCATCAAATGTTAACTAATGTTACTTATTTTCAACTTGTCTTCGGAGACCCCTTCTTGCAGTTTGGGTAGAAAGATATGGGTAGAAAGATATATTAAAGTATATTGGCTCATAGAAATCTCTAGATTTAGATTGGAAGATACAATAATTTTTTAACAAAGCACATTTGATAGTTTTTAACATATAATTTCTTAACTGTTCATCAAGCCCTGTTGAAGTCTAAAACCTGTTCCTGTTATAAATACAAAGTATATTGAATCTTTGTGGATGTTGGGTGATGATTGTAACAAATTAGTCACAAAATTGCACAACTGTATTATAAACAGTTGCAGTTAATCCAAATCAAGTGCAGTTCCTGATCTGCGGTAAGTAAAACATGTTTAAAGATGATTTGCAAGTGGTTGAGATCGATTGCAACTCCCTCAGGGCCCAGATAGATTTGTTCAGTAAATGTTATTCAGTGAAATATGCTTTATTAGTAGAAAGGATTCCTTTCGATGCTTGATATGCTTGTATTTTCCTTTTTTGTTAAAGTAATGCGTACGCATTATTAGTTTCTTCCCATCCTGATTTATTCAGATATAGACAAAATACAGTTAGAAAAACGTATTTAAACCTAGGATTTTAAAGAATCGGTTTAAGACAGATTATTTGCAACTGCAGTATATTTAGCCGAAAAAATGTGCACCCTTTGCTCACTGTTTACTTAGGACATTATTTTGGGTTCTCAGTATGCTCTTCATTTATTATCATTATTCATCATCCACTGTAAAATATTCATACCAATATGATGGGGGGGGGGGGGGGGGGGGCTAAATAATAATGCATCATGTTGAGTTTATAGAAATAATGAGTATCAATGTGATGATAGATGATCCATGTGCGCTGTAAAGCATTTAATGTAAGGATTACAATATATAACAATAGTATGCAGACCAGCAGTTATTGAGTAGGGAAAAAAGTGTAAATTCAGAAGGAAAGTTGTCTGAAGAAATATGAAGTGACATTTATTTTTCATCAAAACATAATTTTTTTAAAACTCTTTGTCAAAAGTGTCATGACAACATTCTAATACCGAATAGCTCATTAATGATGTCGTTGTATTCAAGAACATTTTAATGAATGAAAATTTATGTCTTTTATCAATATTGCAGGAAAGTCAAGAAGGACAATGACAAGGATGATAAGAAAAAGAAGAAAGGTTAGATCTCCTTCATTATAAACATATTTTAATAATTTCATTTCATTTTGTGATATCTATGCAGTAGAATAAAAGGTATTAGCTATTTTCAAGAACCTTGGATTATTTTTCCTAACTTGGTTCATATAAATTTAATTAGTCTTGCCTAAAATACAATGAGCTTATAAAATGCCATGCTGTGACATGATTGATATCTGTTTATCATCCACAAAACTAATTGAAAGTGCATCTCCTTCTGTGGCTTTGATCTCATTGACATTATTATTACTTGTTAAGTATTCCAGCTGCTGTGTATGTATTTTTTTTTACATAGCTTTTTGTTTTTGTTTTAACTAAAACTATATTTAACCAGATACGTTTTACATGCACAGTATATTGATTTTATCTTTTAAAAATAGTGTTTGTAACTTGTGATATTTATTCTTGACACAGAAGATAAAAAGCAAGTAAGAGTACAGGAGGAAGAAGAAGAGGAAGAGGATGAGGAAGAAGAAGAGGATGAAGAGGATGAAGAGGAAGAGTATGAAGATGAGGAAGAAGGAGATGAGGAGGAAGAAGAGTAAGTATCTGTGCAGTGTGTTTTCACAACTGTAGATGAAGAAATTCCAAGCTAAGGAATTGAAAATGTGCGACTTTGTATTCTCTTGAAATGTGAAATTTACAAGTTAGCATGAAACAAAAATATTCAGAAGAGGCATAACTTGGCTTTGGTCACTCATCAAATATTTAAAAATCCCTGAATAAATATGACTTTGACTTTGCATTTGAACACTTTATTCCAATTCATATGTCACATTCTTTCATTTTATATCCTACAGGGAAGAATCAGATGATGAGCAAGTAGTGATGAAGGCAAAGAAACCTCAAAGAGTTGAAAGTGAAGAGGAGGAAGAAGAAGATAGTGAAGAAGAAGAAGAGGAAGAGGGAGAAGAAGAAGAAGAATTAGAAGATGAAGAAGAATCTGAGGAAGAATTGTTAGAGGGAGAGTCTGAAGAAGAAGAAGAAGAGGAAAATTTCAAACCTCCTGACGAAGGGGTAAGCTCAGTTATTCTAATTGTTATTGTTACTTTTGAATTGTTAGTATTTGTATGGTTCATCTTTATTATCCAACCCTGTGACAATGGACAATTTGTGATATATGTTCAGATTGAAATTGTACCCAAAATATTGAATAATAAGAGTAATATCCTGTATTTATGAACACAGTCTGTTTTAAATAGAAGCGGGTAATTGGATACTAGTTTAAATCTTTATCACACTTCACGCAGATAAAAAATCAATTATATGTAGAACAAGTAAATGTATTATACAAGGTAATAGATTGAATTGATTTTGTAACAAAGTAGCTAGTAGAATATTCATTCAAGATTTCAGACACGAAAATTGTCAAGTCTCCTGAAGAAAAAAAAGTATGTCCTTAGGTCTTGACATTAAGGTTAAGAATAGTTGATGATGTAATGAAATCTTAACGATGATATTTCATTTCAGATGGATCTGTTTGAGGCTGTATGTGATTTTGAAGGTGAAGAGGATGATGATCTCTACTTCAAGAGAGGTGCTATTCTTACAATCCTTAATGTGAGGTAAGAGAATAATAACCCATCTGATTTCTCGGCTATTATTTACTAAAGGAGAAGTCTATCCTGATATTTAGTTGGTTTTTAATAAAAGCATAAAAACAAAACCGGTAAATGAAAGTTTGGGCAAGTTCTGATTAAAAAATATGAAAGTTACAAAGTTTTGAAGTTGTAATCAATGAACACAAATTGGCACTTCTGTGAAATATCTTTTGAGGTCTCTCCCATATGTTCTGTACTGAAAATGCCCTAACTTTTCATTTTCTTAGTAAATAAAGAATAAGATTTGTTTTATACACAGGTTGTGTAAAAACAATGGCAAAGAGTACCGGTACATATATGATTGAAATTTTCGTCATGGAAAATAAAAAAACCATGAATTTTTGGTACAGCTTGAGCTAGAGCAAATGGGAAGGACATCAAAAGATTTGCCACAGAGTGGCCAATTCGTGTTTGATCAACTGGGACAAACAGAAACTTATAGTTTTCTTATTTTTAATCCGAGTTTACTCTAACTTTTCCTGACCTGTTTCTCTAATTTGTCAGCTTCTATTAAAGCAGGACTGCACTACTTGTAGCTACTTGTGCCCTCTATATAGCAAACAATGCCTAAGCAGTACCCGTTGGTCCCCCATTATCCCCTTTTTCTGATGTTAATTTAGAGCTGATCACCTGTCAGTGACCAAACAGGGAGATCTAATCCCCCCTGGCCAAACTAGTACAGACAGGCTACAAAAACAACAAAATATCAGGGTGGAATGCACCTTTAAGTACCGGTAGAGGAAGTATTATTCTCCTTAATTATCGCTCAAATGTTTATCATCGCTCAAATGTTTATCATCACCTCTCGTAAGCAAATCAATCTCCATGTCCATGTAGGAGTTGAATTCACAGATTAGAAAATCTACAGGGAAGGAGTCATCAAGAATTGTCTCTTGTTTGCATGAGCTCCTCATTGGCTTGGATCCACATTGCTGATTATTAGCTTTACATCTCCTATCATGTATGTCACCCTTGATGATTTTGTCTTTGGTTTCCTTCTCCTCCTTTTCATTTTCAGGGAGGATGGCTGGTGGATGGCTGAAGATGAAGAGGGCAACAAAGGTTTGGTACCAAGTACATATCTCAAGGTAAAGTTGGCAGTTATAATACATTGATGAGTATCATAAAATACAAATAACTATGAATGTTTATTGCTTGCAGCTCCTTTTTTTCACCCAACTTGGCATTTTTTAGATGTGAAATGATTTATATTTTGCCATGGCTGTTTTAAGCTGATGTGTTGTGTCCTGTGAGAACAAGATTGATGTTTGATCTCTGTTCTATTGAGAGTAGAGAATGAGGATCAGTACATGACTGAAGGAATCAACTTGATAAAAGTCATTGTTAAAAAGAAAATTATTATTATTTTATTATTAGGATTATCTTTATTATAATTATCATTAATATTATTCAATATGATAAGTAAAAGTTTTTTTTTTAGGATTAGAGGTATGAGTTATTATCTGATGTACCCCAATTCTGGATATTTGCCCCTGTTGCAATCTAACAACCAAATGAAGTTCATCGTTATATGAATATCAAAAGTTCAGAGAGTGTATTGAGATCAGTAGAGATTAACATCACTCATATAATCTGTTCAAGATAAAAATTGATGCGTTGCATTTATTGAATGTGTATTTATTATTATTGTGGTTTTTTTTAGCTCAAGAAAGAACACAATGACTACAGAGACGTACAGTCGCCTGAAGTTGATGGTATTATATTCCTATCCTTATGCTTCTTGACTTCTACACCATGATTCTCTGTTCCTAATATGGTCTGCACCATTTTTAACAACTTCTACCCCTCGCTGTTTCCTCTTTCTCATTATTATATCTCCAACTACTCGTATCTCTGTCAACATTCAATGGATATAGCTTATTTTCTTTTATTAACCAGTTTGTAATTTCAACATCCATGTGCTATGAATTAATTTCATCAATGAAATTGTTATCATTAACATGTGTGAATAAAAAAGCTTATCAAAACTTACAGCATCTTATTTTAGTTATGGTAATTGATAATTAGATATCTTTGACAGATCTGCATGATGGTTGTAGATCTTGATATAAAGCAAAAACACAAAATGTAGTTCTTATTATTTCTGGCATGCAGTGTAAATAAATCAAGCAACATTGAATTGCTTTTGTCAATACATATTTCATTTGAATATTCATGTATATATATCTAACTTTACTATTACTTTTGGTTTTACAGAAGCCGCTGAGTCAGTGTCACCTAGGAGGTATATCTTTATCAAATAGATTTCAATCCTGAAATACTTCATTATATAGTATTTCACAGATTGATTTCCACCATAGGCTCCTTATACTAGTTTTCATTCAGCTCTCACTTTACCAGACGTCAGTATATAAGCTCTTTAATTAAACATTTGATATGTGTTCTGTGAAAAACTTGGTATGTTTACATTCACATACCTTCCCCAAGGGAATGGTTTACATGTTAACCTAGATTTACTTTTATTATTAAATTCAAAGTAAATGTGAAATTTTAGCCAGATTAAAAAGAATTAAAAAGTATGTTCACAGCTACATATTCAAAGCTGGGTTATATACCGGCCTCTGGTATTGTGAGAGTTGCCAGATTAACTTATACACCAATACTTGCATTTATATGAACAGTATTCTCATGGCTACAATCATTACATATTCATCAGGAAATGATTTCTGAATGTACTGTTCATTGCTTTTTGGTTGGCAACTGATGGATACAGAACCATTACAAATATTGTGGAATGAATCTTTCAAAAGATCATGAACTAGACATCATGATAAATATCACTGTGTGTGTGATCTAAAAGTCATCATTTAAACCGTCTCATGAAAGAAATGCATTTATAGCTAATGATGAACACAGGCTCATACAAATGCAATGTAAGGTGGACTTCTTTTATTATTACTCATCCTTAATATTGGTTTGAATAACTGCATTAATCTTTCAAAAAATCTAATTAACTATTCCCCAGGAAGTGAACGGCAGGATGAATTTGATGAGAGGTATAAAAGTTTGATATTTCTTGGATTGATGCATCATGTTTGTCTGGTAGATTACAGCTTGCCATTTTGCTTATTCCATGCACCCCGTCCCTATCCTTACATCACCAACAAAGATTGCTATGTGTGGGAAGTCTGTGCAACGTACAGGCATATCCTTTCCTCACGTTATGGGTGGAGGGATGGATAATTTGTTTACTCATTTACTGTCATTCTTAAAACAGGACTGTGTGATACTATTAGAGAAGTTAACATAATTTTTTTTAAATTTGAGTGCAGTTTTTAGGGATAGAACTTTTGAAAGTTTGGGAATTATATGTGAATATACAAGTAGAGCACTGAAGGAGATCATATTATACCATGTAGTGCTGAACATCATAGTTTACATTGTGTTTTATAGCCTTTTGAATTATACATGCATGATAAGCAGTAAAATTAATAATTGTACTTTTAAATTATAACTTCCCAATGAGGTCCCAGTGAAATCTAGAAAGACAGATTTCACACAATTTGTGAAGTTACAATTATAATGACCAGATCCCCAGGAATTTATCCACATGTAGAAAGTATTATAATCAGCCACAATCTTTTCAGTCATAGGTTTAGAAGATCATACTTGCTATTGTGGGTACATACACAGATTTTTAAAATTGTATTTATTATTTAAAAAGGACAGTATTTTTTGTATCAAGTGAATTGAACGTTGATAGATGGACCTACTACGAGTTAGTGTATGTGAGATGATTGAAGTGTGGTGTTATTTGGGAGAAAGGAATCTAATTCAGTTGTCTATAGATTAACTGGTGCATGATAATCATTATTGTCTTTGATTTTTGGATTGTAGTAGTATGCTATAATGTGTGAAACTGTGAGAAGAAGTTGTGATTGGTAATTTATCAAAATTACATTTCAGTCATTCTCCCTTTTGTCGAACCTCCTCCCCACCCCTCACTCCCCAGCTCCCTCCCTCCCCACCCCTCACTCCCCAGCTCCCTCCCTCCCCACCCCTCACTCCCCAGCCAATCATTTGTTAAAACTATAATTCTTTTTATGCTAAGTGAGTTAGATGTTAAATTATTTGTGATGCATCATGATAATACATGGAAATGGCATAGCATGAAAACGTACCCACAGCCACATGCTCCCCCCCCCACTTTCCCAATTCCAAGGATCCTTGCTTTGCTCTTATCGTAGGTCAGTAGCCCTAGTAATTTTACAAACAGATAACTAATTGTGTGATTACAGGTTTTTATTATAGTTGAAAGAAATCAGGAAAAGTTCACCAGATTTAAAAGATTTCACCTCTTACAAATAGTTTGCCATCCTATCAGTATCAGGTTTATCACTCTAGAACCATACAACCAACTGTAAATTGCTTTAAGATTTTCAAGGTCTCAATTGTTCTTATAATTTTCTTTTTCATCAAAGTTAGTTACATATTATGTGTGCTCTCCTTAGTAAAGGATTTTTTTTTTAAAAACTTGCACTTCAATTCAATGTCTCTACACATGCTGCTTTGCTGCACCTAATTTGTCTAGGCTTCTAATACCGTCAATATGTTTTGAGTACCTATCAGTACTTGTGAAGCTAAGGTCCAGAGATATAATAGTCTACCCATCCTTCAGAGTTAGGATGTAGAAAAGATGAAGCTTTATACCAGGTTTTAATAGCAACTGATGTTGAGTCACCTGTTCTAATTCACCCCCCCCCCAAAAAAAAGAAGCCATACCCTGTTTTAAAAAGACCTGTCATCAGTAGGTTTATATGATTTATCTTAATTAATGAATTGTAATCTTTTATACCTCCATGTCATACAGTGGTAAAGAGCTGTGGAGGGGCCTGAGGAAGTCTGTTACCGAGGTATGTATATTCTGATCGTCATTTCTTATATTTAATCTGATAGAACACCCTTCTTGTATTAAAAGAAAAAAAATTGAACTGCATGCTTTTATTTTATGGTCCCAGCTGTTGAGAACAAAAGAAAAATAATGTATGTTCCATGGACAATTAAGGTTTTTGATAACTGAAAACTCTGTATGATTAAAGCCATGTTAATCTGGGAAGATGTGTGTTTGGTTTTGCTTACGGTACATCATTTTGATTAGGCCAGCAGATTGTTCATACACTATTTGTGTGCTTCTTGATGGTAATTTGCCCCATACGCTAATAAGTAGTCAAAGCCGGATAACATGATATTGCATTGATTTTTTACTACAACAGACTGGAGTAACTGATGTGTTAACGGCAATGGGTGCTATACCGGCAGGATTCAGACCTTCAACTACAGCTAAACATCTCAGGCTAGGTTTGTGGTACCAATAAAGCACTGAGAGATAATTCATGTTTTTCGCTCACAATTTTAATTTCGTTGTTAACAAAAGTGATGTTTGTACTTCTTGAATCTTTTCAAATTTGCATCATATCTTGATACAAGAATTGGGAGATAATGAGTTCATTTATTTAATTTTCTTACAGACTCCTACACACTGTGCAACTTTCTGAAGCCTCGCTTCACAGAGTCCTGTCTGGGGTTCCAGGACTTGAACTGGTCTCCGCATGAGAACCAGATCCGAGCTAAGACAGTCCGCCTTCAGAAGATCCTCACACTTCTAATGGTCCGCAATATGCCTCCTTGTGGAGTAGGTCAGTCAATGCTTCTTAGTTCTGTTGTAATCCATCCTTTGCAAGTGATTGATATGGTTGTATGTCTAGTAGACGATTACTTAGAATTCATTACATAACCTGCATAGAGAAAGATGAAAACCTTGTGTAATGGTATTCCTGTACATCTGATTTAGAGGAGAGATCTGAGGGTTGATTTTTTTTCCCCTACACCCAGACACAAGTAGTTTTTAGATGATTCATGGTAGTAAATTTTGTAGTAAATGTTGCAGGGTAGTAAAACTAGTAATGCTACTTAATTTAAAGTCACACACTCCAGAGGACTGTCTCAATTGTTGATATAGATAGAAGTTCAGCTGAATACAAATGATATGTTTTCATTTTGATTATCTTACTTCGTCAGCACTATATTCTTTGCTGTCTGTATATAATGACAGCACTTTGGAATACAAATGATTTGTTTTCATTTTCATTATCTTACTTTGTCAGCACTATATTCTTTATTGCTGCTTGTAAGTGTCGGCGTGCATGGTGATGTAGATATACAGTAGGCTTGGGGGTGCACCATGTGTGAGTGACTCCTCAACCCTCTCTCTCTCACACATGGTGCACCCGTAAGCCTACTGTATATATTCTTTATTGTCTGTATATAATGACAGCACTTTGTAACATTCCACTCATGAAAATCAAAGATTGTTTGTAATTGCATCTTGCTTTTCGAACAAGATCGTATCGTTATTCCGGCATAGACTTTTTAACCTTTCATCCTTTTATCATATTTCAGGCATCGAAATCAGAAGTCGGCATGTCAGAATCTGTTTCTTTGATGGGGACAAGGTAATGTTCATTATTCAGTCAAATTTATTATTATCATATACCTTCCTGTTTTGTAGCTTGCATGTTTTTATTATATTCAATGCATTCTAATGCAAAACATGTAAAATTATGTTGTTGTGATATAAGTATATGAAGTGAAATATATTTGTTTTAATTATAAAAAACACAATAACAACAATTTGATTATTTATTATCTTTAGTGGTTATGCATGTGTTGTATGTGTTTTCATCTGATATCTAATGTTTGTATCACTTATCAGATTCTGAGTAACATTCACACTATACAAGCTACATGGAATAAAAATGATCCAAAGACATGGAGATTCTCACCCAAGGTAAAGACTGAAATGAGACACAAATAATGTAGATATTTATACATGCTCTTTCATTATTCAATGGAAAATAATGTATTTCAGGTGCTCACTTCTTTTTAAAGTTCATTGTTAAATCATAAAAATTTGTTAAGGTGCTTATTTTTTATTTTTTATTATTCAATGGAAATTAATCAATTTTATTCCATCTTTTAAATATCTGTTGTCAGGACTAATGTGTGTGGAGTAGCCATATTAGATACAACATAGTACATGTTCACTATCTTCACACTCCAAGATTGTCCAATGCATGTATAATCTCATTTGTAATAGCTGATATAATTTATGACTGTGTATTTTCTTTGTATTGGTCAAATAATCTCTTCATGTATGACATGATATCTATTTGCAGGTTACACATATCAAGATTGTCCAATACACATATAATGTCATTTGTAATAGCTGATATAATTTATGACTCTCTGTATTTTCTTTGTATTAATCAAATAATCTGTTCATGTATGACATGATATCTATTTACAGGTAACATCTCTGCTACCGAGTATATTAGATGGAGATTGTTTCATTAGATCATCTCGTACAGAGGAAAACACAGGTATATAGTCATTAGAGTCATGTCATATAGGTGCTTGTATGGACATGGGTTGATGGAGTGACAGAGAAAAATGATAATGACAATTGATAGTAGTGATTTGATGTTTAGCAAGTGTTCATATTTTTCCTGAGATATCATTCTGATTTGAAAGTGTGAGAATGCAGTGTTCGGCATTCTAGTGAAATATGCCACTGCTCATTGCGTGTAATGCCTATGGGGATTCCACCTCCCAGTAGACTTTAGTGTGTAGGCACACTCTTGATGACCAGTGGCTTATTTAACGAGAAGACCAAGCATGAATACAAATCCAAAAGGAAATTGGTCAGAAAAAGAAATGGCATTTATTGGTCGTTCATCTTGTTTGCAATGGAAAATAGAACATCTTTATTTCTGTGTAAAGGCTATAAGTAATTGTTTGTGACAATTAATGAATATAGAAACTAATGATTAAAGGCTTATTTCATAGTGTACTTATTATAAACAACAATTTTTTTTAAATACACAGCATGATTATTTTCTCTAACAGAATGTCATTTATTCATATTTCTTTCTCTATTTTTTTCTCCTCCAGGCCTTCTCTTGGAGCTGTGTCTTTCATATGTGAGACCGGTGAGTGTCACTTCATGTAATTGTCTGTACTATTAAACATTTAGACAGTCCAAAATGTACAATTTGTGTGGAATAAGTTTACTGAATAGAAATCAAACGGTATTAATTAATGTCTTTATCATTTAATGAAGAGTAAATTAGATATTTTGTTTGATAGATGACAAATTATAAGAAACATTTGTGATACCTCTGTATAATAATAAACTGTTCTTGTATAGGACATATCACATTATAATTTAACCTCTCTATGTGCTTCCTAAGGATCTTGGATATTATTACCCTGGTTTTAACAGATGTACCGCTTAATGCGTAAAAGGAATAAATCCTACCAGGTACCCACTTACTACACCTGGGTGGAGTGTGGCAAGTGTAGATTAATGGCTTGCCAAGGACGTCAGTACCCTGGTGGGGATTTGAAGCCCGTACTTTGTGATCCACCATCCTAGGACTTATCCACTAGACCACTGCACCTCTACTTACCACACCACCTCTTTAATGTAGTAGTAATATTTTACGAAGGTAATTAAAAGAGAATGCGCGTAACTGATATCTAATCAACCACATGAATGAAACAACAATATTAAGTCAACATTTTTGTTTGTAAGGGTACAGTGTACTTAAAACGTATACATATATTTTAAAGAAGTATGTTTACATTTGCATCCTCTTATTTCTTGATGTAGAAAACTGGAGAGAAAGGAGAATTGAGCTGTGGATGGGTCAATGTACCGCTCTATGACACAGCAACTGGAGCACCAATAGTCAATAAGTAAGTGTTATTAAACCCTTGTTGTATGAAATGAAATGCTAAGACTCAATCAACTGCACATACTATTGAACATTTATGATTTTTTCATGCAATACTCAGATGCTCCATTAACCTGATTATTCCATTGCAGCAAATGATTTATATCTTGTAATAGGATTAGGGATGTCAACATTCCTGAACAATACTATAGTATTATAGTTATTGTTTAGTACTTTAGCAATAACACTCTTCCATCTGGATATAAAGATACTCATGAATAAACTCCTTGTATCACTTTAAGATGGTTATTTTTTGCTATATTGGAATAAATATCTGCAGTATTGTTCATGAATACTTATTTTATCTTTCCAGAATGTATGAACTCCAAGTGCAAGGTGGGACGCCCTTCGAACAGGAAGTAGAAGTTGACCCTTCTATCAGTAGAAGAAGTAAGTTCATTTTTCAGTGTCACTACTCACAAGTAAAAAGTAAGAGACATCTAGAAGTGTAGACATTAATAATATTTTTCTTAATTACCATGATTTGGGCTCTTTATTGTGATGTCAATAAAAGAACTCTTGATATTTTCATGGGTATGAATGACTTCCATGTCTTATTGAAATAGTTGGTTATTGTAGTTCAGATAGCATTTGAGTATGGTTTGTCATTTCTTGCCGGGACTAGAGCCTTAAGGCGGGTAATTGATTGTTACAAGATATGAAGTAACTCCACTGTAGCTCTAAGTTAAGGATATGTTGCCTCCTTATGGAAAAACAACATTCATGCTGATTAGGGTGTTCATTCCCTCAATTTGAATAGGTTTCTTTGAAAAAATTGAAAAAATTCTACACACAAAAAAAAATTGCCATTAACTTTATGATGCACTAATTTCATGAATAACAAGGGAGATTTATGTAGCTGTGTTTTCAAGGAGAAGTATGAAGTATTGTTGAGAGATTGGAGAATACATTGTTATGATTCTTTTTGAAATACCAACAAACATTTTTTTTTTTTCATGGCTTTTGTTTATTGCTATGAAGAGGCTGAAGGTAAGGATGATTCAATATTTTTTTTAATTGAGAAAGTACCTTCTAGAAATTGCATTCACGCTAACATTTTTGTTAATCATTGTTGCTTAATTTTAACATTAATTTCATTCCAAAACTAGGAGATTCAACAAGTTCAACAGGTATTTAGAGATTGGATGTGACCAAGAAGTTTTGTGTTGGGCCTAGGTTTCTTATTTTCAACTCTCTTTTATATGTGGAATTAAGAGGTGTCATGCTGGTTGGCTTATCTTGCTATAACCAACTGAAGTCAAAGAGAAAAACAAAACAATGTCATTGCTGCATTGTTCGGAGGTAGTCTGAGTTAGATTGACAAAGAGTTTGAGGGACAAGACTGGATTTCCTTTAAATGTGAGATTTCTTTGAACCAGTACATCATTTTTTACACTGGTGGGAGAGGACCTGCAGCATTCAGTCTCGATTTTTAATCATCAAAACTTTATTGTTGTTGTAATTTTATTGCTGAAATTTATTCAAGTCCTTTATTGTCATGTCTCAAGTTTTTCAGGTCCAGTTGCTTGCTGTTTTGCACTCATCAAGTTTACTCATCCCTTAGAGTGCATTGGGCAGTTTTAAACACCTAAATCAATTACATTCAATGGACATTTTATCAAAGAAAAGCTTGTTTTTCTACTTGAAAATCAAAATGGACTCATGGATTGTGAAGTTTGATACTATGAAAAACAGTTATATCCAAATTAACAATACAAATTGAATTATGATTAAACAATTATCTAATCTTTTTTCGTTTTAAATGTTTGATACAGTTTTCTCAGCCTAATTGCACCATAAGAGTTGAACTTGATTGCATATTGGATTTAGCACTTGTTCACATATCATACTGTAATTGTTTTATTTCATGCTTTCACTGTTTGTTTTTCCAACTTAAAAAAAACACACACACATACTATTAAAGTGCATTTGTGTAAAAGTCATAAGATTATGTTCAGTGCATTACAGTGTTAACCAACTTTCTTCTTTCCATTCACTGATCCTGTTAAATGTAGTTTGATGTTTACCAGTATTTGAAATATTTTGTCACTCAAATCTGGCTTTACTTAACATTTGCTGTGTTCTATGATTTGAAATTTCCATTGAAAAGAGATATTGTCATGGATCTTTCATGTTCATACCATCCCTTTCTATAAATCTGAGTGTAGCAAAATTTCTGATATGTTTTCTATTTAAATTGAAGTCTTGGAGGAGCATATTCTGGTCAGATAAAAGGGGGTCAAGGTGTGAGTAGACAGAAACAAAAAGATATTAAGATTCTATTTAAATCCAAAGTATAATTTAGGGGTGCAGATAGTACTTGAATCTATCGCAGAAACACCCCTGTCTATGGGATAAATCAAAGGTAGTCCCAGACATCAGATACTGAGGGATTCATCACTGGCAAAATGAAGTGCATAGAATAAGAAATTGATTTCCCAATAGCTTTGGCTCATAAAAAGTGTAGCACTTCATTAATTGACTTGTAAGATATCTTTTTTAGAATAGTTTTATAGTCTAGTAACCATTTATGGGTATTAAATGGAATTGAGTGTCATATGTATTCTCATAAATTTCTGTTTCTCCTCTGTAACTTCAGCAAGTTCCAGTAAATTCCGTTCAATGATGTCAGCTAACAAGCAACCAAGGATTCAGATCAAATTCATCACACCAACTAAAGAACAGAAGCCTTTACTAGAGTGAGTAAAAACAAAAAAAAAGAGATTCTTGTGTTTTGACTTCTTTTTTAAGTGTAAGGGAATACCATTATAGTTACTCAATACATAACTTGCTTTATATATTGATGGAATATGCTGTCATGTTGGAATATACAGCTGTCATAAGAATGAAAAACCTATGATTTGTTTGTTTATTTGATAAATCATGAATTTTTAGCCTGTGAAAGTAATGGAAAATACTGTTGGGTGTTCACACAAAAAATTGATATTCCATTCATTTTTCTATTCTTCTTTTTTTGTACAGTGGTTTAAAAGCATTGTAAAGTATCCTACAACTGAAACACACACATATACATTGGGAATAAATGCAATGCTGTACTCCCCTTGTGAGACTCACTTCAAAATGTTGTTGAGGGGTGTACCAAATGTATTCTAACTAATGATAAAATGGATCATTCCTTTTAATACAGCATGTTACCAGAGACGATAGTGAGCTCTCTAGGCTACCTCCCATTCCTCAGTATCTTCCGCAATCTTCAGGCCGTCGAGGTTCTACGGGATAGGATAGATCTTCAGAATGCAGGTACAGTACCACCAATCATTTCTACACTGTAATGGCTCTCCTGAGTTGGTGGAGGAATAGCAACGGGAGGAATCCCTTCAAAACATCTACTGGAAGCAGTGATGACAAAACTTGTACCGGTAGTCATGTTCCGTGGAATGTAACTCAGCAACACATTTTTGTTGTGAAATGCATTGAAGTATATTGTAGGGTTATGAGATGATTTACATTTCAGATTGATTGAGGGGTTATTTTTTGGTTTATTTTTAGATCTGATTCATTGCCCAGTCCTGGCGAATTTTCCTGAAGCCACAAAGTATCCAGACATCATGGATGCACTGAGGGTAAGTCCCCATCATGTAGATACACAAGTTGCTCTAAATGATGACAATGACAAAGATAGTTTTAGAATGAGGATATAAAATCATTTGATGGAATGCAGATTGAAAAAATAACACATTTAATGTATCGGTAATGCAGACGATCAGAAGATGTAGGAGATGATTGTAAAGAGAAAGGGAGAAATAAAAAGGCATAAGGGCCCTATTTATGTAGTTCCCCTTTTCATTTTCAAATTTTGTCTATGATTTATTTGTATTTATATTGATTTCATTTTTAAATCAAGAATGAAAAATGAAGTAATTAAATTGAACAAAACTAGAAAATGAGAGAAAAGTACAGAAGTTCATTGGATCGGAATCATATATGGAGTTATAACTAGATTTCTTATATTCAAACAAGTTATGAATGATGTATCTAATCGACTATGGATATTTCACACATATTTTCTCACAGAGTTGCTGGGCAGACAAGAAGCTAAAGAACAAGAAGATTGACAAGGTAAAATATTTCTTCTGCTTATAGCTTTAAAAAAATATCTTGTTACCACAATAACTTCAAAAGCATTGAATTGATTCAAGCCAAACTTGGACAAAGTATGTATGAGCATGCAATGATGAAGTGATTAGATTTTTGGTGTAAGAGGTCAAAGGCGAAAGATCATAAGGTCATGAAAGTGTAAAAATTCCCAGAAAATGTTTTATTACCATCACAGTGATAATTTAACAGAAATAGAGCCTATGTTGACCACACATTTGTTAAAATTACATGAAAAGCATTTGGTTTCATAAGGTCAGATCAGGTCATATGGTCATGGATCAATGTATAATCATGAAAAAAGGGAGATTGGTTTAATTGTAATATTGTTTGTCATTGGAATAAAGATTTTGTTCTAACTTGAGATAGTAGAGTTGTAATAGCTGCAACATAATTTTCCATTCATTTTTTAACTAACTGACAATGCAATGAAGCATCCATGTTCTAGCATCAGTAGAGTGCTATGTAATGACACATTTTATGTGATATTTTTCTATCTCTAACTTAACAAGGGAGATGAGAACAAAAGTTTGCTAAACATTTCTTTCTGTCGTTCCCTCTTTGTTGAAACACTTCATAGCATGCCCATGGAATCAATTATAAATTAGGTCTGCAACCTGGTAGAAATGAATAATAGAATATAAATTCCATCAAAGATAATAGCAGTCAAAGTCAATGAGAATAAAAAATAATAATAATAATATTCTGCTTTTATATAGTGCCCAATACATCGATACAACGATGAGCCAAAGCGATTTACAGATATATTAGCATAATAAAGACACTATGAAATTATTTGGTGTTACAGAAAGATCCAGAGCAGATGAAAGAGCTGTTCACATCAACGTTCATGGACTCTGTGTATCCCATCATGAGACTACCATCATTACCGCCTTACAAGTGGGCTGAGGAGGAGAGAGACAGTGTAAGCATATTAAAAAATTATTGTTTTGAGCAATCTATGCTTTCGTTGGGGGAAACGTTTGAGAATGTTTATGTTAAAAATTACTTTTGAAATACCTTGTTGAGATTCATACAAGTAATACCTCTTTGGATATGTTAGCCAAAAATCTTTACCAGTTTTATATTTGAAGAATAGGGTGGATGTGCTGAATATTGTAATGAAGATTATTGTATCCCCCGGCAGTATGCCGGTGGGGTACTTTGGATTCAGCAGCGTTACGCCGCCGCCGCCGCCGCCGCCGCGTCCGCGTCCGCCGCGTCCGCCGCGTCATATTCTTGTGTGCGCTCTCACTGCCACATTTCTTGATGGATTTCTTTCAAATTTTGTATGGAGGTGTATCCTGGGATAATCTACATACCTATAACTTTTGGTGATGCTGCCCCCAGTGTTCCGTCTTCTATAGGGTACAAGGCCATATTTCTGTGGATGGTTTGTGTGCGCTCTATAGGCCACATTTTTAAAGGGATTTTGTTCAAATTTTGAACGAAGGTGTATCTTGGTATAATCTACAAGCCTATAGATTTTAGTGATGATGCTGCCTCCAATGTTCCGTCTTTTATAGGGTCAAAGGTCATATTTTGATAGATGTCTTGTGTGCACGCTAGTGTGCGCTCTAACTGCCTCATTTCTTGACGGATTTCTTTCAAATTTTGTATGGAGGTGTATCCTGGTATAATCTACATACCTATAACTTTTGGTGATGCTGCCCCCAGTGTTCCGCCTTCTATAGGGTACAAGGCCATATTTTTGTTTGTGTGCGCTCTATAGGCCACATTTCTAAAGGGATTTTGTTCAAATTTTGAACAAAGGTGTATCTTGGTATAATCTACAAGCCTATAGATTTTAGTGATGCTGCTTCCAATGTTCCGTCTTTTATAGGGTCAAAGGTCATATTTTGATAGATGTCTTGTGTGCACTCTAGTGTGCGCTCTAACTGCCACATTTCTCTACGGATTTCTTTCAAATTTTGTATGGAGGTGTATAAATGGAACTCCTTTTTTCATCAATTGCACCATCTTTTTCATGGGTTCAATTGTTATATTTTCTTTGCTGTTTTGCATGCACTCTGCCAGTCACATTTTTCTACAGATTTCTTTCAGATTTGTATTAAGGTTCATTATAGTTTACTCTAGACCTCCACAAATTTGGTGCTGCTACCCCCCAGTATTCCATCTCTTATAGGGTCAAAGGTCATATTTAAAGGAATATCTTGCGTCGCTATGCAAATCACATTTCTTTCAAATTTTCTATAAATATGCATCATAATCTGATCTACACACCTATTGTTTTGGTGATGCTGCTCCTAGTCTTGACAATAGTCTGAGCCACTTGCGGCAATCTCTACGTCATCCTTTTGTTTCACAAAGAGGAGAGGGAATCTTTGTCCCTCCTTCCACATAAGGATAACACAAAATCTCTGCCACTGCTGGGGGATACATTCGCATTGCACGGCAATACAGATTGCGATATTTCTAGTTAACATTTAAAAATAATGGGAATTAGAAAAAGAATGATCTTTGTCATTCGTTGTTCATATAAACATTAAAAGAACTTTTGACTAAGTTCATACAAGAAATGTATTTGATTCTTCTCACTTCTTTGAATTTTACAGGAAAGATGGCAAGTGATCTCAGAGTTTCTTCAGTCCAACAAACAGAAAGGAATCCTTGCTTCCTTTCTAGCTCCTGGTGGAGAGCACAGTCCTTTTGACATGACAGAAGTGGCCTTCAATCTCCTGGACTCATTTCAAGAACTGAAGTGATTGTTTACTTTGATGTTTACTTCGATGTTGAGGCACAAAGATAACATTATTTGCCCCTCCAGGTAATGATATCTCTCTGGTATGGACTGTCCTTAAGGGGGTGGCTGTACCAATATTTCCCAAGGAATCCTTGCCTATTCCCTGTCTCGTGGAGTAGAGCACAGTCCTTTAAAATGACAGAAGTGGCCTTTAATCTCCTAGACTCATTTCAAGAATTGAAGTGATTCATCTTATCCAAGAGGTCCTTGCCTCCTTCCTAGCTAGCTCCTGGTGGAAAGCACAGTCCTTTTGACATGACAGAGGTGGCCTTCAATCTCTTGGACTCATTTCAAGAATTGAAATGATTGATCTAGTCCAAGCGATCTTTGCCTCCTTCCTAGCTCAGGTGCAGAATGTAGTCCTATTGACAAGGTGGATTTTGATCTTCAGGACATATTTCAAGATCTGTATTGGGTGAATCACCCGAAGATCCCCTAAGAAATAATATTCTAAGTGATGAACTGAAATTGCAAATGATATAGGATTTTGAGATCATTACTCTTGTTTCTTTGTGCGGACACTATAAGACATTGAATGAGGTTTTATGCAATGGAAGAGAGATAAGTATACTGAAAGAAATATAAAGTACAAAAGAAGGAAATCGGTGCATACAATTATATGAAGAATGTCATAAGCTTGTAGTGTTTTCTTTTGCTGATTTGGGATGAAAAAGCATTAGGGCTGTGAACTGTATGGACTGTAAGGAAGATTATGCATAGATATTGAAAGTGACATGGGCTTCTAATGAGCATTTGAGTGATAAGATACTGTCACCTCAAAAGCTGCAATCTGTGTATGTTACTGAATTCTGTTCCATGTATTGTCTATCAAGGCATTTCTCAGAAAAACTCAGGAATTCATTTACAATGTACTATGTTTGAGATGTCAGTTGCAAACATCTCTCCTTTTAAAAGGTTATTACAAGTTTAAATACCCAAACTACACAATGAAGAAGATTTGTGACATACATGTATGATATGGGTAGACTAGTTGATGCACCCAGTTCATATTCATAATTTCATGCGCATGGAGATTAAGTGAGATTTAACTTACTAGTAATGTAGGCATTGGTATGAAACAGTTCTCCACCCCCCCCCTTTTTTTGATGTTGATATTATGTCTTCTAGGGGTATACAAAACATCTTGAAGAAATTATGATCTACAGATTGAATCAAATAGTTTGTATATTGAATTTTATCAGAAGATTTTTTGTTTATTCTTTATAAGACGTCATGTTTTTCATTGTCTTTACTGGGATTATGCAAAACGAAAATTAAAATGGGATGAGATATTGAATAAATTAGATCTTTGAGATCTGTTTTGTATGTTATTTTTGGGGGAAAAATGTTATATTATGACCCCTTAAAAAACTTTGTTGTTTATAGTTCACTGTATTTCAGAAAGAATTCCTTTCAATATAAAGTTATGAGCATAGAGGGAATGAATCAATCGCACAATTTTACTTTGCTTGAATTATTTTAAGGTTCCATTATCAATGCTAGTTTAATAATCAAAATGACCTTGACCTACCTTGACCTAAGCCTTCCACACCATCTGGGAGATGTGTGATGGCTTCTGCTTCATGACCTCAAGCTAGGTCCTCCTATCTTGTGATGTTCTGGTCGCTTCTGTTAGGGATCCTAGAAATCTGGTAGCACGATCAGCCTTTACACAGTCTATCCATTTCTTGGCTGGTCTGCCTCGGGGTCTATCACCAAGAATATTTGAAATCTTTGGGTACCGTGATGGTTTCATACTAAAAAATCTCACTTTAAATATTACTTCTGTAAAAAGAAATCGCAAGTTCAAATACTCTGAAGCAACTTTTGGGTCGACTGTTTAGCACATCTACACGTGCATGCATGCACGCTAGACCTAAGTTTGACTTGGGTTACTATCTTTGTAGTGTTTTCATGTTTTCCTTATCTTTTAGCCCATTTTGGAGTTTATTTTACCCATACTTGCTGAATACATGAATGGTCTCCTTTAGTCCATGTAGAAAGAAGGTGAAACCAATTGTGTCTACTCTATGGCAGGTTTTTAAGTCTATTTAATGCATCTCCTAAAGACACATTTCAATTTAAAAAATGTTATTCGAGTTGATTAGAATGTACGTCTCTCAATGTTTTGATGTACTAGTAAAATGCATCCTTTTGTACAACTTTTATTGTTTGATAATGTATGTATAGGATATTGGAATGATAAGGGACTAATGTGCAATATATTAATGTGTATTCAATCTGGAAGGAAATACAAAAATATGTATACTAAACGTACTGCCACTTGCTATTCAGATAAATCCATTCAAGATGTAGACATTCATTTTAATTTCATGTTATAACCATATAACTGATAGCTATCTATCAAGTCACATTGAATTTAACTGAATTTTCAGTTTTTGCCCAGAAAACTCTTTTTTGTTGTTGCAGAGAACATTTTGTTGAAGTGATTTTGTGACTTGATGTGTGAAATGTTTAGAAATTGAACTTAAGCAAATCTGGTCAACAATTCTTAACAGATCACCTTGAAAGTTTACTGACCAAAGACTTTGGAGTCATGAAAACTAAACCTTGAATCTGAACAATTACAATCCAAAGGTTTGTTAACTTGTAAATAATGCTATTTGATGACCTCTGTGAGAACATGGTGCATATATTCTGAATAAATATTGGATAAGACTGTCATTGGATTGCATGTGTGGTAATTTATTTGTGTAGCAGTATGTGTGTGCTTGTCAGTTAGATAGGGCAGAGAAGCTTAGAGGGTGGCATTGAGACAGACTTTGATAAAGGTAAATGTAAGAAATCAGAATGAGACTGTTTGAGTGCTACCTCACTTAATTAATGGGGGGAGGGAGGGGAAGGGGGGATGTTCATTGTAAAAATGTCAGAGGAAAAATCCATCTGATTTAAATAGAAACTATAAATCAAAAGATTCAAGATTCATTTATTACACATCTTGGGTACAATTATTACAAAATATTTCTTTGAACAAATTCATCTCGTAAATAAACAAAAATAGAAGGAAGCAGAAGCCAACCATTGATAGTTTGTGCTCAAATAACTTTAGATTTTGTAAAAGATCAGACTTCTAGGACTCATAAATCCTTAATGTATTTATCGTTTGAATTGTTCTTTTGAACGTTTGGTAATATGCAGTCTACGTATCTTGATGAATGTGGTGCAGCTAGGTGGCATATACATTGTGTGAAGGAGAAGCCTACAGCCACGCCCCTGCCCCTCCCCCCTCCTATCCTGCCTGCCATCGGCGCGCGGCCTCACAAGTGTTTGTTTACGTTACGTAATTGCACGCCTTGATAATAAATGGCATTGACCCTCTAATCGTCATCATCTCTGTCAATATTATGACTCACATACGACACAGATAACAATACCATCAACGATACATGGTCGGAAAGAAAGGTTAGGTTAGGTCAATCGTGCTGTTATTTTATTTTACAGAAAACATATGCTGGGTCACATGATATAACTAGCTAGCCACTAGTTTATTTTGATTGAAAGAGCACGTACACGTTATTGGGCCTCTATTACCAGACTAGACGGCAGAGTTCAGCGGGGTGAAACTCGTACAGTTCCGCTTACTGCAGGTTTGCTGGTACGTAGCTTCGCTGCATGTCAGTGTGCAGTTAAAGTTGGCAACTGAGTTGTGTTGCGACGTGTGGAAAATCGAAGTGAAAAGATGGCGGATGATCATAGAATAACGGTTAGAACAAGTCGATCTGTAAGATCTCAACTATTTGGTTGCCACCCAGCATGTGCTTCTAATGTCTGGGCATTAATGACTTCTATTGGTGAGTATTTGTATACATTGATTCGTTAACAATAACATGTTTATCAAAATCGTGACAGCTTTAGAGGGGTCTAGTTTTACATAGTCATACTCATAGAGTTGAACCTGTAGTTGTGAACTGAATAGTGAAGAGTGAAACAAAGCTAAGCCATATCTCACAGGGAGGTTTCGATTGCCAACAATACACGCTGGTCCAAAGTACAAAGCCAAGACCCCTCACCAACATGCACATGTAATTTTGTAAATTCTTATCCAATATTTATCATATTATGAATGTTCAGGTTTACATTCTAGTTAAACTTGCAAGTAAAGAAAGATAGGGCCTAGAATATTTTGTAGAGCTATTTTGTTGCAATTTAATAATGTAATAATGACCAAACTACCAAACATGATGAATACAAGATTTGTTAATTGGCACTGGCCTGTTTGATCATTTGCATATGGGGGGGGGGGGGGGGGGGGTGGCATTTAATGCCAGCATTACATTGTGTACTTTAAAAAGTAACTGAATGAAAAGATTAAATAATAAATTAGAACTAATTGATGAATATAGACTATGTAAAAGTAATCTCGGTAAAGAAGATGAACATATAAAACGAAATTAAGTCATTTTATAGTTACTACTAAAAATCTTTCCATTCCAAGTAACCTTAACAATCTGTTGATGTCATATGAAAACGATCCTTGTAAAAAGTGATTAATTCACTCTTCTTAGTCTTACATCAACCAAAATCATATCGTCCTATAACATGTATTATTCTCAAAACAGTTTCTGTTCTTTTTTTTTCATCATAGTCTTTAGTATTATTGGTAGTAAATTATGTTATTATTCATTAGACTAGATATATTATTTTCAGTCTTATAACTTTGAAATTGCATAGAGCAAACACTTTATGTACAATATCATGCAGATTCTCTCTGAACTGTATGAGTGTACAGCTTAGCTTAATACACTTCTAAACCTTCTGAATTTGGAGTCAGCAGGGCGGTATTCTGCATGTCGCTAACTAATATGGCAGGTGGTACATGCTAAAGTGTGTTTCGAAAGTTCTCAACAGACGTGGCTATTACAGACTGCTGGTCGAGGGCGTTCCATGCTCGTCCAGTTCTTGGGGGAAAAAGGAGTATTTATAAACGTTCTTTCTGGCAAAGGGGATTTCTATTGAGTATTGGTCGTTTCTTCTTAACCTTGACCCTGTTGGTACTTGTATGTAGTCCTCTTGCTTTAGGCTCACATTTCCCTTGTTGATTTTGTACAGCATAACTAACCAACTTTTTTCCCTCCTGTGTTCAAGTGTTTCCCATTCTAATAATAATAATAATTACAGTGCTTATATAGCGCCTAACACTTACTTTGTCAGAAGTCTCTACTAGGCAGGTCTGCATTTGTGTGACACTGCTGTCCCTTTGGTAGTTTTCTGTTACCTAAACTGGTGTCCTAACTTAGATTATTAAAGTTGTTAAACATAGTTTACAATGATCATTTGGAATCATGTCTTACATTACATAAATCATGTTTCCATTTTTCTCTATTTCTCTATATTTTTAATATATACAGATTGCTTTTGATAATTATTTAATCAACAACTTTTACATAATTTGTGTATGTTCTTTCTTTTCTAGTTTTCTGGTCAAATTAAACTGCTAATCACAAGCTTTTAAAACTATTTAAACTGTATTATTTTAAGAAAACTGCAGAGCAGACATTATATCAAGTTTATTTGGAGTAAACAATAAATTCCCTGTACACTGTAAAAATATGGTAATAAAAAAAGTTCAAACATATACATGTATAGGATCTAGACTTTAATTCTATGTTTATATTTCCCCAAAATTTTGAAACACATGTTATCTGATGATTTAATTTGAATAGAATATTAAGACACAAATGTATTATTTTTCATCCCTATAGCTCTCCTCGGAGTAGGAGTTTATTTTGTGGTCAACTCCGCTGCCAAATTTTGGATCTGGGTCTATCTTTTGTAAGTATAAAGCATTTATTTTAAGAAAACGCATACAATAAAGACTGTTAATGTTGTCTCAGTTGAAGATGTCAAATTAAAGAGCAAGTGTTCATGGAAAATGATTATTATGGTATGTTTTATAAACTGAAACATGGTAAGACATGCAGCCACGTACATTCTCTATTTCTCTTAAGGTACACATTCCCTTTGTAGAAACTTAATTAAGGTATACAGTTAGGTAACAATTAAATTATTCAAACCCCTTGTATGTTTTATTTTTTTGTGGGGGTTTACACTCATAGAATTAGAATCTCAATAATGAGAATAAGGGCTTTTTTTAATACTTTCAGATGTAAGATTTAATATGTCACATACCCAGGAAACATGAACTGGGACAAATCAATTTTTCACATACCTTTTCAAAACTTGGTAAGGCTATGAATAATTCAGTTGTTATTTGTATGTATGATTATTTTGCATGGTATATATTGTACTGTACTGATATGAAGGGGGGAGATCCTCAAGAGCAGGACAAATAAAACTAGGGGAAAAAATTGTCAATTCAGTACAACTACAACATACATGTACATGTACGCTCAAACTAAAGGCATCAATATCAGTATCAGGCTATCAGCCATCTATTCTATTTAAAAAAAAACGAAATGAGCACAAATTTTCATTCTTTTTTGTCCTTCTTTCTCCTAGTGCTGCAGGTGGAATTGTTCTGCTGCTGGAAATGATGACCCTTTTCACATACACTACTTGTTGCAGGTATATAACCCAAAGATGGAAATTTGGAATAGCTTCAAACAAATCATGTTTTCATTCAGATTATTTTATTTGTCTCAAGTGAATGAATGCTATATATTTGATTTATTTCATCAGATTTCAAGGTATATCGGCAACAGGTTTTATTTCTGTTCTTTACTGAAAGTACATCATGATACAGGAAGAATGAATTTTGTTATATATTAAGTATACAGAAAAGAAGGAATTAATGTTATATGGAAAGGGCTGACATGTGCTTACATTTAGTCACACACTACATATTTGAGTCATGCGTGAAGGGCAGGCCAGGAAACATCTACATGAAAAAAAGCAGGAAAAGTGAGAAAAAAAATGAAGATTTCTGTGCAGTTGTAGACAGTTTTGTTATTTTACACCTTCAATTTGTATAAAAACAAATTCATATACCTGTTTTTTTTTTTCTTTAATATTTGAATTGGCAGACAGCGATGTGGTAAATGTATCAAAGCCATATGGTTTATTGATACCTGGAAAAGAGGATTGGTGTACGTCATTGGAGGAATCTTCTGTTTCATCCCTTTTAGTGTTGACCTTCGTCTGCTTTGTGGTAAGACTTATTGTTGTTGTTTTTTTCTTTTTTCTCCTAAGATGTATGTTATATAACATTTGATTATATTTTAAAAATTCATTGATTTTTATTAAAACACATAGGTACTGTATGTTGTGTGCAGTGAATGAAGCAATCAAACTAGTAAGCATTAAGCAAGTAGCTACAAGTAGAACAGTTGGGCTTTAATAATAGCTTACCGGTATATAATTGTACATAATAATTGTGCTGTTCAATTTACATCACAGAAATTAAGAAATTGTAGAGCTTCCAAAAAACATGTTAAAGTGTGTACACGTACATGAAAGAGGGAGAGAGAGAGAGAGAGAGATAGAGAGAGAGAGAGAGAGGAGAGGAGGAGGGGGGGGGGGGGTGGAGGCCGGTAGGGGAGAGAAGAAAAGGAGCAAGAAGTACCTATTCTCCCTCATTTTTTTCTTCATTAGAAATTCGAAATATGATGTTATACAAGTGTAGTGGACAAGGATTTGCCAATTTCCTGGCCCAGTTTCCAGTCACAATCACTTTGACCCACCTTCACCTACCCATAGGGCAAGTAGCACACTGCAGGTGCACCACTACCCTGCAACAACAATGCATAAAGCTGGGGTACGTACAAAGGCAGCTACATGTAGCTACGCCAGTGGACAGACTTTCTGTGCTACATGCTACGTGTACATGTTTGTAAATGATAATGCATTGGGACAGTGTCTGACAGTCCCAATAGCATGTGAAATAGTGGATAAGCATGCCACGTATTCATACAACTGTACATGAAGTCATTCCTTGCCTCCATCATTTCATTTTAAACAGAAAGTGACGGACCCCCCCCCCCTCAACGTTTTCTATTCTACTTTATTTTAGCATACATATTCTCCCACCCCCTCTCATTTCCTTTTTTTCCTACCTGCCTCCTTAATAACTTAATTACTTGATAATTTTGTTTGGTCATAAAATTAAAAAGAAATCTAAAGAATCTAGGAAATAAATTAACCCCCAAAATGTGCAATTTCATCTTGCTTTGAGCCTCTCTAATTCATGGACCAATGAAATGTTATGAAGAAAAATCTATGCACAAACATGCATGCACATGTAGCCAAGCCTTGTGTACATGCCATATACGCTTTGGACTGGTGTGATGAAAATAGGGACTTTTAAGGAATCTAGGAAATAAATTAACCCCCAAAATGTGCAATTTCATCTTGCTTTGAGCCTCTCTAATTCATGGACCAATGAAATGTTATGAAGAAAAATCTATGCACAAACATGCATGCACATGTAGCCAAGCCTTGTGTACATGCCATATACGCTTTGGACTGGTGTGATGAAAATAGGGACTTTTCGATTTGCACGTTTATAAGTGGACTGCGACGTATGCGGTCATTTTTAAGCAGAGTTGACGAGACACGGTGACTGTTGTTCGTTACCTTTTCGATTTTACACAACTACGACGCTCGCTTAATGAGCGCGAAACTCGATCGAATAGCTAAAGATATAACACCAAATTCGGTGCATGACACGTTGTCAAAAATTATGCTGCAACAGATTAGCGTTGCATAAATAAAATGTGTTCATGTTATGAATTATTCTGCTTTAATAGTGAGCGCGAAATTCGATCGAAAAGCTAAAGATTCAACACACCAAATTTGGTGCATGGGACTGACCTCGAAAATTATGCTGCAACAGATTGGCGATGCACAAATAATATGTGTTCATTTTATGAATTATTCTGCGACAATTTTGATTTAAGGCAAATTACCGACACGAAAATGTGTTAATTTAAGAGAATTCACGCTTCCACCACTCTCCGGTTCTAGAATTAGGTTAATTGGGTCCATTTTGTGACTTCAATGTGATGTTTCGTGCCTACAAAAGATTGCTTACGAACATGTATCGTCACAGTTTGCGAACAACGGCAAAACAAGGGCGAACGCGTTCAAGAATTCTGCTACGAACGATGAGCTCGTCGATGCGCATGCGCACTGCTTCAAAAGTGACCGCATACGTCGCAGTCCACTAGTGAACGTGCAAATCGAAAAGTCCCTAATATCAGTATGGGTCATGTTGTAGGCTGTATTTATCTAACCTTTACAAAGCAGTCAAGGAGATAGTGAGAGAGCCAAGTGATGTGCATCCTGTTTTTTTGCACCATTTGAATTAGCAACATTTGAATTAGCAACATTTGAATTAGCAACATGAATTTTTCTATTTTTTTTAAAGTACATGTGCTACATCATGTACATGTATGTATACTGCACGGTTACACTTACAAATGTATATACTGATCATGGATACATCATATATAGACCTACATGTGCATTGTAGTTATAGTATACCCTTGGGTAAGCAAATAGAAGATTATCCTTATCAGCTTTCGAGATGTTTTATACAGCAGAAAGTATTAATAATGATAATAGATTAGGCTTATATTGAATAAATTTTACTTGCAAAAAATAAATAAATGTTGAAATAGCAATTTGATTGTAAAAATTTAGAGTGAGCCTGAAAATCTGTTTGCAAATGCATTTCTTAGTGAATTTCATGATGGTCAGTGTATTAACCCGTCTTTAAACGATGACATGTGTGTTCCAGTGTTGGCATAGCTATAGAAGGGACCATCACAGGGTGACATGTGTGCCCCCAACCCCCCTCACACTTAAATCAGTTGGCAAAAAAAAAAAAAGAGAGAAAAATTTGAAAGAAAAGTGGAAAAAAAGAGAGAAATAGAGTGGGAGAGAATGTGAGAGAATTAATAGTATATAGAATGCAGAAAAATGTAGGTCGCATTTCAGGTAATTTGCTATTTACATGTACCATGATATAAAACTGTTCTGTAATTATCTAATAATCTAATGTTCTGTATTAAATGTATATAAATGTCACTAAAACTATCAAAGTATACCAATCATGCTTTAGGCCTCCTTCTAACCACATATTTAAATACTGGCATATATTATATTGAAGCTCAATATTTACTAGGTCACCATGGATACATTTCACTTGCCGGCATACATGTAGTCATATACTACAAAGTGGGCACATCATATTTACTGCAATGCTTACAGCCATCCTTTAACAATGTTAAATCTGAGATGCACGCGCCCTGCCTACGTGTTAATAGTGTCTGTGATATGGTGTATTAAATATTAAAGCTCTAAAAAAAAAATTGCGCTTCAAAAAGATCAAGAAGTACCTCAAAAAAGTAACAATCTTTGAGTGACTGGTTTTGCCATACTCGTTTTTCCCAATAGACTGTAGTGTTATGATCGATCGAAAACCGGTAGCAAAACGCAAAATTTGGTTTCCAATTCCAATCATAAATATCTTGATAATCAGACAGGTGATCGGCTTGTAAAAGTCATGGGGTTCCTGACTGACCTAAAGGTTTATAATTATCATCGCAGCATGAGCTAAATCCAGGATTCCGTTTCAGAATCTGAGACAAAGTTACCCCTTTAAACTATACTTGGATATCAATTTATATCAGATTGCTATCATGGCAGCAAATTATATTGTGAAGTACTCTTAGCGCCAAGACAGCTGTAAAGTACTGTAACAAAGTACCAGCATGATTAAAACTGAACAATGTCTTTTTCTTTTCATGATCTTTTTTCTTCAAATGTGCAGGTATCATGATGTTCATTGCTGGATTCCTGTATATTTCAAAGACGTGCAAGTCAACACGAAACCCAGAGGATCGTAAGGAGCTGGTAGAGGAAGAGCAGAATCAAGCTTAGATGCCCCCTCTCCTCCCCTATCTTAAAGGCCTCGATCCTACTCCATTTGATGTTAAAGCCCCCCCCCCTCCCTCCCCCCTAGTCTGCAAGCACAAACCCTGGTCAGTCGTAAAAGTGAGTCTGCAGTCTGCACTGTAAGACTACCATAGGCCATGTACTGTAGATGCTCCTATATTGACACAACCAGTAGGTAGCTGGACTAGGCTTCTCTCAAGGCACAATGATTTGTTGATAAAGTGTCAAATTAGGGTCTGTGCTTGCAGACTACCCCCCCCCCCCCCCCCCACCAGTTGAACCTTAAAGGGGTCTGTCTCACCCATTGCCAGATATCTATATAGCTGTAAGACTGATTGCCATGCAGTGTTTCCATTGTTAGTGACTTGTCCATCACATGTATGTAAGTATGGAGGACATGTTAGGTATTTCTATGCGCAACGCTTCCTCATGCGCTCAACTGCACAGCCCCTGTGCCTAGTTTGTGCAGAGTAAGTGAGATGAAACAGTGTAGTGGTTCAATAATTGACAGATTGTGCGACACACACACACACCCACAATTGTATGTATGCACGCTTGTTTCATAGTTTGTATTAAAATCTGTATTCTGAACAGTGGGAATTTTCCAATAAATAATTCTTTGACCAGAGGGCTTTACAGGAATCTGTCTCAGGTTGCTCTAGCAAGCAAGATATGGAACATCCTTTCGATGTTTTAAAAATTTCATCATGATTACATGTAGGTACATATGTAGGTACATGTTCATGCCTCCTTCCAATTTTTAACACCCAATGAGATTGGTATGTTTTTAAAGAACCACCCACATACACTCGGTGTGGTTTTTATCATAACTTAGTCCTGCCAGTGTAGAGAAAAATGAGCCTCTCAAAAAACTATGTGAAGTTATTATCATCAAATGTCACTTCTTGAAATATAGCTCCGTACAGTATCCACTCAATTAGTGGCCTTCGATCTCACTGGCGAGTTTTGTAGACTTGTGGCAGATAGTGTAGCTGTGATATCGCTGTAGACTCATGGATGTCTTTTGACCCTTGGTGCAATTAAACCCTTTTCTATGCAATCTACACATGTACAACTGTATACATGTGCTGTAAAGGAAATACAATATATGTACAAAAAGAGAAACACAAAATGAAGCCAGTAATGATTTACAATTGGATGTGTGCTTGCTTTTTACAGCTTGTGTCATTTTTAAGACTATGAATTTATGTGCAACTGCCTTGGTTTATTTCAAAACTTGTCTGATACAAGTATACTCATGTTTGAATATAACTAGCTCCTAGACTTCATTAAATGCTGACTTACCGGTAATGCTAGTATTTGAAATGTTGCTTGATATAGCCAAGATAAGATTTATGGAACATAAGCAGATAAGTTGCGGGATTCATCCCCCGGTTTACTTGCTCTGTAGTGAAGATGGAATACTGCATGACTGAATGACTGTTCTCTGTTCCAGGATTTAAAAATTACCCTATATTTGATAATATTTCACAGAAAGCAAGGACGTATTTACTCGATGAACCCCTCCCCCCCCCCCCCCCCCCAATTTAATATAAAGACAAGGAAAACCTAGGCAGTAAAACAACCCATACCATTTCAAAAAGGCATTTGAAGGAGGGTTTTGGAATGAATTTGAAAATGTAATACACTTGTATTAAAAATGACAAGTTTGTACTCTGTAAACACCCCCAAATAGTTTGTTTACTTTGCTGATGTATTTAATAGCCAAAAGAGCCCTCATGTCTGACTATTCTGATCACTGGACAAATCACAGAGAAAAGACCCCCTTTAAGCTTTGTGTAAAAATGTTAACAGTTATATGCATACATGGCTGAACAGTTTCATAATAATAATAATGGTTTGGATAATTAGTAGAGGTTCTAGGACTTTTATCCAAACATTATACCTGTGTGACGGTTTCAGTGTCTGACATTTGAGATGCGGCCATTGCCGAAAGGACACCCTTTGGTGATCAAGAAACTAGCAGCTAGCTTCAGTCTGCCCTTACAGTTCTGTGGAAGGTGTCTTTTCAAATTTATGTTTCTCTGAACAACATTTGTATAGGAATGTTACTTATCTTGAATTTGGGTTATTCATGAAATCTACACTGTAAATAGGAATATTTATCTTCATTTCTTGTACAATAACACTGCATATTATTAATGAAAGTTATATGGATTGTTTTCATTCATCTTTGTTTTGCACAAACTTGACTGCCATCGTATTTATTTCCGCACTAGTTTCAAAATGCAAAATCTGGTATTTTTACAATTCAAGCCATTGTCTATAACTGCATTCATGGATCAGTGATTGATGAGGGGGGGGGGGGGGGGGGAAGAAAAAAGTAAAACATAATAGGAATATGAATGTAGTGCTATAATTATGTATACTAGTAGTTTGCAATATCATTGAATATCGCCAAATTATCACGAAATAATTCTACATCAAATGTTACTAATGTATATTAATTATCAACTCAACATGGTGCTGGTGATATTTGTTTTTGTTTCTCGTAGGATATTTGCAGGATAATGCTGTATATTCTCTATTTATTTGTATCATAGAAAAGTTTATTTTTCTGTTCTTTTTCTCAGTATTAATGACTTTTGAAGTTGGGGATGAACTATTTAGTACGTATTATATCTATGTTAACATCAATAAGAAGTATAGTTAAGCGCACTCATTTGATTTTGATTCTTTGCACAGTGTGTTAAATTCAGGTCATCTTGTGTTATTAGCAATGTTTCAGTTTCTTTGATATGTGTTTGAAATGAACTTCCATTTATGTTGAAGATGACAAACTTGCAGTATTTGGGATGAAATGAGTTGAATAATGTTCTGTTTGATGGAAAGATGCTCAGATGTTTTAAATTCATATTTTGGACTATTTCCAAATCATTTCAATATTCTTTCTAGAACTGAACATTTTTACTTCATGTGCCATTCAAGTTTAAGATGATAATGACACACATTTACAGTTGGCCTAATTAAGGTTCATATTTGTCATTTTTTTAAATATTAGTATTTGCTCCCATTTCTCGTAATCGGACCTTACAAAGTTTCATAAAACAAAGAATGGCTTATTTTCTTTTTAATGAAACATATGTTTGAAGAAGGGAAACTTAGCATATCATCTGTTAAAGACTCAGAAGGGCATTAACTTTAAACAGGTGATATAAAAAATGTATTGGTATCGCACATGTATTGATGTAAAATGCATATTGTCTACTAAAATGTAGCGCTTGTATGTATATCTTAGGCGAAAGTAAAATCTAAATGTCAATTGAAAGTACTAATACTGTATGTTTGAATAAATATTGCCAAGTTCAAAGTATAGTACAGTATGTTTAGTTTTTAATCAGGCTTTTTGTACATGTTTTTTTTTAATGAAGGTTATATTTTGATAAAAAATAAATTGAAGAGTGTAAAGCATTTATGTCCTTTTCAGATGAACAAATAATGTGTTTTAAAAAACGAGCAAACTATTGTGAGTTTTAGGGACACTAGAGATTCTAGGACGGGAATCAGGTTACACCACTAAAAAAAAAAAAAACCTTTCTATAATTCAAATGTTTTAGCAAAACAATGAGACATAAATTTAAAGCTGGTAATAATAATGAAATAAGGAGGTATTATTTTTTTTACATTTTTGTTAATGGCTTGTCCCTGCTGGTACTTGAACAAGTATTGTTGAAATAAATCATCTTGTCAAATCATGTTATCAAATTTTAAGAAGTGAAGAAAAAAAAGAAAAGAGGATGTAACTAACTTTACCTTTTGATGTATATGTAGTTTTTATGTGACAATGAATAAATAATTATTTTTCCCATTTTTCACTTCTTAATGAAATTGCTGAACAACAGACTTGATGAAGATATTTGAAATATCTAACTTAAAAATAATGTATATCAGTGATTCTGATTGCAAAATTCACATTGGAATCAATTCTAGTCATGTGCTGTCATATGATAAATCATCAATTGTACCAGTGAACAATGAATTTCCATATTATGGACAATAAATCAATTCAATTCAATTCAATTCAATCAATGTGTTTAAGAATAAGGTGATAATTGTTGTACATTTGAATTAATGTGAAAAAGAAGCTACATTTTTATTTTGGAGGTAGTACAAAGTAATTGATGTAAAATTGATAACTTTTATGTAAGCTTGAATAGTATTGCCGAATCAAATCCTTTCCTTCATTATACACAAAGTTTAAACTTAATGATATAAAGGAAATATATCTGCATGTCACTTCATCTTTTGCTAGACTACTGTATGTACCGTAAGTATTTCTTTACAACGTATGTAATGTACAACATGAGAATTTAACATCATAAAGGCAGTTATTTTAGTTGAATGAAAAAGCTACTTTTAAGTACTGCTATGTGCGATATGTGTAGCTATATTGTATGTATAATCGCCAAGTGATCCATCTAGCTGCACTTTTCCTAGTAATGTAACTTGTAAGGTCAAGCCTGAAATAGTCAATTGCAATAATATAGTGAAGTCGCCTACATGTATGTATTTATGATGATACAAGCTTTCCATCCAAAGATTTCAGATAATAAAAGGTAAAGAGAAGTGGTACAAGTGCAAATTTTCTGTACGATTATGGTAGCATTTTAATTATATAGAAAATGACGAATAATAGAAAAATCGTAGATAATTAAGACATGTGTAATGTTCATGACAGCAAATTTAAAAGAAAGTGTTTCATCTATATGTAGCTGTTACCTTATTGTTGATAGTGATAAACATTATTCTTCGTCGATTGATGTTGACAGCTGTTTGTAATAGGCACGTTGTTATAGACATATAATCAAATGGGATTTTGGGTCAGTATCAAGCTAACAGCACTCTTGAAATAAATGTCAAAAATGTGCTTGAAAAGAACGGTTGTCAATTGTTTTATTTGTTAATGTGATCGTGTGTACATGGGTAGTATAGTTTAAAATCAGCAGATTTGACTTTAGTGCTTAAAAATTGTAAAACTATATATATATTTAAAACACTGCTGTATTCAGCAGAATAATAACAGAATTTTAGACATGTCTTTGACATACATGGTTTATTTCAACCTGAAAAAGGAACATACTTTTTACCAAAAAACGGACTACTGTAAGGCTCAGGATATCATAATGGACGGTACAAAATGCATATATTAGCTTACCAATCATGTGATAAGTAAGACACTATAGACCAGCTGGGTTACCTTGACATAAGTCAAATATACAGGTATATATATCTCTATCAAATGGCTCCTAAATCACATCATATTAAAATGGAACAAGTTATCAAAATTCACCTTTTACCCCCTATAAAAATTAAGATTTGTACCAGACCATTCAAATTAAAAGCATTTTATCATGACATGAAATAGCATGGCCTTGAAGTTTTATTATACAAAAAGTATCTTGTGTTGATTATTTGATTAAAATATTTACTTGTAATATACAGGAATATGTTAGGCCTTTATAATAGCTGTACTTTTTGTTCATTTTGTTGTCTTTACCTTGGTGGAATCACTCATATAATATCACCCCCCCCCCAAAAAAAAGGACTTCAACATTATCATTCACTTTATCTGAAGGGTCTAAATACAAAAATCAATTAGCATGAACTTCAAATAAGCCCCTGCAATTCTCTTTAATTCCTTGAAAATATAAACATGTCTTTTTCATTTATTCAAACAATATCTAGTAGAAATAATTTCACAAAACATTTGGTAACCAACAAGTTATTATTACTTTGTTCAAAGTGAAGAAGGTAAAAATACGAGAAGAATGTAAAAGTCTGTTACCGCCTAAGTAGGGGGAGTTATAAAAATTGAATGTGGAGTATTCTTACAAGGGTGAAATACTTATCATATACAATAATAATTCTTTCCTGCAACAGAATTTAATAATTGAACTATGCATGGAGAACAAATTGAACAAAATCTGTTGTTCATGAATCTGTCAAGTTCCCCATTTTCCACAACTGGGTCACAAGAAGTTACTTGTTGACAAACTGCAACAAGTAAGGCATCGACATGCAAAAATATATGTATATAATAATCAGTCAAATATTGAAATGAATAACTGATGTATTTCATCAACCAAATTTGAATCACCACTTAGAAAGAGTTCAAAAGTCTGATCATAGTGTGAGGCTGCAAGCTCTACACAGACTTGTCTTATCTATCTACGGAAGCTTTCTCTTGTTTCTCCTTCTCCTTTACTTTAAGCTGGAGCATGCGGTGTGTCTCTTGATTCTTCTTGAGGATCTGGTTGATGCAGTATTCACTCTCCTGTCCGACCTCTGTCAATCTTAGATCAAAATCTCGCACTACATCATTCTCCTCCATCCCTTCTTGAACCTGCTTTCCTCCATCCTACAAAAGAAAATTAACATTTTTAATGAAATGAAAAGGAAATAAAATACTACACCTTGGGATAGTACACTCAAGATTACATTGACACTGCTTTGCTCTAAAACAGCGTGGTACAAAAACAAGGGGTTAAAGATGAAACATTGACAGGTATGAATTTTAATTGTACAGGTTTGAAATAAGCAAAACAGATTAATTTTCATTCTCAACCAAAGTTATTTATGAAATATTAGTAATCAAATATATGATTGAAAATTCTTTAAAATATAGCTTATATTGTAAAAGAGTATATCTATGAACCTAAGAGCCCTTTAAGCATGCCATGGACCCGGCAACAGGGGACTTTGCGTTTGGCATATATCAGTTCATACTCCTTCCATGTTCAACTTTAAATGTTTGTTTATGTACATGTACCACCCTGTCTAAAGTACGCTTTCTCATAAAACTACACAATAGTTAATAAGGATATTTGTGGAAGCACCTATAAGAAGATTTTTATACGATGCAATTTTAGTTTGTTACGACAATTATTATTATTCTCCCTAAAATGAAAGATAAGTTTCTCAGGATATTCAACTCCTGGTTATACTTAATATTACTGAACTAATCAAGTCACACATTAAAAATTTGAAATAATATTAAAAAGAATAATCACAAGAAGATATTACATACCTGACCAAGTCTATTACAGGATACATTGATATTAACGAGAGTGCCGTTATGGATGAGAATCTGGGCCAGTGCAGCTGCTGTTGGTTCACTCAACTCATTACTGCCTATGTTGATGGTTTCAAGTGTACAGTTCTTCATTAGAGCCCTGCAGATTGCTTGTCCACCTGGAATGAGTATAGTAAATGCACAATTATGATAACAAAATTCATTTTCTGCAACAAATAATTCAGTAAAAGAAATTTTACTCCTGTCCTGCAGCACGTAAAAATGTATCTGTCATTAATTTTTCTGTCTTCTTTAAATCCTATGGTAAAAGTTTGGAGGTCTTAACTTGATAAGGAAATGTTCATACGATGATATGAACACTTCCAACTTTGTCAGGAGCATGTACATAACAGAATCTAGTATACAATTTTCTAGGCTTTTTAACAAACTTGTTAAATTTATATTAGTGCACTTCTTTATCATTATTGTTATATTACTGCTCCATTGGGTAATATCTGTTGTTTTCCTATGTTACTATTTTTCAACGTATTTTTGCACACTTCTTTACAGTGATTTAAGAAAAAGATCAAATTGTTTCTCTCAAAAATTCTATAACAACTTTATGAAGACAGTATTGGTGCCATACCTTCATCTCCCATCCTGTTTAGCCTTAGGTCCAACTCCTTCAAAGTTTCGTTCTTTCCGAGAGCATGCCCAATAGCAGCTGCCCCAGATGACCTTATGCGATTGTTTGATAGATCCAGCTTGGTCAGTTTGCAGTGTCCATTCAAGAATTTCCCTATGGCCCTTGCTCCATGGTCACCAATGATATTGTGTGAGAGGTCAAGCTCTTCTAATGATGGATGGTCAAGGATGTGAGCGATGAGAACCCTGGCTTTGTCATCATCAACCTTGCTTCTGTGGAGCTGGAACTTCTTGAGTTGACTGCATTTCTTGACGCACTTGGAGAGGAGCATGCAGTCCCTGGCAGTAAACTGGAAAAGATTCCACTCAAAGTTCATCCCACAATCCTTGACTCCGTATGTCACACTAAACTCCTCAAGGTGGGGAAGCTTTGCAAGCGTGGTGGAGAACTCAAAATGATCCATGATGGGCCCATCCAGACCAGCATCACTGCCTGCATCAGAGATGTCATCCATGATCTTTGTGGGTTCTTCTTTGACTGGTGGCAACAGCTGCTTGATATGGAGTCTCTTCACATATGGAGCACAAAGAGGCAATGTATTATCTACTACCGCCATGTCAGATCTCTCAGGCACAAAGTGTTCAATGATGTTCTCCAAATGTGTTTCAAAGAACATGCGTTTCCAGCTGTGACCATACTTGGAGACATCACAGACTTCCTTGCCGGCTTTGCATCTTCTCTTCCAATAGCCCTCGTCTGATACAAGGTGGGCAACTACTTTAAGAGGAAGGTCCACAGAGATCTTTTCCAGAACTTTTGATTTGTACTTAGGAAGTAGTTCATCTAGCTTGGGGTGTTCTGTGAGAGCGCAAATAAAAAAAAAGAAACATACCATGTTAAAATTCATGACTGAAGGCTCATTTCCATTTTACATTAATGCAGACATTTTAATTTACTTCAATGATTTTACTTCAGAATTATGGAAGTACAATTTATACTAAGCAAATAAAGCAATAATACAAGTTTTTGTATCTGACAAGGTATATTTAACATGGCACAAAGGCAAAACTAGAGAGATTTGATTTGGTTGTCGGTTTTATAAGTACCTGCAAAATTAGTAACAATATGTGTTGTACAAAGCTCTGTCAGGAGAGGTACAGTGGCCAGAGACCAGTCAGGATCCTCTGCGATAATACGTCGCATGTTACGATTGTCGGCTGCAGGATTGCTCTTAGCACTGGTGATGGGAGATGGTATAGAGCGCTTGGCACTCCTGCCTCCCCTCTTTGCGCTATTGGCGTTGTTGTTGGCATTTGCGTCTCCTTTCCCCCCAGCCGAGGACAAGCCATTTTGATCAGAGAGAGCTGGTTCTGTTGTCATGGTTGCAATGGTGTCTTTCTTTTGTCCAGTACAAAATGGCTTTTTTTTAATCTGGAAGGAGAAAAAACAGCGATGGAAACAAAGATTTAAAGTCAGAAATGTTAATTTACAGAAAAGTTGCTCTTATTAATATAAGCAGGGTGGTAAGATCAATGATTTTTTTTTTATTAAGTATAAGCTCTAGTTAGAAAGTCATTAGGATCTAAAGACATTTAAAACAATTTTCACTCCCTTAATATTTAGCAATTCTTTTCCATATGAAACCCCTTTCCTCAAAGTTGTACAATTGTAAATACTTGATAGTGAAATGAAATAAGGGGTCTAAACATGCAGTTACATTCAATATTTGTTTATTTCATTCATCATCAATATAAAAACAAAAAGTGCATAATTGCAAATGATCATCGTACATTTATAAAATGTGGAAAACAAAAAGAAAATGTAAATTTAGAGTACACAAGGGACGGAAGTGAGTGGGCATCTAGATTTCATATCTTTATAAGATATCTTGACTACTACCATTCAACCTCAATATGTGAGAATCATTATGGTATTTCTTGCATTTACAATACGAAAGAGGCATGGGTTGCACAGAAAATGAATGGGGAGAAATAAGGAGTGACAGGAAGAACAAGTCTAGATAAAAGGGTATTGTAAGCAATAAACAATAAAGAGATCGAGCAAGATGAATAGATGAAGAATGTGCTGCTCATCATGGATTTAAAACAATGAAAATTAGTTTTTTGAGAAAAAAAAATCATTAAAACTTATGAACACAAAATAATGGCTAGAAATGTATCACGGTTTTGTACATCACTTGTTTGTCTGCACATAAACACTGCACACTAGGGGGAAAAGGGAGACTGCATATGACTGTGTCTGTCTGTAAGTAACGTAATGAAGCGCCAACAATAAGCAAAGCAAATACTGACAGCATGAACAGTGAAATAGGTCTATACTAGGTCTATCTATCTAGATCTATACTAGACCGAATTTTCCGTCTCTTTCGTTCGTTAGCCTCTTATTGGGGTAGGGTCGGCTCTCTCTTTAGAGACGGAAGCCGTTTATACACATGTCCTTGCTAACGCCACGGCCAGTTCTGGTCGTAGCGTTTTGCCCCAAAATCCCCCAAAATGTCATTTTACCTCGAGCATGTTATATTGTAAATTAGGCCTAGGCTATAATAAATCAGTTCCACTTACCAACTTGACTGAAATAATCAGTTTAATAGTCCCTTTTTAGGAAATTATGGGTCAAAATCGGAATCCATGTTGAAAAAGATTTTCAAAATGGATTTCGATTTTGACCCATAATTTCCTAAAAAGGGACTATTAAACTGATTATTTCAGTCAAGTTGGTAAGTGGAACTGATTTATTATAGCTTAGGCCTAATTTACAATATAACATGCTCGAGGTAAAATGACATTTTGGGGGATTTTGGGGGCAAAACGCTACGACCAGGACTGGCCGTGGCGTTAGCAAGGACATGTGTATAAACGGCTTCCGTCTCTAAAGAGAGAGCCGACCCTACCCCAATAAGAGGCTAACGAACGAAAGAGAGGAAAATTCGGTCTAGATCTATACTAGATTGTCTAGACTAGATCTAGAAATAGAATCTAGTCTAGTGATAGTGTGGTTTCCTGACCTAATATATAATTCACAATAATGCCAAAATAACCTAGAACTTATAGATCTACACAGTTTCCATTTTTACGAAAGCAAATATTGGTTTTATATTACAAAAGAACATACGCATAAAGACTCGATGTGACATTGGCAATTAGAGTGCGGAAGAAGTACCTCGATATCTGGCACTGCAGTTCCCCGAAACCGCCGGGCCGGGGGTTGATTGTGTGACCCGTAAAACGAGTCCGAGAGCCAGAAAAGTTAGGTCTACTTTCAAGTTGATTTTCATCACACTCACATTATGTTATCATTAAAGATAGTATAAAGACCAATCTATGGTATAAATCTCGTATTTATAAGCGTTTCTACGATCTTAACCATCAATGGAGTTGTCAGATTTTAACACTTTTTTGTTGTTACTTACCTTCCAAATGTGAACGTTGTTGATACAGGTTGCTGTGACAACTTATGTGGAATGCGCAGGCGCAAGATAAGGAAACATGAATATTCATGCAGCGAAGGTGCCGCGAAAATAGATGTTGAAAACGCGAAAATAACTCTGCCAAACAAGTTTGATCTAGTAAGTGATATATTCTGTAGATCTATTACAAACTAACAATAACATTTAACCTTTTTTCTAGTTCATCTGGTCGATTTGTCGATTGATGCTGTATTTTACGTGCACAATAATTCGGAAGTTGGCCACTCATTTTTTCAGCACAGTCCCACACCTTTATATCCATGCATGTGAAAACGTTGTGTTGTGATCAACACGTACACCGTCTCAATCCCATATCCCCTGCAGGCTGCAGCTGCACATGCGCACATGTTCAAAGTAAAGGACTATTAAGACTTAAGTCTATGATTTCCCATCAATTGGAGAACTATTTAACTCTGAAAAAGTGAAAGAGCATTACAGGATCTTCTCCTATCATGATGATGGTGATGATGATGAATGCAAAGCAAAATTCCATGATTGAATGAATGAATGGCATGATCCATGACTTTTGAGCCTTGATCGAAATCAGAAAAAGTAGAAATCTAGAGAACACGATCATCACGAATGCCACTCATACAAATACAGTGCATGAGGTATATGTAAATCAAACATTCAATTTTTAAAACTTTTGTACCAGTAAAATACTCTACTAGCTCTAGTCTAATACAACATAACGTGGCCGTGGGTTATATCTTCAATCATACTCGTAGATATAGCCGGTCTAGATCTAGAATCTATACAATGTTGGTAGGACATGATTTTAATACTAAAAATTTAAAATAGAAAGAAATTTCGTAAACTTTCTTTTGAAGCCCTTTTTTCCCCTCCTTTCCCCTCCTTTTCGAGAGACGACTGCTTCGTTCCATCCTCCTGATATCAATAAAATCAAAAAGGTTGCATTGCGGACACTCTGCCAATTACGTCATTTAAAGCAGTTGCACAATTCAATATCTGACGGGTGGCTGTCTATCTCACGTGCATATAGCCTGCCCCTGACCTGTGTTAACAACCGATCGCGTTCGATAGCAACGATAAATAACAAGCGACGAATGGGGCACCCCGCATTGAGGTCTCCCTTCATTTTGGAAAAACGTCTAAAATTAGAAAATCCTGGAACATAGCTGAATAGGGTTGGCCCAATTGTTAAAAGTAGGCTCAAATATCTGCAAAACCAAGGAAATTCTCATCAAAGAAACTTGTAAGTTCCATTCGATACTTACTTGTATTTTGTAATCAACATTTATTCATTAAATTCTTTATCAAACCATTTGAAAGCATCATACAGAAGGTTTTACAAAATATTGTGTGAATATATACTACAGTACAGTGTTGCCCATCTTTAAACACACAGCCAAGATAGTAATGCTGCTATTTGTGATAAAATGAATGCTGGACATCAAGTCACTCTAAGTCTTACTTAAAAATTATGTTCCTCTAAGTTGTGTTTTTTTTCGTTCAAGAAAAAAAGAAACTATAGTAAAGTTGAAAACAATATTTATAATTGTAGGTATTGTGAAAACAAAATCTGAATTGAAATGAAATTATTGCTCAAATGGGAATACTAGAAAAAAGCGCCTGTATATATATATTGAGATAGATATCATGGAATTATTTATCAAACTTTTATCAATGTGTGAATTAATGGGTGCATTTGAGATGCTGTACATAGACACTGAATGTTCTCTTATTTGTTCTTTGTTCCATTTTTCTATGAAAGAATCAGCAGAGATAACTATATTAAAAGATGAATCGAAGGCCACGTGCAGGAGAGACGGAGGAAGATCTTCTTCGACTTCAGGCCCAGTTTGTGAAAGAGAAACCCAAGCCATCGGTGACCATCAAGAAAGCAGATAAGCGCAAGGCATCCAGCTCTGGGTCAAACACTGGAAGCACTGGTTCCTCTACGTCTGGCCCTTCTGTTGGAGCAACTGTCACTAAAGATGTTGTCACATTACCAGGTATACTCAAACATAAGCCTAAAGATCTATTCTCTTTATTTTGATTAACTGTCTTTTTTTTCCCTTCTCTTTCTTAACTTACAATTCAATACTGTATGTCTATGGTATCTCTATAGTAAAGATTATATAAAAGTTCATTATGTCTATTCTCAGTGCAATTGTATGCTGCAATATTATTGCCCCTCTTTTAATGATTATATTCTTTTCTATTCCCCAGGGTTACCAACAAACCTTCTTGAAGCAGAACAAGCTTTGGCTTCACATCCACAGAAGAGGTCAAAGTTCAAAGCAAGACAAGATCCCAATTCATCGAGAGTGAGGAAAAAAGAACATTTTACATTCTTTAAATTTTTGTCATGCAATAATATTTGTAATCAAGAAACCGTTGTGTCAGTTTTCTATTTGAAAATTCACTTGCCCAAATGACTTGCCAAGTATCTTTGTAATGAATATTTAATGCTATAAATTTGGAAGCTTCTTTACATATCAGTTAATAAAAAATTCCCTTCTGCATTCAAGAAATTTTTGTTATTGATTGCTCTTACTTCTGAATTTCTTGAGCTAACGGTTTAAACATATATACTCTTCTGGTTTTCTATAAATCTTTTATTTGTTTAAATTAAATTTCATATGCAATTAATTTTCTATATTTATAAACAAAAGATCTGATGTGTCTTACAAGTTTTGTTTGTATCAATTTCTTTTTGTACATGAAGTCAATTAAAGTGTCTGAAATTTCAAAAAAGATGTAACAAACTCCGCTGAAAGAACTTTTATTGAAATTTCCTCCTGGACTTAGAGAAGGAATCAAATTATTCTTGTGGCAATTGGTTTTAAAAAGATGAAAGTATATACAATTGCTGAGAAGTGACTATTATTTGACTACTTAGAAGTTGATTTGAGAACATTAAGATGAAATACAATGTTGATGTATGCAACACTCTCTGCTGACAATGTGCTTTTTTCTGAAATGATTATTTAATTATAGGCTGCACCCCAAAGTCATCTACCTGGACAAAGAGTGACCTTTAACCTTGATGATGATGATGAGGATCCAGAAGCTGCTATGGATAGTAAGTAGCCAGTTAGGCAAATGTCTGTAATGCAATCGATGACGGGAAGGGGAGAATTATTTTAAGATGAAAAATGCCACAATAAATATATATGAGGTAAGCATATTGTGCTTTGCAGCTCTGTTGTATGGGGCACCAAAGTATTGCCTCTTACCATTTAAGGACATGCACAGTTGTGCTGCAGTGGCATTAAGATGTGGTGTACTGTGTCATGGCTGAATGGAGCTTAAAGATGAAGTTGAGTTCTGGTCATGCGATTGCATTGTAAAAGAAACGGTGTGGAATCGACCAGAAAAGGTTGATCATCTAGCATATAAGAATTTGTGTGTATTGCAAGGTTCTGGAATCATCAACATGATAAGAAATTTGGCCAAGTCTTGGTAAAGTTACAAACACTGTACACAGAAAGATGTATATGGGACTGCATGAACACTTAGCGTAAAAAACCGGCCCCCGAGTTTTACGAACATGACATATTTAAAATAAGAATTAGGCATTTGAAGAGCCATGCTTTTCAGGGAAAATGTCTTACCTGATGTTCTTCCACACTTGCATAATAAGAATGATAAAGTTCACAAATTATTTTTCACCTCTTCCCAGAACTCAACCTTCTCTTTAAAATCAACTGACCAGGGGTCATCCTCATAAGTCATAATTATGTCAGTTGGGACTTGGGACTAACATTTCTCTCACTGTGCAGAAAGATAATGCCTAGTGTCATGAATATTATATAATCCAGTTCATTCCTTTAAACGAAAACCAAAACATTGGACTATACACAGCTAGATGAAATTTCAACAATTAGAAGATTTACATTCTTCTTTTTCCATCTGTTTTACTGCAAAGTGCACCAAAATACCATTGTAAATAAACAATATGAAGAAGAAAAAAAGGGTTTTGATCAACATTAAACTTGATACATGTGGCACCTGCTTAGCAATTGGAGCTCATATTCAGGTTTTTTTCATCTTGTTATAGTTTGTGTGAAGAGAGAAAAATAGCCTGTTATTGTTAAGGATCATTTAAAAGTGGTGTATAGATTCTAGAAGGAAAACAACTCCTATTTTTGCACTGTAATGCATATTTTAGAGATACGTATTGGCAATGTAGATTGTTATTATATTCACTGAATTTCATTTATATTTCAGGGCAGGATACTCACATAACAGCAGTATTGTCCAAGATACGGGTAAGCCATCTGAAGCATTGTCTCATACCTTTGAACTGATTTATTTACTTAACTGTTGCTGAATGTGTATGTCATATGATCTGGAATCCTCTTAAGTGATTGAATGCAAATATTTGTGCAGTTCCAGCATTTTTATGAATGATAGCATAGGAAGGAAAGAAAGAAGAATTTCCATAAAATTGACGCTTCCTTAACTTCAAATTGTGTTTATAATTTCAATCAATAAAAATAGTGAGGAAATTAAAGTTCAGGAAGTAATCTTACCTATGTTTCTATCTGGTGTGTCATTTATTGTGAAGTAAAATAAATTAATAAGTGAAGAATCTCTAGATGAAATTTCGAACCCTCTAAGTAATACAGGCAGTTTAATATTTTGATATTAAACTGCCTGTACTATTATCAAAATTTTAAATAGATTTAAATCTGTATGTTTGTTATTGAAGAAAAAATTGTATCAAGATGAAAAATAAATAGTAATCATTATTCCAAACCTGTCCTATGAAGTCATACTTGTGATACATGTTTTTAAAGTATTGTATTGTTATGGTGTAATTATATTCATTCCTATCTTCCTCAGGAACAAGATATCAGACAGAAACCAGCCTTCCTCCCACAGCCAACAAATAAAGCATTCCCAACTGCTCTTCATCGATCACAAGCACCAAAGCAGGTAATGTGTACTTATTACTACTTTGAATCTAGTCCCTGTTTCATAAAACTTGTTATCAATTACAACTTCCACAGATCTTTGACAAATCTGCTCACAGCCAATCAAATACAAGGATTTCAGTAGCTTATAACAATTATCATATATGACAAAGGGCCCTGATCTGCTGATTCTCATATTAGAAATTAAATCATATTGACACCTTGACCCATATTGACCCATACAGTGTTTCAGTAATTTCTCATAACACGCTATGATAAATAGTTAATGGCTTTCATGTTTGATGATATAGGTTTAATGCTAATGGGTTTTTATATGTGATATTTGTTTTCAGGCAAGTGGATTAAAGACAGGGAAGAAGCGCAGTCTCTTTGCTCAACAATTTGACTCTACACCTGCTGTTGACTTTGGTGTCACATTGGGACCTCCTCCGAAGGTTGTGACTGATGAACAACATTGTGATGCAGATGTTGCCATGGAAACAAATGGTAAATATGCTTTGCTAAGCAATAATAATAATAATAATATTCCGCATTTACAAATGTGTTACAGATATACATATATTTTGTTACCCCGGCCATCGGATTCGGGCTTGCCCCCACACAATGTATGCACATTTTCGACTCCCTATGGAGCCATTTACAGATCCTGCTGGGTACCCATTTAACTTCAGGGTGGAGAGTGGCAAATGCAGATTAACGTCTTGCCAAATGACATTATTGCAGGGCTGGGATTCGATCCTTGTACCTTGTGATCTACAGTCTGATGACTTATCTAGGTGATGTTTATCAAAATATTTAAGACTAGCCAAAGTAATATGATGTTCCTGGGTTTTATAATATTTCAATATCATAGCATATATTTGATAGCTCATTTCAATCCTGATCCGTTGTCAACTGATGCATCAGTACCAAAACATATCAGCAGTTCATCATACTTATAAAAGTGGGTTCTTGTATAGAACCTGGGCCAAGTGTCCAAATGTAGATTGACGTTTTACCAAAGGACATCAGTGCCATGGCGTTACTCAAAAAGCAAACCATGTGATTCACAGTCCGGTGACTTATCCACTAGACCCTAATACAGTACACGCCGAAAATCTCCGCAACACGATTTACACGATTCGACTGCTCGCGGGAATCGTGTAACCATTTATTTTTACACGATTCGTTTTTTGCCAATGAAGCGAAATTTGAATCGTGTAAACGTGTAATCGTGTAAAATTACACGATTCCTCGATTCAGGTCGAATCGTGTAATCGTGTAATCTGCCCGCCGAAAATCTCCGCAACACGATTACACGATTCAAAATTTACACGATTCGATTGCTCGCTGGAATTGTGTTACAATTTATTTTCAGTGGTGATGGTGAGCAGGTTAAGGACGTCTAGTTCAGTAAAAGCAAGAAGTTACTTCTTGGTTGAACGAGGACAACGTGGACGATACGAGGGGATAGCGAAGATTACGCTTTCTTTCTCTTGTATATATTTTTAATTGCAGTGTCTTGTCTCTAGTTTTATTATAGAATGTTTGAAAGTTAAAAAAAACAGTCCAATTCCCGTTAAGCACTCTCGGATTTAATCCTCGGTGAGAAAAAAGAAAAAAGCGATGAACGACGAAGGAAGGGGGGAATTTTGTTATTCCTAAGTTGTAAATAAGTAAAAATGATTACAAAATGTAAAGGAGGGCTAACATAATTAAGTATGTTGTGATACTCTTACATTACAAGGCTGTACCAATTAGAATTACGGTTCACCAGCTCATTCGTTACTATGAATATCGTTATACTTTTTTTTATTCAATCATTATCCATTTTACAAACCTGGTTTGTAAAAACGCGTCATATGACGCACGAAAACCAAGGTTTGTCGACAAACCTCCTTTGTGAATTCGGGCCTTAGACTTTGATCACTTATTGCTTTTTTAGCGTTCCTTATTTTCGTAAATTACCTTTTACAACATTGCATTATTCAGCTATATGTATAAAGAGCTATGGTCAAGGCTTAAGGGCACACTTCCTGTCACATACAAAAGAAGCTTACTCTGAATGTGGCCTGCCATTGACCCTCGCCGGGGACAAAGGCCGTTGCCCTAGCTACAGGCAGAGATCCTTACATAATACCTATTGTTCAGGGGGTTCCCCTTGAACATAGGATCTCCCTGAACAATAGGTATTACATGTATGTAAGTATGTAAGCCACTGGCTACAGAGTGTAAGGAACACACTATGAACATGACAGACAATGAAAGCGGACAAAATATACAGTTCCTCAGGTAAACAAAGGGACATCCCTTCACTGCTATTATGTAAAATTGTGTAGAACAGGTGTCACATGCATATTCACCTGTTCTACACATTTTCACATAATAGCAGTGAAGGGATGTTCCTTTGTCTACCTGAGGAACTGTATATTTTGTCCGCTTTCATTGTCTGTCATGTTCATAGTGACAGTTGCAAGCCGAGAATGAATAGAATAAGTGAATGGCCAACTGTCTTTGAGTTACGTTTAGCTAGCGGCACAGTGTCCCCCCCCCCCCCCCCCCACTTTTTCAAGTTCCCCCAAAGTGCCCCTTTGTATGTAGGAAAAGTACCTATTTTACTTTGACAAGTGTCCCTATTAATTTGTAAGTGCCCCTTCCCCTTTTCAACTCTGATAAGAGCTCCTTTTCTTTTGACACACACCCCTTTTCCTTCGACGAGTTCCTATTTTCCTTTACAATAAGTGTCCATTTTCCATTCTCATTAGTGTCCTTTTAATCTCTAGTAAGTATCCCTCTTTAAGTACGAGAAGTACCCCTCTTCACTTTTGATAAATGCCCCCATCAACTCCGATAAATGCCCCTATTAAAATCTGATCGGTGCCCCTTTTCTTTCAACTAAAGCTTTTTTTATCTCTCTCTCTCTCTCTCACTCTCTCTCTTTCTTTCAATATCTTTCCATTCCCCCATATCTTTCTCGCCTCTCTTTCCCTCATTATGTTCCCCTCTTACCTTATTAATTTGTCTCTTTTCCTCTCCGTTTCATAGCCTTCTCATTTCTGTTAATTTTACTAGGTTTCGCCCTTCTTTTTTTTATCACTCTATTTCACTCTTTCTTTTCTTCCGGTCAACTTTTTAGTTTTCCCTTTTTTCTCTCTTTTTTTCTGTTTATCTTTATCGTGCCTTTCAACCCTCATTTTCCTTTTATATGTTCCCTTCTCCTCGTAGCTATCTTTTTTCCTTTACTATTTCATCTATCATGTCTTCCTGTTTCTCACGGATTAGTATACGATACATGTTAGTGGAAAGTGCTGAGGTTTATACACGAATATAAAGTACAGTAATTAACTGATGTACACTGAAGGTAAGTTGTGTATAAAGCAATTGGTGTCAGCAGGATAAGATTTAACGATTGTTGCAGCTTGTCGCATCGTTCTACCAATGCCCTTATAACCCTAATAACTATTTACACGATTACACGATTCAGAGCGACATTCTTCAATCGTGTAAATTTACACGATTACACAGTTACACGATTGTTACATCTGGTCGAATCATCCGACCAATGCACTTAACTATTTACACGATTACACGATTCAGAGCGACATTCTTCAATCATGTAAATTTACACGATTACACAGTTACACGATTCAGGTGAATCGTGTAAACCGTGTAATCCTAAAAATAAATCGTGTAATCGTGTTGCGGAGATTTTCGGCGTGTACTGTACCTCATGGCACCTCATAGCAAGAAAGAAAGGTGAAAGTTAAGCTGAATGTACCATGAAATGTCATTATATTGCTATCATTATAGTATTATGAAACTCGTTGGTAAATGCTTAGAATGCAAGTAGATGCAATGGAAATGATTAGTTATGCCTTAACTTTTGTCATGTTATTTAAAAGGTACATTTTCATTTACATATTTCAGATTCATCGTTGCCATCACAATCAAACGTAAAACCGATATCTGGAACAGTACCATCATCATCATCTTCATCAGTGTCATATAGTGGTATATTGAAAGATAGTGGTCAGATGAATGAGGGCGTTCCTAATGAAGCTGCCATGCAAACCACACAGGACATTCAGACTGAAAACCAATCCAAGATGGCTGCCATGTCAGAGGAAGAGATTCTCCTGGAGCAAGCTAAACTAAAAGCAATGTTAGGTAAAGAAAATGGGAGGGAATGGTTGAATCGGGTCCCAATTGTTTTATATTTAACTTTAGTATGAAAGAGATAGAAGTTACAATGTGAGAGTGACAGAGACAAAATTCCAACTGTGCACTTTATAGTTAAAAAGAAATTATTTGTCATATCTGTAAGATCTGATGATTTCTAAAAACAAAAAGAGAAAAGTTTGTGTATGTATTCTTCGTTATATAGCTGGAAATATCTAAATTTATTAGAAAATCATTCATCAGTTCGAAAATAATATGGTACATGCATTAAGGAATTTTTAATCTACATGTATGATGATTGTATTTTATACAGATCCTAGTTTAGTAGCCTTCCTTCAAGCAAGAAAAAAAGGCACTGTTCAAAATAAAAATGGCAGTAATCAAGAATCTCCACCAATGAGCGAACCTGTCTCTGTCATATCTCCGTCAACACAGGTAAATATCAGTACTCTGTTTTTACTTTGATAAGTTGCCTTTCTATGAGGGGCAAGTGTTTTCAGAATAGACAGGATTACTGCAAATCATCCTAATGTTGAATTTTCTGTTGGTCATTTTCAAATTCACCCCATACATTGTCTTCTTAGAAGACTTTTTTTGAAGTTATGTAATCAAGTTCATATTTTATATCATTTTGACTTGGGTGATTGATATCTTATATATTAAAGGAAATTAGTATAATAACTTTATCAGTAAGTTTATTTCATAAATTACAGAAGTGGCATAGTTATGAGAAGACAATATGAGAGAGAAAGAAAGGGAGAGGGGAAAAAAGAACATAGAACAAGATGACGGAATGTCTTCCTGTATTAGGTTGCCTTGGGAATTTACATTTCATCCATCATTATGACTGGTGCACCATCCCCTTAACCTCGCCCCACTCTGATGCCTGTGCCCGCTCAATGACCCACTAATTTGTGATTAATTCTTGTATCTTTTACAATGTAGCGTGTGCCTGACAATGAAGCTGGTGAACAGATGGATACAGGAATGAAAGAAGGTGACGTAGCAGATTCTTTAGAAGACAAAGATATTTCAGATAGAAAAGCTGATGAAATCACTTCTACTACAGAAGATAAAAATGGAAAAGGTTAGTGGAAAGTAACTCTTATCTATGATTTGTTTGTTGTTGGATTGATTCTTCTGAAGTACACATCCTTGAAATGCAGTAGCGACATAAATTGTTCTTGTTTCTCTGAAGTTGCATAGGAAGGATATTTGCAAGATAGTCTAGTCATGGATTAGTTTATGGATGTTGTGACAATAAATTGCTTAATTCCCTTACAATGTAGTGATATCTACATCACCATGCAAGCCGACACTTACAAGCAGAATGTAGTGATAGTTTTGATAGTTAATGGCTTATCAACAAATCACATCTCAGATGGAATAGTTTTTAGAACGTACAAGTTGTGAAAGAAATCATCCTTATTCATCATTTACAGTACCAGTAGATGTGAAGAGTGAATGGCTGAATATGAAGAAGAGAGAAGATGATAAACTGCAATGGATGGATGATTTGCCCAAGCCATCTGCCAAGTCTCAGACCGGGTCTCAGGCTAGATTTGATTTCAATGGTCAGCTGGTGGCTCGAGATGCTCTTGTATCGGTCAGGGAAGGACTCTTTCATCATGGAGCAGAACAAGAGGTAACTTGGAATTATATTGACATATTTAGGTGTTGAAATGTTGAGATGGTTGGCAAAATCACTCGGGGAACATTTTTTCAATTTGCTGCAATTGTTTACTTGTCATTTTCTGTTCAATGTTTCTTTCACTTTCTTGTCTTTTTTTGCTGCCCTCCCATAAATTTTTATACTGCTTTTGTTATGATATTTGATAATTTAAAAAAAAAAAAAAAAGCAACAATGGTACTAGTTTAGTTTTCTTTATCTTTTAATGTGTTATCAATTTATTTTTATGCCATGCACATTTTACTCTGTAAATTTAACAATGTCAGCTATCAGCTGCATGCTCAATGACTTTTGTCTCAATAAACCAATAAATACAATACAACACAACAGTAAAAGAATGGTTTTTTTCTTGTCCTTATAATAAAGACGTCTGTACTTTCTTTGTAGGTACCTGGATATACACTAGAGGAGTTATTTACACTGTCTCGGAGTGCAGTCATACAGCAGAGAGTACTAGCACTACAAACACTTGCAAGACTCATCTACAATGTAAGTTTGAATTGAGATTGGATTTAATAACTGAAAGTAGTTGCTTTAATGGAACTTGAGATTCATTCATTACAAAACTAAGCATGTCACAGATCATCAGTGGATGATATGATGATAATATATGAGTAAGTTATGTGTGGATTCAGCTTTCTTGATTATCCTGTATTATACTTTGACAAGTGAAAGGAAAAGGCTATTCCTTCTCACTTAGTCAATTAATCACTGCAATGGTTCTTCACTTTCAAACTTTGCATTACAGAATAGACTATCTTGTGCTTAGTACTTACATACCAATATTTTATTTTCCTGTGATATTAATGTATTATGATTAATTTTTGTATCCATTTTATCTATTCTGATTTTAAACAAATCTGCAAATTGGCCATCTGACCGTGAATGATTTCTTATCAATAACCTTTTTGAAATTTAAATAAGTTAAATCAAATTAAATACAATTAGTCCTTTGATCTTTAGACTCTTGAAGTTGGGATATTTATTAGATGATAGGATTAATGATCATTCTGATTTTCATACATTAAGGAGCAGAAAGCCTTGTACATTTTGTTTCTTTATATCCTTTGATAGCTAATTGTCCTTCACTTTTCATGTTATACAGTACAGAGCAGACTGTCTTGGTGGTCAGTTAAGAAGTCCTCTGATCTCCAGACTCCTGAAAGCTGGTGTTCTATTCCTCTTGAGATGGTCCTTAGATGATACTAATGAAGGAGTTCACTCTGCAGGGGTTGAGGCTCTAGCAGCTCTTCTTGTCCAACCTGGTGATGAGGTAGGTAATAAAAGAATCCCTTCTGATGAGGTAGGCAGTACTATTCCTGGTTATGAGGTTGTGTGTCCAGGATGCATTGCAAAGTAACAATTCATGATACAATCAATATGAACTTCTGAAATATCAGCATGTTAGGCACAAGTATCTGTGTAAACATTTTTCATAGTTTTGCATCACAGTCAGAAAGTTGGGATTGTCTTTGAGCATAAGATAAATTCATTAAAGAAGTATTCTACAATGATTCATACAGGCCCAAATTTGTTTTTGATGCGCATTTCTTTGGAATTTTGTAACAAATCTAAATATTTCATAAATTTGATGAATGGCTGATAGGAAACCAAAATATTATGAGAGTACCTCATATAAGTTAATAAATCATTAATTTATATGGTTTTATTAAGATGTCTTTTATATTCTTTATTAAAAATTGAAAATTCTCTAGAAAAGTAATTCTGCAATGCTTGGAATTGACCGAATATTACAGTTTTACATGCATGTGACATTTTATTAGTTGACAAGACCAGTAATACATAGAAAGAAATTTTAAGACCAAAGTTCTTTTCAGAAAGATATTTTATGAATTTAATTTTTTTCAGCGGATTATCTCATGACTATCTCTATGAAATGTTTTTTCATTAAAGCATTTTCTCATCTCTCATTGTCTGAGCTGTAGTTTAGTCAAGATTGTATCAATTTCTTGGGAGCAGGCTGATAATTTCCACTCCAAATGTTATTATGTTTATGATCTAACGCAATCACTCATGGCGGGAATTAACTTATTTCATTGTAGGAGGCCCTAGATAAAACCTTCACATGGCACCTAGGATGCAGTGTACCTCCCATGCTACCAAGGAAAGATGCTCAAGGTGATGAAGATGAGGATGAAGATGATGATCTCGATGATGATGATGAGGAGGAGGAGGAGGAGGAAGAACAAAAACAGACCAAGCCAGATGAACATATTGCAAGTCAAGATGTCATCAAGGTAATACAGTGACAATTCTTGTCTTTAAATGTAAAATTTGGCTTCTAACACAGGTTCTTAAAAGCAGTTTATTTAATTTATTTTCAATTGAGATAAATTCACTTTTAATTCTTATTAGCTTAAATTTCTTTGCAATGTAAATTCTTGTCATTTAGAGACTATCAGAACTTGTTTTGAAATATGTTACACATAACATGAATAGATAACGAAACCATAACAAATCTGCTTCTTTTGATTTTTGTTGTATAGTACTTGTGAGCAATAGTCATAATAGTCAAAGTACTGTAACAATTTCATTAGTGTTTCATTAGTGGATATCACCTGCAACTTTTGCTGTGTACTCTTCAAGAAATCGACAGAGAAACTGCAGCATTTGGACACTAAAAATGCAAAGTACAAAGTAATTAAAGTAATAACTTTGAGTGCCAGAGTACAAAACTGAATTTCCAAATGGACCAATAAAATCAATCTGAATCTCAATTGATGACATGCACTGTCTGCTACTCTACTCCATTGATTCTCATTGTAGGGTCTTTTGAAGATGTCTGTGTTACCCCGTCTGCGTTACATCCTAGAGGTGGTCAGGCCAACACCACCGGTCATCTTAAACATTCTAGCTTTCCTCATCAGAATGGCAAGACACTCCGCTGAAGCAGCCCTGGAAGTCATGAAGTGCCCTCGTCTGATGGACACCATTATCAGAGAATTCTTGCCAACGAGTTCATGGCAGAAACAAGGTCAGTTGGGGCTGTGTTGTAAATCTATTTCTAATATTAAAAATATATTTTTGTAAGGCTCCATACCTCCCTTTTGAAATAACAATTTTAATGATTACAAAATGTAGGAATTTTGGAATCATATTTTAAGGAATGGGTGGCAAAACATTGTTCTTATCACATATTTATTTTGACCTCTAGTTTTGCTTTTTGTTGCAGATGATCCAGTTTCAGATTTATATGGGCACCCTACTACTCTTGCCATGAAACTAGTGAGAGTGTTGTGTCTCAGTGGTAGACACATCGCTGCAACGCTGGTGAGTATGATTGCTTGTATATCAGCGAATTTTAGAATGTGTTTGTGATGTATTAAATGTATTGGTTATCAGACACAGGTGAAATTTATTGAATCACTGAAAGATAAAGAGATTGTTTTTTCTTCACTTTTCACTGAAGAAATACAAACAAGAAAGATGAATTAAAGAAAATAAGATTATTTTTGTTGAGTAGTATCAAGTACCAAACACTTTTTCTCGGTAGCTTCTTACTTTAAGGTATACACTCTTCTGTTTCTTCATCACTATCTCTTCCTGTTCAGCTTCTTGACATGTCAGGCTTCCAAAAATTATCAATTGATTATTTTTCTTTGACCTTTCGTATTTCTATTGATCTTTCTTGTTTTTTTGTTTTTTGGTGGGGGATCTCCTTTCCTATCTATATGACTTTATATTTTGTAGACTACGTTTCATAAAAGATAAATTTTCATTTTCATCCCAAACTCTTGATGATCTAGCTATCCAAGTATCCATTGTTGACAATCATCATCCGATACTTCTCCATGGAGCCTACTGATATGAATCTCAACGTAGGAGAAGCGTTTCATCTCAGTATCGAGAGCTTGAAAACATGGTCAGCTTGCGTTAGATACGGGCTCGGCTGTGATGCTTACAGGTGGGTTAGGGGAGCAAATTATCTCAGAATTATCTCATTTGTTTCACTTGTCTATGCCTGATAGAGATTCCTGTTATAAAGGAGCACTTTAACCAGTTAAATATGATTTTGTTTGGTATAACACATGCTTTCCATGACATGATACAAATTATCTAAGATTAATATTAAACAGAGAAATTATCGAAATTGATTTTGATTATTATAACAAAAAGAGTATTTTACATTGAAAAGAATAGATAGCAAAGAAATAATAAATATTCTCTTACCTCCATAGAGAGTTGTATCCTCTACTGATGCAACAGCTCCAGATCTTCCAAAGGCTGTCAGTCCTCCCTCTGCCATCCACTGTCGAGAAGACTACCTGTTTGGTACATAGGCTACAGCTGATCAGAGCAACTGCATTGATCTCTCTGCTGGAGGGAGTAGTGCAGGTTGCAGGAACAGCAGCAGAGCTTCAGGGAAAGTTTGCAATGAGGTGATTCATTTTAATCTAGAATGAGTTCATTTTAATCACCATTCCTAAGTGAATATATAAAGAGAAGATAAGTGATGATTATGTTATATTCATAAGGAAACTCAATTTCAGTGTAGACTTAACTTAATAGTATACAAGAGAAAAAACAGACTTTAAAGAAAATTCATGATCTTTTCTATGAAGTGTCTCACCACGGATGCAAAACTGTCTATATTTCAAGGAACATTTCGTCAAAATGACATACCACTGTAGGAAGCATCTGGACTGTCTTTAAAACTACAGTATGAACAGGTCCTTTACCTACCCATTGTATTCTGTTGAGAGTCATTTGTATTAAGCGCTATATAAAAATTAAATATTATTATTATTATTATTATTATCATCAGAAGGGCATTAACTTATATGCATTAATGCAGAGTTAATGCCCATCTGACTCTGAACTGATATCATAATATTAGAATGCAACCTCCACACATATATATGTATAAGATGTGCAATCATAAAACCCTCTACATATGCATTTCAACGGTTGAGGACCATAAATACAATGTTGAATCATTATGTAACATACATCCTTCTTACTCTGAACAGCATTTAAATTTCCACAGTTCATAAGTTAGAAAACAGTATTTCTTTGATAAATCTATTCATGTGAATTACAGAAATGATGCTACAAACAAAGAGGCCCCTAGAGAAGCGATCAGCCCACCTCCCATTGATTGGAGTCATGTGACTGGTTTGGCCACACCCCTAGAGACGTGTACTCATCGCTGGTTGGTTGAGATGACTGGATGTACTGAGGTGCTATCACCCGAAGCAAGCTCATTGGCTGGCAGTGCTATGGACTTCTTAGCTACCTTCTATTCAAACTACACACTTCAGGTATGCAATCCTATTCATCCTTCTTGCATGACTTGCTAATTGGATTATATGGCTCAGTGGAAGAGCTGTGTTCTCGTAACCGGGAGGTCCCAGGTTTTAAACCAAGTGAGTGCGCTCGTGCCCTGTCAGGTAAAACAGTCATCCCCAAACAAGCCCTCTTTATCGTCTGATTAGAGCCAAAAGGGCATTTGAGTTAATGCCTTTTTGTCTCCAACAGACTATGTTTGTAACCTTATTGAAACTAAGCATTCATTTTTGTCTGAGCAAGCAATTCTAGCGAAATGGAACCTCAATATACTACTTCTAGAACTAACTTTTTATGAAAACTTCATTCCTCTCAAAATGATTTTACTCTCTGTGTATATGTTCTTTCAGGCATCTTATAATCCAGTGAACTCATTGAATCAGGTTGAAACCTTTGTTGATGGTGTGCTGCTTCCGTACATGAAGTCATCCTCTTTCTACTCCGCAGTTCATAATCTACAGTAAGTTTATGTAGCAATGTAGCTATCAATTTTCAGCTGTCATGAAAATAATTCAGATTCACTGATGTGGTCAAACTTATGAAGCAGTAGTCAAAGCAAGAAGAGATATTGCCTTACATTGTGATTTAAACCAAATCATACTCATTATGTTAGTCGAGCATTTAAACAAAATTAATGTTGATGCAGAGCAAACATTTGGTCCATTTATAATGAAGAGATTGGAGGTACTATTTATGTTACAGATCTGTAAAATATATAGTGTACCTATGGGGCAAGACAGGTTCTTGGGACATGGAATGTTGTAATAGGTTGTTGAATATCGACCTGTTCAGAGGAACTCCCTTGACAACTTCCAGGTGGACTACCTCAAAAATATGCTGCTGACAAAAAATGACGGCCATTTTTTCAAAGTGAAGATGCAGCATTGATTTCAACTGTGCAGAGGCGGATGCAGTGATGGATTTTGTGTAAACCCATTTCACCGTGCAGCAAGGTATAGTGTAATTCCGTCAAGACCGCTAGCTTCCTTGGCACCTGCATTGTAAGTCTGTTAAAGGAGCATGTCACGAGAAACACAATTGTGCTTGCCATCTGCTCTTCTTCCAACAAATGCACCATAAGTGCTTCATGTACATCAGGGGTTGTTTCAGGAAGTTTCTTCATCTCATCCAGATACAGAGGCAGAGACTGCTGCCCATATTTGTAATGCCCTGCTGCTGTGAGGTAAGGTAGCATTCGATATGATTCACAGAGGTGTCCTACCCAGTCAGCTTTTCGCTGGTAGTCGATAAATCTATGGAGAACATTTGACATATGGAGGAATGTGGACCAGAAGATTGCCTTTGGTTGCTCAACCATTGATTCTTGGAAAAGCATCGTCTGTTCCCGCAGGGCTGATTACTGTTCATGGGAATTCTGAAGCATTTTGCAATTTTTTGATCTTACAAACTGCTTTCAAGTAGTTGTGAGCTTGATGAAAGCCACCCAGCAGTAAGACCGCATTGCCGAACTATGATGCTTGTCTCTGATATCTACGGCGAGCTCATATGTAGCCTGATCTCCAGTCATAATTGTATATTTGTCGCCAAGTGCAAGTGATGTCCTGACAAGTTGCATCATCCTTTCCTTTAGTACAGCAGGGTCGGTTGGAGAGGATGGGATCAGAGGAAGATAGCCAATGATGGTCGCCTGTCTATATGGGTGGAGGTCAGCACAGAATGCAGAAATGCCCGGAAGTCCTGCATCTAAATCTGTAGAAGCATCCAACAGTTGCCATGGTGTGATCATTCTACTTAGGCACCACATAAGCAAAACATCCTGAGTCATTAGACTCTCCAGTTTCTCTATGCACCGAAGTGACCTAGGTGTCTGCCTGTCTCTAGCTGAGATATGGCATGTAGATGGAGGTGGGTTTTCAACATCAAAGAGAGTTTTTTTTTATGTCTGACATGGAAGTGTGCAGTCAAGTACATTCTTGGGCCCTCACCAACTCTGGTTTTCAATGATGATTGCAGTAGTAGCATTGAAACTCCCACCTTCAAGTGTTTTCTTCTTCCAGTCTAGATTGTCCATGGCAAACACATGGGGAATTTCGCCACTTCTTGCCATGGTCTCTGGGACGTAAACACCACCAGTTTCAACCTGTTGCATGGCCTTCAAACTGTGCTGTGTGTTTCTGATGAAGACGTTTGTAGCTGATCCCCATGCTAGTTCGGTTGTTCAGCACTACTCGTGATTTGCTTCGTGTCTGATTCAATATGTAGGACGCAATGGCAGTTCCTAAAGGTGTGGGTATGCCAAATACATACTGTAGGACATACTGTGACATGATGATAGCTTTTTCTGCTGTTACCTGGTCTACATGAACTCTTTCACCTCTTCACTCAATTCTGGTGCATGGTCATTAAACAGCATTGCTGAGAAGTTGAAGAGTGATTCTGGAACCATATTGTACGCAGATGTGAAGGAAATCTCAGTTGAATTAAATCCACTTTTCACAATCTGCACTAAGAATCTTTGATGCTTGCAGGAGTGTGTGGTGTTTTTTCTTTAAATCATCTCCTTCTAGGCACCTCAGTTTATCCAGTGCGTCACCAAGTGGTACTGTGGAATCACATATAAATCCTTAACCTTTTTGTTTGATCGAAGACTGTAATATGTGACCCATAGTGTTCCTGTAACTTCTGTTTCAAGACAGTTGCCCAAAATTGATCTCATGTATCGACACCAAGCTCCTCAAGAATGTCTCGGTACCTATCACAGAGTGATTCTACGAGGAATCCAGACAGATCATGAAAAAGAGGAGCTTCCAGCTTATCTACTAGTCGGCCGAATGCAAAATCATAATGGTTTGACTTTGAGCAACCAGAACGAAGGCTAAGGCCCTTAAATTTGCTCATACATGATGAATGATAGGTTATATCATTGGCCATCATATCATGTCACCGCCTCTCCGTGATATGTCATCTCTGCCGAGCTTCCTTGCCCTCTCCTCAATTAACATTAGACTGTTCTTTGTTGATACCTTATGCACTGGCTCCTTTCCCTTTAGCCACTTATTGCAAATTACACATGTCTTCTTTGCTTCAAAACTCTCAGTGTTCTGACGGGTTAACTTCACAGGTTGCTTCGACTGTGAGGAGCTGCATCCTGCATGATACTCACCTACTGTACAACTCAGTTTATCATCAAGACGTTTCTTTTCAGCACATTGGTAGCTTTTCTCATGCATGATGAAAAAATTGCCGCCATTTTTTCCATCAAAATATTATCAAGGTAGTACACCTTAGGTAGTGTGCAAGCATTTGGGATGAACATGCGAACAGTTGAGACAGTTGTTCTTTTTTTAAAAATCTATAATTGAGTGCAGTATGATCTTTGTTAGCTGTTGCAGTAGGTTTCATCATTTATGCTACAGTGTATCATTCCAAGTAACAGCAATTGAATGGTGTAAGAATGTTAATGTCATTGACATGATCAAGGCAGAAAATCAGGTAATGAGCCAGTATGAAAAAATCTATCACCTAGTGTTTTTACTCATACATCTCATTCAGAGTGCACTCATCACTGACATACCGACCTACAAACCACAAGAGATACTCAACGCGTGCACTCCCAAGCTTCTCCTGCCATAGCGACGATTCCAGCGATGAAACGCTCCCTTGTGTCCGTAAGACATCAACGTTGGGCTATGGTGCTGCCCTCTTTAGGCTGACGTACCAGATGATCAAGATACACAAAGGCGTTGCACCCAGATTTGAACCCATCGTACTGAGTTGCTATGTCCTGCCGTACTTGGAGAACTTCTGTGCAGATGGTGCGTGTGGTAGCGTGGGCCTTGCTGAACATTTTGCAGTACATGAGCATACGGCTGTGTACTTCCTCATCAAGATATTCCAGTGTGTGGTAAGTGTTTAACATGCAGTCTATTTATATCTTCTTGCAATAATTATTTCATTAATGATCATGCTGGTACATTTATAAAACAGTTTGTCAATATTATTTGACTTGATTAAATCTGTCGGTAGGTCCCACTCTTAAAGGGACCTTAGTTTGTAGGTTAATAATAAGAACCAAGGGCACAGAAAATACGATGTTGATTGAGAAAAAAAGGGGGGGATGGAACAGAGAGAAACAGCATATTGAATACATGGATCCGTTCATTGGGTTGACTTGTAACAGCAGTAGCTGCACCTTATAAATAACCAGGGATAGATGTTGTTGGAAAGCCTTCATTGCCAATAACTGGAACAGACAAGGCACCTACCAAGCAAGCGATACCATGGGATCATTGTAAACAAAGAATTAATCTGTCATTTTAACGTGCCATTACTTTGCTATCGTCCTGCCTTGCTCACTATTCATAAGATTCATTTGGTATCATTTCACAGGTCCAGCAAGTAGATTCCTGTAAGCATCACAGTCAGTTGTACCACAGTGCTGCTATGAAGCTACTAGCTAGACTTCAGCCCGGTTATGAACACTATGCACATGATCTCTTATCAATGATTCTCTTCAGTACAGAGTTCCTTGCGTAAGTCAATCCATTATTAACATTACCTTTGTCGGTGTATTTGCCACTCCCTGACTTGTGCTCATCATTCCAGAAATTTCAAAGTAGATAATTTACACTAGCATTAATCAGGACCATTTTTATGTTCAGTATTCTTTTAAAAGCAATTCAAATATTGTTGTGTGTTGGGACCATGAAGTTTTTCCTTTTACCAATATATAATTAACTGATATGTGTAGAAGTTTGTGAACATGATCACAATTTAATAGTGTACTATTGGAGCCTTTACCTAATTAAACATTCTGACATTATATATAGATTTTATTCTCAATTATATTGTCTTCATTGATTGATTGTGGTGATTTCTTGTTTATATAGAGAGGGAAATGTAGGAGATCCCATGGCTTCTGATCTGGCTGAATTCCTGACATTCTCGGACAAGGAGCCGACCCGCAAGGAGCGTGATATGAGTAAAGGAGAGCTCCTGCAGGAGGCCTATCAGAGATTAGCTAGTATTAGAAACCTCTACATGGTCTACTTTGGCAAGGAGCAGCCATCCTTGGCTAGATCAAGGTAAGATTACTACATGACTTGTGAATACATTTTCGTTAATCTACAAATTTATTGGCCCTTGTATGAGGTAATGTGGAAGCTATAGAACCCCTGTCAATATTACTTTTAAATCGTATTATGAGAAATGTATATTCTTGAATCTATTAACCCATTTTGATGATGCTTTTCCCCTCTCCCTCTCATAAGATTATTACATGACTGCTGAATTCAATTCCTTTAATCTCCAAATTTAACGGCCCTTGCATGAAGTAATGTGGAAGCTATAGAAAACCTGTCGATATTACTATGTAATTGTAATATAAGAAATGTATATTCTTAAACTATAAAATAAAGTTTCATGATGCTTTCCACCTCTTCCCCTCATAGTTCCCCTTTTACCAATAGACTGTCTTATCTTATCTGTAGTTCTACAAGTAGAACCCATGAATTGACAAGTCTAAGTCTACCAACCCTTGTTTGTCCTTACTACCAACAGACTGGTCCTTCTTACCTCTAGTTCTTTACACCATGAAGTGACTAGTCTAAGTCTACCAACCCTTGTTTGTCCTTACTACCAACAGACTGGTCCTTCTTACCTCTAGTTCTTTACACCATGAAGTGACTAGTCTAAGTCTACCAACCCTTGTTTGTCTTTACTACCAACATACTGGTCCTTCTTACCTCTAGTTCTTTACACCATGAAGTGACTAGTCTAAGTCTACCAACCCTTGTTTGTCCTTACTACCAACAGACTGGTCCTTCTTACCTCTAGTTCTTTACACCATGAAGTGACTAGTCTAAGTCTACCAACCCTTGTTTGTCCTTACTACCAACAGACTGGTCCTTCTTACCTCTAGTTCTTTACACCATGAAGTGACTAGTCTAAGTCTACCAACCCTTGTTTGTCCTTACTACCAACAGACTGGTCCTTCTTACCTCTAGTTCTTTACACCATGAAGTGACTAGTCTAAGTCTACCAACCCTTGTTTGTCTTTACTACCAACATACTGGTCCTTCTTACCTCTAGTTCTTTACACCATGAAGTGACTAGTCTAAGTCTACCAACCCTTGTTTGTCCTTACTACCAACAGACTGGTCCTTCTTACCTCTAGTTCTTTACACCATGAAGTGACTAGTCTAAGTCTACCAACCCTTGTTTGTCCTTACTACCAACAGACTGGTCCTTCTTACCTCTAGTTCTTTACACCATGAAGTGACTAGTCTAAGTCTACCAACCCTTGTTTGTCCTTACTACCAACAGACTGGTCCTTCTTACCTCTAGTTCTTTACACCATGAAGTGACTAGTCTAAGTCTACCAACCCTTGTTTGTCCTTACTACCAACAGACTGGTCCTTCTTACCTCTAGTTCTTTACACCATGAAGTGACTAGTCTAAGTCTACCAACCCTTGTTTGTCCTTACTACCAACAGACTGGTCCTTCTTACCTCTAGTTCTTTACACCATGAAGTGACTAGTCTAAGTCTACCAACCCTTGTTTGTCTTTACTACCAACATACTGGTCCTTCTTACCTCTAGTTCTTTACACCATGAAGTGACTAGTCTAAGTCTACCAACCCTTGTTTGTCCTTACTACCAACAGACTGGTCCTTCTTACCTCTAGTTCTTTACACCATGAAGTGACTAGTCTAAGTCTACCAACCCTTGTTTGTCTTTACTACCAACATACTGGTCCTTCTTACCTCTAGTTCTTTACACCATGAAGTGACTAGTCTAAGTCTACCAACCCTTGTTTGTCTTTACTACCAACATACTGGTCCTTCTTACCTCTAGTTCTTTATCTTGTGTAGGGCTAGGTGTACAGGTAGACACCATGAAGTGACCAGTCTCAATCTACCTCCATTCCTGGGACCTGTCCTTCCAATCGACTGGCCTTTCTTACCTCTGGTTCAGATCTTCTCAGAAGCCCAGAAAGCGTGAGTTCCATTGACTCGTTCATCATCAATCACAATTAAGATTTAGTTTTCAAGCGCATGCTAGAATCCAGGCTTTTAGCTCTTGGTCAGTTGGAAGCAATTTATAATAAATCTCTTAGAATATATGTTCCACACCCATCTGCAAAGATTCATTCATTTGTGTGACAGACACATTTTCACTGTCTTGTTTTAATTAGTCAACTAGAAAACAGCCATGATCTTATTGGTATGTTTTCATTGAAACAGTTTTCAAATCCAATTGTAAAAAATACAAACTAAATGAAATGTGGTATTGAACATAAATGTTTCTAAAGACACTTTGGTGTTGTATAAGTCACAATATTTGTATTACATCACTTGTAAATGAAACAAGTATTAACTCGTCAAACTACATGCAGTTGTTTTTGCTGACAAAGATGTGCTTCAAAATGTACCTAGCGTCACTTTTATTTGACAGTGCAAGATGACTTGCAAATTCATTCTTTTGATGCCTTTTATATTTTCTCACCTCCTAGTGAGATGAAAGGGAAGACTGTGAAGTCCCTCCCTCCTCACATCATGGGCGCCATCACAGACACACTAGGGTGGGTCTTCATACTGGAGACATGGCGACCTTTGACCTTGAGGTCTATTCCACTAGCAGCCAAGATAGCGAGGCTCTACTGCATCTTTCTCACTGGTAAATATCACAAACATTGCTGGTGCTTAGATTGTGTTTATGAAGAGATATTTACGGTCTTAGGGTTGCAAGCGGCTTTTAATGATGCTAATTTTATTCGCTTACAAATATTCATACTGATTTAGTCTTAACTGTACCACCTATAATGTTGATTACGAAAATCATATTTTATCTTACAAAAATCATAGAATACAAGGATTCAAATATCTTTCGTAATTGTCCTGTTCCTTTCCAGCCAGTGACTTGTTCATGGAGCCATCAATCCACCATTACTTGGCTGCTCTACTCAAGATCTACACAAGCCAAGATTACATGAAGGACATGGACTTTGACCAAGAGATTCCAGGACTTGGATCTTTCAATGATCTGTAAGTCATGCCCATGAGAGATGTCCTAAAGCAACGCCCTTTCATTGAAAGTTGTGCATTTTGTCTGCCGAATTTGCTCTTGTATCAAAGCTTGATGTATGACATCTAGCCCGTCTTAAAATCGATCGTAGCTTTATATCAATTAGGGCTGCGACGGGTAGTCGAATGCTCGAGTACCTGCATGGTTGATAACTACTCGGGTACGATTTCTCGTACCCGAATATTCGGCCGCAAAAAAAAAAAATCTGTCCAGGCCGACGCTTACCCGTGCCTGGGTGAGCGGTGGCCGCTGGCATGGTGCCGTCGGTAAAAAATGTTTCCAAACTCAAGCACTGTCAAACTCACCACTCAGAAAATGGGACTAAATGTCTGGATTTCTGTTTGGACTTGGAGGAAAATGGATTATTCTACCATCTTTGGTTTTCAAAACAGCATTGTTTACTGTTATTATTATTATTAAATCGGCGCCTTCAACTGCATTTCGAAGTAAAATTGCATGCGTTTTCGGCGACAGAACTGGGATACTGTTGTTGTTGTTGTGTTTTGGTTTATTGGCGATTAGTCAGTAATTTGACTATTGTCACCAAAATAATTTACGGCACGCGTTATATCTCTCATTTTTGTATTTTTGAAAAATATATTTATTTCGTTTTATATTTATCTATCTTTTAAGATAGTATCGAAAAATAATATCGTAAGCAAAACATTCATGGGCTTTGTTAGTGTTTCTTAACAGTACGTGCAGATTATTTGTTATATCACATGTTCCAGAGGTATGGTGGTGGCAACAAAAACAAAAAAAAAAACAAAAAAATTAAAAAAATTTAAAAAAAATCAAAAAAATTATAAAAAAACATGGCGTCTGAATATTTGAGTATTCGCTTGTAAGCCTGGGAGTGTACTCGGGTACCTCATTACACTGTTGTGCACAGCCTTAATATCAATCGTAACACTGTAATAAAGAAATAGGAGCTTGAAAGTTTTTAATTCATTGGAGGACTTGCGATCCATCCAGATCATTTGCAACTCTTTATAAGGTGGTGTCCTTGATTAAATTATATTTGTAAGGGCCGAATGTCTATGATGATAATAGAATCTGACATGAAAATAACATTCTTTTCGGTAATGTTCTTTCCCAAGGTTCAATGCTGTACTGGCTCAGTATGAAGCTGTATCCTTTGGAGATCTTCTGTTTTCTCACTATGTGCTGCTACCGCTTCAGCAGAGGTTCAGTATTCACTTCCGTAAGACACTCTGGTTTGATCACATTGATCTTCTACGCACCTTGCCCAGCCACCCATCTAAGGTAATTACATGTGTTCAATTATTATTTATTTTTTTAAGGGGGGGGGGGGGGGGTGGTGGTACAAGTTCATTAGGATGGTTTAAATCAGTTGTTCTATGGTGCATCCAGTTGGTTTTCTTACGAATGTATAGTGATGTTTTGATGTTGGACAAGATCCATACAAGTAAATGTGCATGGATGTAAAATAAATTTTATAAAATTATACGAACTGTGCAGAAGATAAAATATCTGTTCTATTGTCCCCTCCCCTATAACTACTTGCCATGTTGACTGTTTGCTTCCTACATTGTATGGTAACATCCCCCACAAGTATTGATCTGTAGATTGGATCAGTTCATCCCGGTAGGATGCGAAAGTTCATGTGGTTGGACGAGCAAGTGTGCGCTTGTAAAATGGCGACTGGCTAGAATGCTCCCCAGGGAGTGGAAAATGTGCACACATTGTGTGCGGGTAAGCCTGAATCCGATGACCGGGTAATAATATATCTGTAAAGCGCTTAGGCACATCGTTGGATCGATGTATTGAGCGCTATATAAAAACAGAATATTATTATTATTATTATTTATAACGAATTTATTTCTATTTATTCCTTCTCTCAAACAGTGTCCCATTCCAACACACAACTTCCTGGACCCTCCTGAGCGAGATCCATCTCTGATCAGCATGTACTTCCAGAACTTGGTCCAGGGAAAGGTGCGGCCCACCTGGTGTCCCATGATGCACCTGGTTGCAGTCCACCATGTTGCCAATTTCATGTTTAGCAGCGGACAGGGAAAGGCTGAAACAGTACGAGAAACAACGGCAAAACTAAAGCTGATCAAAAGCACAATGGGCCTTCATAATGAAGTAGGTTGATCATTCACACTTATTTCTTTCCTTGCTTATCATCTATTTAAATGTATTTCAATCATAATGGTATTCAGTATTCAACATATTTTGTGATGTATGTGTCACTCTAATCATCATAATATTTGATTGAGTGTGAACTAGAGATCAGTAAATTAATTAGACACTGGACAAACTAGGTGATGGGTAATAGAGTACCTGTATAGATTTGTGTTTACTTTGAATATTAAAGAAGTTAACACTCGGTAAAAGTAAGTAAGTTAATATACTCTGTAAAGTTACCAGTACGATATGATATTACAAATGTAATTGTCAACATAACTTAACCTGTGCTGGTACATTTTCCTTTTATCAAGCAAACATTGGAGAATTTATATTTATCAATTTAATCCCACAGGATCTGAAACAGTTATTACTGCTCTACAGAGGTCCAGATACCACCAACCCAAACGGTTATACCACCTACGAGTCCTTGCCGGAGGACAGGTCGGTAGTCCTACAAGCAGCAGAGAGAGCTATACAAGAACAGAGAAGCAAGAAGATGGACACAGTCAAAGAAGGACAGTCATGACGGAGTGGTAAGAAGTAGGGATAAGCATGTTTGTGTATTTTGTGTTGCATGCATCCCCCTCGCGTTTCACTTTTAAATACATCAGGGTCCATATTCGTAAATTTGTCAAGTTATTACATAGGCTATAATACAGTCAAACCTGCTTCAGTGACCACCTGTATAGAAAGACCACCTGTCTACAAAGACCATATTTTTGGTTTCCCTTGATAATGGTTTCATTGAAACATGTACTAAAGAAACCTGTACATAAAGACCACCTGCCTATAAAGACCACTTTTCTTGTCTCCCCTGGGTGGTCTTTGTAGACAGGTTTCACTGTACATAGTTAATTGACAACTATGCTCGGTAAGGTTTAATGAATATGAGTCTCTATTCTGAAGCTCAGATGAGGACAGGGTCAGAAGAATTGGACATTGGTAAACCTTGACAAAAGATGCCACAAAAATCCAATTATTGTTGTTCTAATTCTTATGTTCCAATTCATAATGTTATTGTTATTGTTACTGTAACTGTTAGTGTTCTTGTTATTGTCACTGATATTGTAATCGTTATCATTATTGTCATCATTTCTGTTATCACAATTTTCATTGTTAATGTCGTGGTGTTTGTTACTTTTATTATAACTGTTATTATTATGAATATGGAATCAATCAAATATGGAGCTATTTCGTTCCTCAAATCCAATGTTTACTGATGTTATTTGAATATTCATAATCTTAAGTATTGATTTATGTGTCTTAATCATCTATGCAATCATTTTATGAATCAAATAATAAAGATATCATGTGTTCCAGTTCATTCCCACTTGAGATGATAAACCAAATCACAACAATCCCTGCAGTAAATTGTAAGTTACTTCATGTGTGTACATCAATAGCACTGTTCTTCTGCAAAGAGGCAAAGTTTAATGAGGAATATATCACTGGGCACAGAGGCTCCGTCCTGATGTGTATACTCAGATCAAAGGAGTATACTACACTTCTTGTATTATGATGAGATATGAGACGTATTTTGTTTGTTTTTCTGTTTGCCTGTTTGTTTGTATCATGTGAGAGTAAGCCTTACAATATACCCAAGCTATCTCTATCCTAAGTGTAAAACACTATGAAATGCATAGATTTAATGGACGATCTTCAGAAAGTTTTAGTGTACAGTATATAAGATTTATTGAATACTTCGTACCAAAGCTCAGCAGCATACTTCTACTTGGAACATCTAAAGAGTGAGGTGTGATATTAAATACTTTTTCATACTTTAAACAAACTTAATATTCTTTTCTTGTTGTGAAACAGAATTTATAGTCAATTAAATCAGTTTTTATCTTTTAATGCTTGTCCTTGCAATAATGCCATAGAAGGACCATTTGATTTCTATGATACATCAAAAGGTTTAAGTTTATAGAAGAGTACCACATGTGCTATTTTCAAACAGTAATCCAGATCACCTAATCGGGTCATCCTCTATTAAAAAGATGTATATTGAAACACATTTAAATTTTAATCGTACAGTCCAGAGTTCTGTGTACACATTTAGAACAATATTCATTAAAAAAATCGTAGGCACTTCACATGATAAAGATTTTACTCATGATGTAAAGGAAGGATTTACAAATTATTACAACTTTTTAGACATATATTTTGTACATTTACCTCCAGAATCCTGAACATTGGTAATCATGTTTTAAAGAAAGACAAAAGTTCATATCAGCTGTAGTATCACTGAATATATCAAAACATGAAAAACACTTGTAATTTTTTTAATAAGATATACATGTTTATAAATTAATACAGTCTTAGACAGAATATGATACATCAAAGAACATATGTTTATCCTGGGATATGATCTATCACATGTGTAATTGATAAAAACCATTTGTATATGTGTGTAATGACTTAATTTGTATGTGAAAATTTAAATGACATTGATCTCAATAACTATTGTTTTGAGACAACATGGTATAGCACATGATATGGACATTACCAACATGTATAAGTGTAAATAATAAATTTATTTGTACATGTATCTTTTTGTTTAATCTACATATCAATGTGTGTATCATTTTCAATTACATTCAGAAAAAATGTTCTACAAGGCAAACATTAACTTAATTGATATTATGTAATTTTTGCAATCTTTTTTTTAGTATGTGAAGAAAGTTATGAAAATTTCTCATACAAAAACATTGCTGGGTTAAAGAGAACGATGAGAAATGGGGAGGAGAGAGAGAGAGAGAGAGAAAGAGAGAGAGAGAGAGAGAGGGGGGGGGGGGGTATAAGGATAACAAAAGAAGAGGGAGAAAAATTCAATACATGTAATATTGCATTATTTCACTATGTGAACGAAACAAACTAGAAATAAGGAGGAAGTAATAGAAATAGTAATGACTAAAAAATTGTTAATATTAGATATCAATACTTGATGTGTTAAAAGACAGGAAATAGATTCTTCCCTGTTTGTAAAAATGAAGAGAACAAAACAAAATGGCAATATGCAGACATACCATCAGGCGATGTGTGTTGATGGTATTCTCTCGTTCTTGAGATGGTAATCTAAGATTTGATAGGAAGGTCCTAGGGCAAGCCATTGTAAGAATCTGTGAAGTAATATTGAAGTGAGTACTCTGGGATTCCCTAGACTCTTAGACATGGAATCAAGGATGAGGGCAAGGGGGACTCCAGGGAGAAAGACAAGAGTGTGGATTTTAAAGCTGCAGTCTAATATACCGGTAGCTAATTTTTCTACATCGATCTCGTCTTTCACCTTCTATGTCTCTGCATCTCTATCTTCTATAGATCTTATTCTGATTGCTAAAATGTTGGAAGATTATTTTGGTAGTAATGGTGTTGATGGTGGGATAATGATAATGATGGTGAGGACAATGAAAATGATGATGATAATGATGAGGATAATTATTTTTATGTTGTTGATGATGGTGTTGGTGGTGGTGGTGATGATGACAACGGCGTTGATGATAATGACAATGGTGGTGATAATGATGATCATAGTGATGGTAATGGAGATTATGATGATGATGATGAAGATAACTACAATGGTGATGATGATGGTGATGATAATGATGATGAAGATAACTACAATGGTGATGATATTGATGATGAAGAAAAATACTATGGTGATGATGATGATTTTGATGATGAAGATAACTACAATGGTGATGATTATGATGATGAAGATAACTACAATGGTGATGATAATGATGATGATGAAGATAACCAGAATGGGGATGATAATGATGATGATGATGAAGAAAACTACAATGGTGATGATGATAATGATGATGATGGAGATAACTACAATGGTGATGATAATGATGATGATGAAGAAAACTACAATGGTGATGATTATGATGATGAAGAAAACTACAATGGTGATGATGATGATGATGATGTTAATTTAAAAATGCAGTAGATTATTTTATACATAAATAGAGTTTGTAATGTACTTGTACTATAGACAGATAAAAATCAATCATCTTATGATGGTGAGATGGGAATAGAATTTTTACAGAATATCATGTTCCTGCCCCTCAGAAATTAGTACATATACATGTATAAATCCAAATGATTTGTTATGAAGTTCATAGTCACGATCCTTACTTTTCAATATTGAGAAGAGCCCGCAAAGAAGCAGCGATTTCTGCTTTAATTTCTCTTGGCATGCTTGGGCATATTTCGCTATTGTCTTACATATTTGATCAAAGCAAGCCTGAGGGAGAAATTTAGTTTCCACTGACCTGCATTGCTCGTGATGACAGTGGTTCAATGGGCTTAGTCATTACCTTAAGTAAGGCAGCGCCAACTCTGAAAATTTCGCAGAGAAAATGCATTTAATGGCTCGCTTGGCTTATAATCTGGTGTGTCTCCATGCATTAAGATCAAAAGTGGATTGAGATTGTCAGAGAGCATGCAATATTGAAGATCCTTTGTCTTGGATGATGTTGAAATAAGACACTGAGATTGGGTAAAAATTGAACATAATTTTGTTTTTCATCATGCCACTTATACAAGTTAACATTTTATATGCAATACACATAGATCCAACGACAGAGAAAGTGTGGTGCTGCAGAGAGTGTGTATGAAAGATTACTGTTTTTATGTTTGTAGCTTACTAATGATCAAGAGAATACCCATTTATGATCATAATATTAAGGATTTATAATAACCTTTGTAAGTTCATGATGGAGAATAGATAAATATATTGGTTTTGTCAGAAAATAAAAATTCAAATTAAAGACAAAGTGTAAGGAAAGTTTCCATGAAATGATACTTCATATAGGATCTCAGTAGGTATTGATTTGGCACTGAGTTGAACGATTTCAGGCCAAAATAAAGCCTGAATGTGAGGCAGGGGTATGAGTAAGAAAGAAAGAATAAAAGAGAGAGTGAACAACGAGAGCAGGAGGTGGAGGAGAGATAGAGAGAGAGAGAGGGGAAGTAAGAAAGAAAGCTACAGACAAAGTGTGCATCAAGATTAGAAGAAGAATGAATGGTTCAGACATTGCAACAAAAAAGCTTTTTTTTTAAAATAAGGTTTCTTGATGGTAAAAAGGTGCTAGAGAATAAAAATGACTCATTGCAATTGACTTCTTTCATCACCTTCACACTACATGAGGATTTCACCCTTCTCATTTTAGAAATTAAAAAAAAAATCTATTTTTGGAAAGTTGATTCACCCTAGATCTCTTCATAATGTATCCTAACTCTGGTGCAAGACATCTTGGCAAGATTATGCTGAGCTTTATGGCAAGAAACTTAAGAAGACGGGCAAATCTCTTTCGATTCTCTCCAAATGGCATCCTTCTATGACATACTTAGAAATCTTGGCCCATGGTGGAATCATTTCTCCCAGAAGGTGTATGAAATATGATGTGAGGGTTGGACTTACCCTAGATTCACCGAGCGAAGGGTGCGTCAGTGTGATTAGTAACTCTAGAAATGACATGTTCTTCTGAGCAGGCTATATAGTCCCATCTGCTGATAATATGTCCACATGGACAGCTGACTATATGACTTTAAGATAGATCTAAGAGGTAACTGACGGAGTATGATTGACAGCTTACATGGGTGAGACGGTGAGATTTGGTGAAGAAAATGAGAGTTTGTGAGTTGAAATGTGAAGGAACATGTGTTTTTACCTCATGGATTTCACACATATTGTATTGCACTTGTAAACCATCAATCATACAACATTCAGTGA